CCGAGACAAGCCGAATGTCCTCTCGCAGGTGATAGGAGCGAGTGGTGACGAATATATTAGGGCAGTATGTTTGGAGATATTGAAACAATATGTATAAGAACTAAAAGTAGTTGACAGTTGACCTATATTGCAGCTGTCTCGCTGTAGTTGTACCTGTATTGTAGTAGTCTCGCTGTAGTTGTACCTGTATTGTAGTAGTCACGCTGTAGTTGTACCTTTATTGTTGTTGTCTCGCTGTAGTTGTACCTATGTTGTAGTAGTTGTACCTGTATTGTAGTAGTCTCGCTGTAGTTGTACCTTTATTGTTGTTGTCACGCTGTAGTTGTACCTATGTTGTAGTAGTCTCGCTGTAGTTGTACTTATGTTGTAGCAGTCTCCTTGTAGTTGTACCTGTATTGTGTAGTCTCGCTGTAGTTGTACCTGTATTGTAGTAGTCTCGCTGTAGTTGTACTTATGTTGTAGCAGTCTCCTTGTAGTTGTACCTGTATTGTGTAGTCTCGCTGTAGTAGTACCTGTATTGTGGTAGTCTCGCTGTAGTTGTACCTGTATTGTAGTAGTCTCGCTGTAGTTGTACCTGTGTTGTAGTAGTCTCGCTGTAGTTGTACCTGTATTGTAGTAGTCTCGCTGTAGTTGTACCTATGTTGTAGTAGTCTCGCTGTAGTTGTACCTTTATTGTAGTAGTCTCGCTGTAGTTGTACCTTTATTGTAGTAGTCTCGCTGTAGTTGTACCTGTATTGTAGTAGTCTCGCTGTAGTTGTACCTGTATTGTAGTAGTCTTACTGTAGTTGTACCTGTATTGTAGTAGTCTCGCTGTAGTTGTACCTGTATTGTAGTAGTCTCGCTGTAGTTGTACCTATGTTGTAGTAGTCCCGCAATACAGTTGTACAAATTACCAAAATAGTCATCCATGATATTAACCAATTTTCAGACATTGCAACACGTTTACAAATTTCATAACTTGTGAGTTTTATAATACATTCCCATTAAAGAGTCAATGATAGTCATTTGACATTTGTAGGAACATGATACACTTGTTGCACTGGTTCTAGTATGCACACGGTGTAGTGTTGCTGAAACACAACCATGTTCGTCAAACAGGAAAGCGTGGGCCAAGAGCCCCCAGTTGGACTCATCCAACGACAAGGGCATGCCGCGTATCCCTTCTCATTATATGCCCACGCACGGGACTTGACATCTGCAGTCATCATAAACATCAAGAATTGAAAAGCTCGATGCAAGCGCTGAAATCACGACAAATCATGACGAAAAAAATCTTCACACAAAAAACTAGATATGTGTAGGAGTCTGGTTTTCTATAAAGTTTCTTTTCCACTAGTGCATTAATTATAGTGCTGGGACTGCGCGAGGACACCTAGCATGTAGCTGGACGTGTTCTGTGAACAGTGTTTTCTATACGTAAACCCACACACTTGACGTGCTAGACAAGTATTGAGAATGTCAGCGTCGAGTATACATAATACTTCAAGTACCATACACCGAGCATGTGAAGGGTTCAGTCAATAGAACCTGAACGTTATTGCTTGTGCTATATTTTCAACCGTTCATGTGGCGCCAAGCACGCCCTACGTCCATTGTTGTTGCATAATACTGCAAAACTGTCTGCAACTTTATACATGTACAGTAAAACTGTCTGCAGATGAGATGCACAAGTTTATACATGTACAGTAAAAACTGTCTGCAGATCAGATGCACAAGTTTAAACATGTACAGTAAAAACTGTCTGCAGATCAGATGCACAAGTTTAAACATGTACAGTAAAACTGTCTGCAGATCAGATGCACAAGTTTAAACATGTACAGTAAAACTGTCTGCAGATCAGATGCACAAGTTTAAACATGTACAGTAAAACCTGTCTGCAGATCAGATGCACAAGTTTATACATGTACAGTAAAACTGTCTGCAGATCAGATGCACAAGTTTAAACATGTACAGTAAAAACTGTCTGCAGATCAGATGCACAAGTTTATACATGTACAGTAAAAACTGTCTGCAGATCAGATGCACAGGTTCATACATGTACAGTAAAAACTGTCTGCAGATCAGATGCACAGGTTCATACATGTACAGTAAAAACTGTCTGCAGATCAGATGCACAGGTTCATACATGTACAGTAAAAACTGTCTGCAGATCAGATGCACAAGTTTAAACATGTACAGTAAAACCTGTCTGCAGATCAGATGCACAAGTTTATACATGTACAGTAAAACCTGTCTGCAGATCAGATGCACAGGTTCATACATGTATAGTAAAAAGTGTCTGCAGATCAGATGCACAAGTTTAAACATGTACAGTAAAAACTGTCTGCAGATCAGATGCACAAGTTTATACATGTACAGTAAAACTCGTTAATCCAGACAGTCCCATATGTCCGGATAAATGGAGCATGGGTAAGGAATAATATCGCCCTTTTTGTTTGTCTGTAGATTCTCCTAACAGTTATCATGTTCTTGAAATATATCGTATACTAGTATCATACCCCTGAAATATATCATATATCCCTGTAATACTGAGACCCTGATTTCTGAAATGGGTCAGTCGTTCAATTATAGTGATGAGTTTGTGTTTTACCCCGCTTTTGGCCACAGAGATACAAAGTATGGGCTTTACGTGTACCCGTGTGGGACATCGAACCCGGGTTGTCAGCGTTTTGTGATGAGTCATCGCCTTTACCACGAGGCTGTTCCATAACCCCTCTAATAGTTAGCTATATGATAATGTTGGAAATCACAGTTTAACTAACCTAGCAGACAAAGCAAACAAGCCGCACTGGTGAAAACGAAGACCCTATACAGTCGTGTATGAAGTGCTGCTCAAACAATATGCAACCCTCTAGTCCTGCGCCATGACCGTGGATATTATCGCCTAGGCAAGTCTAGATCAAACTAAAACAAGTCTAGTTTCCTTAATATGAAAACAGCAGAAGAGGAAAGGTTCTTTTGAAAAAAAAAGTTACTTATTTTTTAGAAATGTTTTCATAAATGTGTGTTAATCTAGCCAACCTCCATCGTTCGTCCCTTGACATCCCCAGTCTTCCAGGGATCGCACCACCAACGACATGACGCTGTGAGATACAAGTGTTTGAGACATGACGTTAGGAGATACGAGTTTTTGAGATATGACGTTTTGAGATGCGACTGTTTTAGACGTGAAGTTATGAGACACGACTGTGTGAGACATGATGTTATGATACACGACTGTTTGAGATATGAGGTTTTGAGATACGACTGTTTTAGACATGATGTTATGATACACGACTATTTGAAATATGACGTTTTGAGATACGACTGTTTGAGACATGATGTTATGATACGCGACTATTTGAGATATGACGTTTTGAGATACGACTGTTTGAGACATGATGTTATGATACACGACTGTTTTAGACATGACGTTATAAGATACGACTGTTTGAGATATGAAGTTATGAGATACGACTGTTTGGGACATGTTATGATACACGACTGTTTGAGATATGACATTTGAGACACAAGTGTTTGAGACATGACGTTAGGAGATACGAGTGTTTGAGATATGACGTTTTGAGATGCGACTGTTTTAGACGTGAAGTTATGAGAAACGACTGTTTTGGACGTGAAGTTAGGAGATACGATTGTTTGAGACATGATATTATGAGATAAGACTGTTAGACATATGGTTTTCTACAACCTTCAGCAGTCCTGTCGACGTCTGACATTCCTCGGCACAAACGGGGTCTCATTATCTCCCCGATTCCACTGTTAGTATACAGTTACAACAACAAATTCCCGACCTTCTCCCTCTAGAGAGCTTCTCGCTGTACCGGGGAGGCATTTACTACATACTAAAGGAAACTTGTGACCTACTGACCTTGAATATATCATAAGAAGAAAGTACTATCCAATCAACTCGTAGCAGCACCGTGTTTGTATATTCACGCGATCATGTAGATCCAGTGAAACATTTTTGTGGAAGCATTGGTGGTTATTAGTGTGTTAGATCGCTGACTGTGCTGGCGATTAGGTGTCACTCTGGGAGTGTGGGTTCGAATCCCGGATGGGACTCAATCCAGGAAAGTACTAGAATCTGTACTTAACTCAGAAAGTGTTACCCTGAATATAACATTTGTTACATATGTCCACTTTCTAAATGCCATTGTGTATTCAGTTGTGGTAATGGTTGATGTCACCATTCTGCCATACCAATAACCAATAACTAGAACAGATTGTATGCTTGCCGGTGTGTTCCCATTTTGTAACCATTGCGTTGATCAGTAGGAGCTGCCGCGCGGCATTCCTGCGTGGGAACATGTATTCTGAATAGTTAAAACGGAGACATGGAGGCAAATATGTGGCCCTTCACAAAGAGACTTAGATGAAATGACTTCACATTCAACCTTGATTTTTTACCTCTAGGTCATTAGGACCAGCGCTTACATGTCGATTTATCCGTACTGAGTGATAAGCAGTGTAGCCCCCGAAGACCATGGTTCCCTCAAAGATTCACTCGGGACCGTAACGTTACATCGCCTTGAATAACATACCAGTTTATGAAGAGCGCGCCGACGAGTGGTTACTGTACGCCTTTTTATTAAATTCTGAATTATGAACTTTGTTCAATTTCCTGTTTGGAAAACATCCGACCAATGACATAAAACACTTTTGTGGATAACCTATGTTGTTGTACACTCGCCTCCCCTACACATCTTATCAGCCAGTGTCAGACAGTGGGTTCCCATGTTATCAGTATATAACAAGCTCGGCCTCAGCTTTCTGGAAATGTGGTGCACCTAGCTTACAACGTTAAGATGAAAGAATGTGAAAGCGCATTCATCGGGAATATGAGTCAATCAATTGTTGTTTTTTGTTGAAAACATGTCACCCAAATGATTGAGTTAAATGTTTCTATACGTTTACATGTAAAGTATGTTTGAAAACGGGTTGAGCATCCTGCACCCCCTGGGTCCGCGTATAGTAGGCCTAATGGTGTCTGTCTGTTGCAGGTCGCTTCACCCTCCCAGCCTTCTCAGCCTACTCCATGTCCAAGAAGGCTTGCATTGCTTTCTCTGACGGCCTGCGTCTTGAGATGGCCAAGTTTGACGTCAACGTGATCACCATCGAGCCCGGCTTGTACAGGTTCGTCCGACATCTACAAACAGCATTGCTAGCTCAACTACACTATTAGGTTTCCTCGCGTTATAAGCCACCTGGCCTGTTACTTCCGGTAGAGCGGGTCCTACTGGTAGAACAAATATGGTTACTCTTGCCGCGAACACCTGGTGTCATCACTGCTTTTCACTGCCCCATTCATATCATTTTCACCACTATTTGGCCTTTTAGAATTGCGTCCAATGGAATATGTTTTGGCAGATATTTGAAACTAATTATTTTCTGGCGTTGTTATGTGTTATATTTTCTACAATTATTATAAATTAACATTCAGTCTATAACTGGCATTTTTATTTCACAATTGATTTTTCGGTTTTAAAAAAAAATGTATAATGCCGTGTAAATTTAAGCCTGAAATTTAATTAAATACAGATATTACACAGTCATTGGGAAGTACTGCTTCTATGGCTGTACATATAACGACATGTGTCGTTGTTAGGCTGTCTCAATGTGCCTAGTGACATGCTCATTATTGTATGGCAAGGGCGTAAAGGTAGGACATTACCCTATTACCTGAAGTAGATTCATATGACACTTTTCAAACAACGTATTACCGAGGACCAGGAAGTATCAAACATTCTTCTACAAAAATACACGTGATATTTTTGTGGCGCAATATAAACAGAGAATGTCGTGTATATGTAGCCATTTATGTTTCGAGTATTATTTTTCAAATGTTGAAGGTCAGGTATATGTTGAGATAAGATATAAAATAACGATACTGATAATCATAAATAGACGTGGGTTATGTCATATCATTTATGTATGCCTCAGCATTATAGTATTGCTGTTGCTTATGCTGCTGGGGACATTATGACATATATATATAGATCATAATGTCCCCAGTTCCATAAACCAATATACTCAAAAGGGTTATGTGTTTATATATATAAATATAATATTCTGAAAAGTCGTATATCATTTTTGCTCTCTCTTTCTCCCTATAAATATTATCCAATATTCTGAAAGTAGTATTTCTTTTATCTCTCTCTCTCTCTCTCTCTCTCTCTCTCTCTCTCTCTAAAATCCAACAACCAATGTTCTTAAAAGCATTATTTCTTCTTTCTTGCAGAACGCCTATCGCTAGTGAAAATTACTTGATTGATATGAATCGCAAATCGTGGGCAGAAACTCCGAAGGAGGTGAAAAATGACTACGGAGAAGAATATTTCGACGCCTTTTTGGAGAACATAACACAACAAATGAAGCGGGCGCGACCCAACACCAATGAGGTCGTGGATCTCATGGTGAAAGCTGTTACCACCGCCAAACCAAAACAACGCTATGTTCCCTATTGGAAGTCAGATGTGCGCGCGCATATTTTGATGTCACTTCCGGGGTCCATCACTGACAAACTATTCAAAGCGTATACTGTTAAAGTTGAGGTGGAGTCTAAACGGAGAGCATCTGACAGGGAAAAATCTAACGGAACACCGTCACCCATTGCCAAGTGAGGAAGGATTTCCCAGTTCAACAATAGATCGTTTTGATAAGAAGCCCTCGCGCGGCTCCTTAAAGGCGATGCGTCAGTTCTGGCGAGAACCGATGACACTGATTGACATTAATACCTCAGCGAAGTGTAAGGCAATCAGAGACAAGTGTCCCTTTAATATGTGTAAGAGTTCAGGTATTGAACAGCCATTGTGCAGCGTGCGTAGTGCATGTAATGCGCGTAGATGAACAAACGAGGGACACTAGAGAAATTCTATGATTGTTTCTACTTTGCAGAATATTGTCGAAGAAAATCTATGCTGTTAAGTGATGGATGTTGTCCAATGAAAGTGTAAATTGAACAGCTTTGACAAATTGCGACTCTAAAACGTTCTTCTTTGTCAGTGATGTTAAAGACAGCACTGTGACATATTGATCCATTCTCAGTGCAGGATTCTGTCGTGCGATGTTTCACCATTGATCTTTTGAACACTACATATTCGAGAAATTAATTAACAGACCCTGTATGATAAAATGTAGCTGGAAAGAATAAGGATCGATTGTTGCTCAGCTTCAGTGATTTTATGCTGTATGACACGGGTACTAAAAATGCCAAATGTGTCAGCAAGTTTGAAACGTAACCCTCTTGTAAATATGTCCAACATAGTTATCTCCCTTTATTAGATGCATTTGTCATTTGCTGTTGCATAGAAGGACGCCGAATATGTAATTCCTCTCATCAATTGGATATCTACATTGTTTTATCATTTCAATATTACCGATTTGCGTGTTGTCAGTACCTTGGATTTTTTATGCTTTAATAGTAATGATGATACGATATCTCTCTGTGAAGAGGGCCGGTCCGGTAGCCTGGTTAAAACGTTCGCTCGTCTCGCCGAAGACCCGGGTTCGATTCCCGACATGGGTACAATATGTGAAGCCCATTTCTGGTGTCCCCCGCCGTGATATTGCTGGAATATTGCTAAAAGCGACGTAAAACCATACTCACTCACTCATTACGTGAAGACATGAGGATACCTCTATAGAAGGTCACATCAGGTGAACGTACAAATCAGCCAATCAACGTCGAGGCTTCTTAATTCTCGGCACGACTAAGTCAAGCAACCATGCAGGTATATCTGATTTCTGTATCTCAAAAACGAAAACAATCGGAGAAATCCGAAGGCAAAATAATAAAGCCGAGGAAATATATTTTTGTGAATATTTTATCAATCCTGTCGTTTCTGAGCGCCATGCATCTACACCCTATACAATTACGGGTACACTTGTGTTCAGTGGTGGTATTCTTTTGTGAAGATCGAAATTATAAAATTGAGGCGGTAAAATAACGCGACCTTCTATGGAGATGTCGTCAGATCTTGACGTAGAGAGGTATTATATCTGTGTAAAAGATCTGATTTTAATGAGGACTGGATGTTAAAAAAAGTTGAAATGGCAGCCTTAAGTGATTTAAAGCTGTTGCCTGTGTATGATAATTTCGCCTCCCGCGACAAAGATGATAGATTTAATAAGAGTGTTTTAGATTTAACATACTCAAGCTTCACCTCGGTACGATTGTAAATACATTGACTCGGAGGTCAATGAATATGCACTTGATTTAATGCAGTGGTCGATGTCCAATTGACAGAAATTTTAATTATTTTTGTTTTTTGCCATTCAATCATAATAATAGTATATTGTTGTTACATCTTTGTGTGACTGTATTGTTGTGAATTATGTTAATCAGGGATTATCTTAAAATCTTATTCGCGAGATATTTTTTGTCACTTATCTACTTTTATTATTACTATTATTACAATAATACTGTCATTGTTATTATTGATATCATTGTTTTAGACACATCCTAATGTCTCGGTAATCCATGGTTCCGTGTTGCAGCTACAGGTTTCAATGCTATTTTCTGCTGCACAGAAATGGTCAGGTTCTTGGCCACCGTGATACTAAAGGTTACAGTCGGTAAACAGAGATCACCAATGAGGTCAAGAAATAAATATGTTATATGCCGAATTATATCTAACCAAAATACCTGTCTATGCTTAATATACTTCGAAGCACACGAAGCTGATCAATGAGTTCATATTTCAGTGAGCATTGAATAATAGGAAGTGCAAGGGTCCATTAAAAATGACAAATATATCCCAAATCCCCTAATAGTGAGGTTGGTTTACGGTCGCTTTGAAAGTCTTTCATTTGCGTCATGGCGTGTCAGCTTGGTGTAAGAGGAAAGCCCCAAGCCAATGCAAATCTTAAACGTTTGAACCCACTATCACTGGTATGGTTCTGACAAACCTAGAAACATAATCAGGGTGAAGCTAGAATGGGAAGCCATGGTGATAGGTTCCTGGAACGCCTAAGGTAAGCAACTCTGCACAGCGAATTGTGTCACCTTGGACGACCCCACCACCTGTATCTACTGGGCTCCACAATTTGTGCATTAGAAGCTGCTTCCCGCTGTTCCTTACACCCGACGTCATCATGATGAGAGGGGATAGATATGTTTTTGAGGATTCACACTCTCAATGTACAAATAGTGCCTGCAACGTGTGAACTATTGATTCATCTTCAAAGTGTCCATTTATCAAAATATTGATTCATCATCAAAGTGTTCATTTATCAAAATATTGATTTTTTTCAAAGTGTCCATTTATCAAAACATTGATTCTTCTTCAAAGTGTTTATTTATCAAAATATTGATTCATCTTCAAAGTGTTCATTTATCAAAATATTGATTCATCTTCAAAGTGTTCATTTATCAAAATATTGATTTTTTTCAAAGTGTCCATTATCAAAATGTTGATTCTTCTTCAAAGTGTCTATTTATCAAAACATTGATTCTTTTTCAAAGTGTCCATTTAACAAAATATTGGATCATCTTCAATGTGTTCATTTATCAAAATATTTTCCGCAATTGTTCTGTATTTTTGTGAATGCGTGTTTCCCAAATAATACAGATCATTAGAGTATCATTATTGATATTATTACCATCTTTGTAATATAATCGATATATTAATCGAAACGAAAAACCAATCCGATCACGATCCGAAAAATAAATATATACATATCATGTAGATGAACTACTTTCGGCAAGCTCTATACATCGATGCTATGCCTAGTAGCTACAAACCGGTTGTGTGAGTGCCTGGGCGGTTCACACAGGCATTGTATTCACACAGGCATTGTATTCACACAGGCATTGTTAAAGAACATATCTTTAACTTCAATTATTTCAATCGATAAAGAGGTTATTAGCCGAGTGTGTTTTGTATGGTAAATGTAAATCAAGAATAAGAATTCATTTGTATATTCGAGCCTTTGGCGTTTATCGTACCTTTTACTTTTGTATTTGGGCAGTAGGGGACCAATACGCTCATCAGTGAGCAGATCTGTACTATTGTTGTAATTGTAACTAACTGTTCATTTTTTATTTATGTCAGTCGTGCAGCAAAATCTTATACCATCGTTGTTACTTAAGTTTGTGTCTACTCGTGGTTTTTCCGGCACAAAACGAATGAATCATCCGCACTCGCGCCTATCCGTAACCTGCCATTCGGCATGTCACGGAACCTCACGATTCCGTCACCCGAGAAGCGTATGCCACACGGGTGACTTTAACACAGGTACACACACGTCTAGGGAGTCTTTGAATAGGTATGATAATAGTGCTGAATATATATTACATATTTGGTTTAAGTGAATGGTATTAGTACGTCAAATGGATAGGATTATATTGCAGTTTGTCATCCAAAACTTGCTCCCGCGGGAGATATCTCTTGGTTGAGATCAAGCATTGCATCACAATGCTTTGCAGACCATTTTGACTTGATTGGTTACCATGACGTCACTCAAATGACATCACTAATGGCTCTGCCACTGAAGCTGTTAGCAGTACTTTTTACACTTAAGACACTGCTTATTACTGTCTGCAAAAAGTTGTAAGAATGATGTTGGATGATAAGTAGAATCTCACCCTTGTGTCTTTTGATATCAAATATATCAACACTCGTCGATAAAAGTTTAAAATCCCTCGGACAGCCTCGGAGTTTTGAACTTTTATCGACTCGTGTAGATATATTTGATATCAAAAGACACTTGGGTGAGATTCTCCATATATACATATGTAGAAGTGCTTGGGAAACAGTTTGCATAACAAGAAGTAAATATGTATATTTAAGTACCTGTTGTTAGTGTTCGCGGGGCCATTTTACTGGTCTCGGGTAGATGCTCACAACACGATATTGTGTTGTAGTTATTGGTTATTAATTTCAATATTATTATATAGCATGTAATACTTAAGCATTGGTTGTGTAATTATTGCCTGTACATTATTATTGTGACAAACAAATTTGTTCTATATGTAGTTGCATAATCGTAATAGTTTGTAAAAAGTGATTACGTGAATAGCATACAGTTATGTTTCTGCTCCAAGTATACGATATGTAATACTGTAATGTGTTAATGTATTTGTTATTTTTCCGCAAAATAAATTACAAGTTTATTCAAATAAATTATGTTATATTTTTGTGTGAATAAAATTACAGTTTTTCAAAGACGTCATACTTGTTGAGATTGGCGGAGGGTTGCTCTGGACATGGGGCTTACGGATGTGAGTACAGACACGGCCCAGGGGAAAATGGATTAAGGCTATAAATGTCATAATGTGAAATGCTGTGTTAGACAATGGTACAACTGACCGCTGTTACGCATGGATAACATCATGTTAAATAGTCCAGATTTCCTAAACGATATGTTCTCAACACTATACAAAAGGGATATTGTTCAGAAGCTACAATTATTTAACATTGCGTTGTCCAGAGTGCTGTTAAGTCACTCTGTGACATGACCAACGTTCAGATGATGGCGGATAGAACTGCCTTATGGCCAACGTTTAGATGATGGCAGAAAGAACTGCCTTATGGCAAACGTTCAGATGATGGCGGATAGATCTGCCTTATGACCAACGTTCAGATGATGGCGGATAGAATTGCCTTATGACCAACGTTTAGATGATGGCAGAAAGAACTGCCTTATGGCCAACGTTTAGATGATGTATATAGAACTGCCTTGTGACCAACGTTTAGATGATGGCAGATAGAACTGCCTTATGACCAACGTTCAGATGATGGCGGATGGAACTGCCTTATGACCAACGTTCAGATGAAGGCAGATAGAACTGCCTTATGGCCAACGTTCAGATGATGGCGGATAGAATTGCCTTATGACCAACGTTTAGATGATGGCAGAAAGAACTGCCTTATGACCAACGTTTAGATGATGGCGGATGGAATTGCCTTATGACCAACGTTTAGATGATGGCGGATGGAACTGCCTTATGGCCAACGTTCAGATGATGGCGGATAGAATTGCCTTATGACCAACGTTTAGATGATGGCGGATGGAACTGCCTTATGACCAACGTTCAGATGATGGCGGATAGAATTGCCTTGTGGCCAACGTTCAGATGATGGCGGATAGAACTGCCTTATGACCAACGTTCAGATGATGGCGGATAGAACTGCCTTATGACCAACGTTCAGATGATGGCGGATAGAATTGCCTTATGACCAACGTTCAGATGATGGCGGATTGAACTGCCTTGTGACCAACGTTCAGATGATGGCGGATAGAACTGCCTTATGACCAACGTTTAGATGATGGCGGATGGAATTGCCTTATGACCAACGTTCAGATGATGGCAGAAAGAACTGCCTTGTGACCAACGTTCAGATGATGGCAGATAGAACTGCCTGTGACCAACGTTCAGATGATGGCAGAAAGAACTGCCTTATGACCAACGTTCAGATGATGGCAGATAGAACTGCCTTGTGACCAACGTTTAGATGATGGCGGATGGAATTGCCTTATGACCAACGTTCAGATGATGGCGGATGGAATTGCCTTATGACCAACGTTCAGATGATGGCAGAAAGAACTGCCTTATGACCAACGTTTAGATGATGACAGATAGAACTGCCTTGTGACCAACGTTCAGATGATGGCGGATAGAATTGCCTTATGACCAACGTTCAGATGATGGCGGATAGAACTGCCTTGTGACCAACGTTTAGATGATGGCGGATAGAACTGCCTTATGACCAACGTTTAGATGATGTATATAGAACTGCCTTGTGACCAACGTTTAGATGATGGCGGATGGAATTGCCTTATGACCAACGTTCAGATGATGGCGGATGGAACTCTTATGACCAAACTTTCGATGACGATGGAGGGAGTTTCATTATGACCAACCTTTACAGATTGACGAAGGGACTTCCATTCCTTGAAGGTTGGATCAGTTCATGTTAAATCGTCTGAAAACTCTTGTTTTAGGATTCAGCTTAAGCGAGCAATGAAATATTACCCTAATTTAGCAACATAATGTTTCGTTTGACCTTCACTGTGCATGGACAGCAGGAGAGATGGTATAATAAAGGGGTGGTCTGACGACCGTGCAAGTTGCCTACTTGTTACAGACCCCCAATATGGAAACATGACAGTTGGTATGGTGGATATACATAACAGCTCACTTCAAAATGGGAGGTGTGTGTGTGTGTGTGTGTGTGTGTGTGTGTGTGTGTGTGTGTGTGTGTGTGTGTGTGTGTGTGTGTGTGTGTGTGTGTGTGTGTGTGTGTGTTTGTGGGGGGGGGGGGGGGGGGGGGGGGGGGTATTTTGTTATCACAACTTAACGATTAATGCGAATAGACCGCGAATTATATATGAAATTTGGAGACCCAAATTTTTTTGTTATGGGTAACCACTTCTTTATTCTTTACAACGTTTCAGGGATACTTCTTGCCCCTTCATCGGTATTCAAAGACTTTAGAATTGTTAGCCATAAAAATGTCACGTCTATATGTTCTTACAACTTCTAAATACCCATCAAAGACTTGCTAGATATGATTTATGGTTCTCACCAAATGAGTTCTAGTGTTGAAATACGTATATCCGAGAGCCTATACAAATCCCTCGTCTGTGTGTGCGTTTGTCCACTAGAACAAGGTTATGACGGCGATATAACTGGTTATGACGAATATTTGACGACACGCGACTAACCTACTATTTTTTATCATGTAAACTTCTCAGGTTTCAACCTCAACAGATAAAAAAGTCAATATTATCTTGTGTGAGTAACGAACTCATTTACTGTCACAAAACAGTCCGTGTGTGCGTGCGTGTGTCTGTATCGTAGAACATGGTTGTAGTGATGTGTCTCAGAAAGTGGGACATGGCGGTATTTTACATGACACAACATTCATGTCATCTTACAACAGTCGTGATAGTAGCAGAAAGAATTGAGAGGATAAAGCCAAGAATATATTATTTGACACTTGGGCCCCCATGCCACTCGTCCACATCGTCTGCGTATTACATGGCGTCAGGAGTGAAACGGGATTGGACCTTTCGGAAGTTAAGTTAAACATGATTTCATACACTTTTATATGACTGTTAGAAATTGATTGAAGCAAAAGTGTGGTTTTGCCCGGATGTTCGCAAAAAGGTTATAATAAACGTAACTGAGAGTGACATGGTGGATGTTCTAAAAATAATGTACTTGATGATGTGTGAATAGAATGTTTGTCTGGTAATGCAAAGTTCTCTCCACCTATGTCATACGCGAAATGTTACGTTTCAATACAAATGGTATTCCAATGTCGTAACCCGTATAACCAGCCGTACTCGTGTTTTTTTGTTTGTTCGTTTGTTGCTTAACGCCACACTATATATATCGACGGTCTGTAAATAATCGAGTCGGGGCCAGACAATCCAGTGATTGATATCATGAGCATCAATCCACGCAATTGGGATTCTATGACATGCATCAACCAAGTCAGGGAGTCTGACCACCCGATCCCGTAAGCCGCCTTTTGCGACAAGCATGGGTTCCTGAAGACCGATTCTAACCCGGATCTTCACGGGTCATACTCATGTCACGCACCTTTATACCCCATGTCACACCAGTGCCATATCAATGCCATTGCGGGGAGGTCGGGTAGCCTAGTGGTTAAAGCGTTAGCTCGTCACGCCGAAGACCCGGGTTCGATTCCCGACATGGGTACAATTTGAAAACCCCTTTTCTGATATTGCTGGAATATTGCTAAAAGCGGCGTAAAACCTCACTCACTCACTCACTCACTCACTCACTCACTCACTCACTCACCCACCCACCCACTCACTCACTCACTCACTCACTCACTCACTCACTCACTCAATGCCATTGCCATGTCATCTCCATGCCATACTCGTGGCACACACATTTGATACTCATGTCATACCAATGTATAATCCATGTCATACACATTTAACCCATGTCATCTCCATACACATTTGATACCCATGGTATACCATTGCATTATCCATGACATACTGATACTCATATCATACCAATGCCATATCAGTGTCATACTAATATCTTCCAATAGCATATCAACGTCATATCAATGTCTTCCAGTGGGCATGGATGGCCCAGTCTTCTAAGTTGCCGAAACTCGCAGTGCATAGTTGCGTCCCTTGGACACGCCCCAAACCTAAGATTGTGGGTTCGAATCCCAGTTCGCCCCGATATCAGCGCCATACCCGTGCTCGTACTTCAACTGCAAAACCAGATGTGTTTTTTTTATTGAAAACTGTGAGCCTGAATTATTTTTAAGATAAACACCTTGCAACAATGCATTTTTTGTGGCAGGAATATTCTGTTCAAAGGTGTGAATAATAATTATCAAAAAAAAAATTTCGATAATTAAAAAAAATAAAATGAATCACGTCACTATATAAGTGCAATAATCTTGGAGGCAACGTTTAACTCCGTTTCACCTCACCGCGTATGTGTCTCCCAATAGCGATTCGAGGGATTCTGTCCCAACCCCCTTGCAGCGCCTGTCCAAGGTCAGCCCACGGCCTGTGACGTTGACGCACACGTCCCCCTATCATGCATGTCCCAGACGTGTTCAGTGAAAGAAAGGTCTGGGCTCATTGCTGGCCATGTCATTCAAAGGATTTCATGGTATTCTATGGTTTCGGGTCGATCGATGGCGTACTCTTGTCGTTGACCTGGGACGCCCTGAACGGGGTCGATCGTCAACAGTTTGGGTTTGTTGGTACCTGTTCCATCGTCTTCTAATCACAGACTGTGACACATTGAACGTATTGCCCACTCCAGCATGCAGACGCCGCATTGCTAGTTCATACGCAAACAATCAATGAAATCAAATAAATCACAACTGTATGATAAGCAGAATCGATAAGATTGAAATAATAATGTTCCACAAAATCAGGAATGGCACGTGTTTGGTGCTACTGGGTGAGGCTATAGGATATGTTTTAGTGTTAGTTTAACAGACAACATAAACGTTCTTGTCGTCATCACATATGTTTGTTATAATACTTGGTATTAACATATATATTTCATGATCTTCTACACTTTTGAAGACTATATTTACCTACGACAAAAGCATATGCACGGACCGCAGGCGTTGTCCAAGCAACAGCCAACCGCATGTTAGCATGTTGGGGGCGGTAATATGTAGGAATTAACATGATGCAAAAATAAATCCATTTTATGCTGTTTTAATAACATGGGAATACGTAATAAAAGGTTATAAATAATAGATTTATGATTAACGTGGTACCCGCGCAGATACAAACATGTTTAAACAGTTTAATGTCACTAGCCCCGACTAGATTAGGTGAGTTAGGTTTAGTGCCAGTCTGTGGAATATATACAGGTGTTCAAGTGTGTCCATCGGACACGTTGCCCATTAGGCCACCCTAGCCCACATCTGGACGGTGGGGGTACATGCTGCGAACGCTAAAATGTTACAGGTAATGTTATCAGTCACATGATATTCGTGGTATTTTTAATATTTCATAACACAATAAGACCTTTCGATTCCTGCTAGATGATGCTTTAATAACAAATATTATAAATCATGGAAGAAATTCGATTATAAATAATATATAAACTTATTAATTGCAATTTGTTTCATGGTCGAAAGTCAAAATGATAGAAAATGCCATTTCGCACTTAAGTGAACTTTGGTAACGAATTGGTAACGAATTCTTTTGCTTTATCGAATGTGAATAATTTAACTTAAAACCCGTGAAGATCCAGGTTAAATTAGGTCGTCAGTAACCCATGTTTGCCGTAAGAGGCGACTAACGGGATCGGGTGGAAGGGTGTTTGACTTGGTTGATGCATGTCATCGTATCCCAATTGCGTGGATCGATGCGCATGATGCCAATCACTGGATTGTCTGGTATAACTCGGATATTTACACACCGCCGTCATATAGCTGGAATATTGCTGAGTGCGGCGTTAAACAACAAACAAATTAAACAACGGACTTATGGTTACTGAATAGAGCTTCTGTGATTTATGACTAACGCTGAAATAGCATATATCCCCGTGTCTTCCCCGTGTTGTTTTATTCTGAATTGGGCGGTATGAAATAGAACAGCAAAAATATGTTATTGCATTGTAGTTTAATTTATTTTATATCAAGTCAGAAAGTATATGTTACATCATTAAGATATGATACATGTCTACGTGAAACAAAAGTAGGAATGAAGACGCGTACAACAGAATCGTAATTCCTTACAGGCAACCAACGCGTAGTGTTTTCAGAGTTGTCTCCCGTTCCATACATCTTTGTTGGTGGAGATTCATAAACCCGACTCGTTTTCCAGAAACGATATTGCAAGCTTTTATCATAAAACAAATGAAAAAGTTACATTTTGTTGAAGTTTGATCCACGAAATGGGCAACACTGCCAGTAGTGACAGCGAAGATGAAGTACGTGTTGACAACAAAGAGGTTTGACAATTTACACGCTTATTTGTATACATTAGTGGACATAACGTAAGTGCGAGTTGCATGTTCTGACGAGGAAGTTCCGGAAAAGTTACATGAAAAGATTAAGATCTGCAGATTCTGACAGGTTTAACTCTAACTTACATATTTTTTTAAATCAAAGGATTAATTACAGACATTATGATAATGTTTTACGCAGTGAATTAAGGACACATTTGGCATTATGAACGCCAACAAGTTGACCATCTGAAATATGAGTATTTTCATGATTATGATGACATTGTTACACAAGATTGACATGTCCATTGATTGTTAGTAGTTCAAAGATGCATTTGATTGACAGGGATATTCTGTGATTTACTGTTTCTTGACAACTCTAGGTATGGTTAGGCATGAAATGCCATGGATGTTTATTTATAGCTGACTGTCTGAACCAAGTCACTTGTCTTAAGCCTGAGTCTAATGTAATTTTGTTTTGTCTAGTGTTATCAGTTAATAATGATCCATATATTAATACTACAGCCTTCTGAAAGTGATGCTGAGAGTCAATGTTAGGCACAGACTGCAAACAGGCAGTTCATCAATAGGTCATGTTTTTTTGGTCATGTTCATGATGTTCCTGTTCCTGCCTGTTCATGGGAGAAACTGGTGAATATGAGCATTGTAGAACGGCCAAAGCGGAGTTAAGACTTGTGAGATAAAACATCCAAGTTTTGGGAAAAACATCCTAGTTGTGCTGTAATGAGAAAACAGTCAACATGGTCAATGAGTATGGAGAAAAATTGTCACTAGTATAAATTCATTTCAATCAGTGATCAGTATGTATGATATGGATAAGATGACATCATGGATATATTTGTATAAATATGACATTACCGGACATCGTTGATCATGTTGATTGTTTTTGCCTTCAATAAGATTGGAAAAAAAATATTGCTTGTATTTAGAATTGGATACTGTTATGTTATCCATAATACAGAATACAAACAATGTTTATATTTCAGCAGGGACAGGCCTCAGCAGTCGGTTTTCATTAATGATCACTGCTGCACCCATAAATGTAATTGATACATTGGGGCACCATGCTGCTTTTCTCCTGAAAGTGGTCAAAATGCATGACACATGCGCAGATGCACTTATGTTCAGGACTTCCATAGTCGGAAATAGAAATCAGCTGTACACACATTTTCAAAAATTATGTTTTTCCTGTTTCTAAGGCAACAAGTTTGACTTTGACAGTGTTCTTTGTGGTGTGTTGGTCTGGACCATATCTCTAAACCTAATTGGTATCCTTTCTTGAAACTGTGCATACACAAAGACCAGGATGTCAACTGGTGTCTTTTGCTATTTAGGGATTTTTTAACTTATATTTTTTACGTTTAATATTTTATTAAGAAACTTTGCATGTATATCAAATACATGATGAACTGGTGCCTATTGGTGTTTTGGCATTTCTAGAAACAATTTTTTTAGTGTTTCCATAGCAACAAACCGAGCATAACATGGAAACCGTTTAATATTTTAATAACAAAACTTTGCATATGTATCTTACACATGCTGGACTGGTGCCTTTTGATATTTTGGTATTTCAAATGTTTTTCGTTGTGTTTCCTTGTATTCTAGAGTTACCCTCACTTTCTCCATGCTTTATATTTTGTGCATCCTGTCAGCATTGAGGTAAATACCTCAAATTCTAAAGTGCCCCATGCATGCCATGGCGGGGGATGGTGATAACGCTGTTTTCATGTCATCATGATTATTAGCCAATCAAATTTCTGAAAATTACATAGAATGTATTTATAAGAACCTGTTAGCCCAGGCTCAGTGTTTACGACTCTGCTTTTGTTCTATCTTTAGGTTGATGATGGCTATTCTGACAGTGAAGCAGAAACGGGTGAGTAGACGCCATTTTTCTTTTCACGTCCTTAGAATAATCATATTAAGAAACATTTATTGTCCTATGCGAACACATTCAGGGGATTTCTTGTGTTAAATCTACATGTGACTTGATCATGTTGTTCCAAACATCATCCTTGATTATCCAATATAGTATCTCCTTTCTGTGATAAAAACCCCGGACCCAGTGACCATGCATAGCTTATCATGCTTATTGTTTGTATACTATTTTAATGACGTAGAACACATCAGGGTTACATACAAAAGTAAGAATGTGTGCAGTTATAACGGAAAAGGATTACTCTCGTAACACTTATGATGCGTATCAAATATATCTCCTTTATCATGTTTATAGCCACGGAGAATGTTTTTGCGACACTGATTTATCACATCAAGGGTCAAGGTCAAAACCTGGAAAAAATTACCACCTATCTCAAGAAACATTGCAATAGTTAATATTTCAAATGGTTAATATGCTTGATCATGTTGATATTGTAGGTTATATTCACATTCAACAAGTTTTTTTCTGTAATTGGACACCATTTTGTAATATCATCTTTACGTGGGGTGTCATCGTGTTTGAAGTAAGATTTTGAGTGACCTTCATTGAATGTAAGGTAACTGGAATGGTCATTTGTGTTTACTGCTTTTTCCTTTTTGTAACTTAAACTTGTACAACTATATACGTGACATGTGACACACTTGAGGCAGTAGACAGGTGTAGATTTAACAACAAATTTGTATGTAGCCAGCAGGGCTTGCTCCCTTTAAACGTTGCTTGCCCTTTTCCAAACTAACTGGCTCAAAACTAAGTGTTGGAGGCCACAACTGAGTTACCCAGGGAGCTCCAAAAATTGTAGAACTCCTCACACCTAAAACGTCATTTCCAGCACTTTGAGATTAAATCTTGGCTTCCATTTGCCTCATTTTTGTGACAATTTTATGAGAAAATAAAGATGTTGTTGTTGTACAGAACATTACAAAATGGCAACCAGTTGTGTCCTTCTACCGAGATGATCTTTGTCATCCCTCCTAAATATTTTCCTCATCAACATTACGTGATCCACGAGCAGTGTTCAATTAACAAAAGTTAACCATACACAGAGAAGGAGTGAAATTTTGACTAGCCAGATGGGCCATCTACTTTATGTTTCAGCAAGCCTTTCATAATTTTAACTGTCTACAGGCCAACGGGCCAGCAGTTACATTGACCCCTGAGTAGATGAATATAGCTGGTGGTCAAATGAAACATGTTACATGTTATGAGAAGAATTGTTTTTAGAAGATATAGCATATTGGTTTAACATGTTTACTACACACAAAGATTGGACCAAAAGGGGTAAAAATATTGAATACCCAAAGGAAAATATGAATATCCAATAAGAATGATTACATGTAAGTACACTTGGCTGAAATATTTATCTGGAGTGCTGGATAATAGATCTTAACTTCAAACACACAACATATTAGTTAATAGTACAATAAAAGTTAAACGTTTTTGTCTTATCCCAATGTATCAAAGAATATTTATATACTTTTAAAAGTATCAAAACATCCCTGGAGACCATGCAGAAGCATCTGTAACCATGGTAACCTGTAATCAATGGTACCAGCCAACTGACAAACTGAAGCATGCCTGTTTTCATACTTTGTAACAGTATCTCAAATAGGGAAGGAGTCCATGTTGTTTGTAAGTACTCATGCCTCGCCTATCTCATTTGCATATTAGTGTTATCATTGTTATCATGATAATGTCAAGCTTATTTCATGGGGAAATGCTTCAGTTAAATGTTATGATTGAAATATGCAAAGATTTATATTATGTAGGGCTGGGATGGGTAAATCGGGAACCCGGACACTTGGGTTGGGTCACAGGATTACCCGGACACATGGTTAGTCATGCGATATGTTGTTCAGTGACAATAACAATAAGACTCTTAGGCTACACTTAGGCTTTCTGACTATGCACACCCTCCTTCTGACTTTTATATGTCTGAGTAAAGATAAAACTTCAGTCAACTTCAGTGTGAGCACAATCAGATCGTTTTATGCATGTATGTACAGAAAGAAAGACAAGTTCTATGGATGAACAACTTCTTTATTACAATTAGTGCGATGTTTCGGTGTACTAATTGTAATAAAGAAGTTGTTCATCCATAGAACTTGTCTTTCTTCATCACACCAACTTCTAAATGCCAGTGAAAGAAGTTATGTATGTACATAGTTTTTGCCAGGGCTACGGTTGAACAATTTCCAGTCAGTCATTTTTTCCCCAACTCGATACTTACAGCAGGTACCCAGGTAGGGTCAGGTAATAGGGGGTCGGGGACCTGCCCTAGTATTATGTAAAGCATGAAGCAAGGGAAGACGTGTGAAGCCCATTTCTGGTGTCCCCCGCAGTTATATTGCTGGAATATTGCTAAAAGCGGCGTAAAACCATACTCACTCACTCACTCTACTGCAAACACTGTATGCATTTTTACATGTTATAAGAGCATAGTGCACTGTGTATGCATTATTACCTGTAATAAGAGCACAGTACACTGCATATATGATATCTAGTAGAGGATCAGGATGATATATATGAAATTACGACACTAAGTGTTATGAGCCCAGTTTGATATATATATGGGCATGTTGAACTTTATGCTGTATGTTAGCTGGTGGCGACATGTCTTGGTATTGACTTGACATGTCCCATACATTTGACTTGCGTATACATGATGATGAAAATTAGTCAGTGTCATTATTTTTTGTCATTGTATGAGTGAACATTCACCTGTTACATATTTTGTGGAATTTATCAATTTTACCAATCAATTAATGCATATTCTATTGACCTGGAAGTTTCCAGGTTACAGTAGCTCTTCAGCAACCCATGCATGCTGTAAAAGGCAACTATGCTTGTCGCAAGAGGCGACTAACACTAACAGTATTGGGTGGTCAGGCTCGCTGACTTCGTTATGCATGTTATTGTATCCCAATTGCATGGATCGATGCTCATGATGTCAATCACTGGATTGTCAGGTCCAGACTTGATTATTTTCAGACCGCCATCATATAGCGGGAATATTGCTGAGTGCGGCGTTAAACAACAAACAAACAGACATCATATTCTATCATCCTTGTCAGAACACTGTAGTTGTCTGTTTATTTTGAACGACAACTTGGTCAATGTTAGTTTATACTAAATTCTTCTTGTTTTGCTTCCACTTCTTCAATTTTTGAGTATACTATGGTTATAACAAACTCAAAGGGACTCCTAAGTTCATTATAAGCATATATACATCATATATACAGCAAATGGCCAGGACAAAACAAACCAGTTAATTATATTCATCAGTTCGTTATAAGCGTGTTCATTATAAACAGACTTTACTGTACTAATATTAGAACTTTTTATGTTAAAACACAGACCACTCAGCATGTTCATTATAAACAGACTTTACTGTACTAATATTAGAACTTTTTATGTTAAAACACAGACCACTCAGCGTGTTCATTATAAACAGACTTTACTGTACTAATATTAGAACTTTTTATGTTAAAACACAGGCCACTCATTATGTTCATCTGCACAAATTTTCCAACAGTTTGTTCAGACAGCTCAAGTAGTGAATTCAAAGTGTGTGAAGTTTAATACTGTAATACAATCCGTTTTGTATGCAGCCAGTTATTTATTAATGAGGTTGATTTCAACATTACATCGACCGCCTCTGTGGTCTAGTGGTAGAGCGTCCGCCCGGAGAGCGGAAGGTCCGGGGTTCGATCCCAAGCCAAGTCATACCAAAAGACGTTAAAAGATGGTACTTGTTGTTACCCTGTCTGGCACTTGGCATGAAGGGGCTAAAACAAGAACTGGTCGGCTTGGAGTCAGTATACTAGACACACACACACACACACACACACACACACACACACACACACGTTGCTATATAAGTGCAATAATCTTGGACCCGACGTTAAACCTAATTTCACCTCACCTCACCTCACCATTACATCATGATAGCCTTCATGTAGATGCTGTCTGGGCTGATGGCAGCAGATTTATGATGTTGAATGGCGTTTATCAAGTGACATGATCAATATGTTAGTTGGGTGCCAGCAGTCATTATAGCTGTCACCAAGTGCTGATACTGTGGAACAGCTGGTTGTGTTGCCATGGTTATTGTTGTCAGATATGAGTAAGGGATGTTATTTTGCCTGACTGCCTACAGCTAATACAATAACAATACAGATTAGAGAACTATCTGCTGAAAGTCTGTGGTCGGCATTTAGAAGTTGGAAGAACATGAACACATGATAACATAAGGAAGAGAATAATATTGAATATTCAAAGACCTGACATGATAACAACTGGATAACAACTTCTTTATTGTTTGTTACACCGCTTCAGGGCTACTTCTTGCCCCTTCGGGGGACATGGGTGGCCCAGTAGGCTAAGGCGCCGTGATTCACTGTGCAGAGTTGCGTCCCTTGGGCACGCCAGAAACCTATGATTGTAGGTTCGAATCCCAGTTCACCCAAATTATGTTTGTAGTTTGTCAGCACCATACCCGTGCTCGTGGGTTTCACCGAAGTGGTAAACGTCTAAGGCCTGCATCAGGTCACAATAAGCTGACACGCCGTGATATAACTGGAATACTGTTAAAAGCGGCATTAAACCCAACTCTCTCACTCACTCACTCTTGCCCCTTCGTCAGGTGAATCCCGGGTAAATGTACTGATATGATAACTATGCTTGTCATAAGAGGCGACTAACGGGGTCGGGTGATCAGGCTCGCTGACTTGGTTGATGCATGTCATCGAATCCCAATTGAGTGGGTTAATGTTCATGATATCAATCACTTGAATGTCTGGACCAGATTTGATTATTTACAGACCGCCATCATATAGCTGGAATATTGCTGAGTGCACCATTAAACAACAAACAACCAAACTATTCATTATGTTTGAAATATAATTCAAAGTCACTATTATCAAGGAAGTTATTTGGTAAGTTTTGAAAACATGTAAATGAATTACTGTTTTCAATAGCCTGCATTTGTTTGTTTTAAAGGGGACAAAGATGGACCTTCCCTGACAGATCTCCATGCTCTCTTCAATGAGCCAGGGCTACTGCGATCAGTCGCCTCCAAGATAAAGTAAGCTGAGAAAATATGGCATGATAACCATGATAACTGCGTCATTTTCTCGGTGCAGACTTTTTCTTTTTCTATTACAATTTGATACTCTTTTACCATGATTACATTATGAATTGTGCTTTTCTGGGGATTTTGTGTTGAAATTTGCTGAACATCACGTCGATGCACTGTTAGCTATTTTATGTCATGGGAACTGTGGTGATGGTGGAGATTTGTCTAATCAGATGGCTGGAAGAAAGATGTTCAGTAAAAATATAGTCCTCTTCCAGGAAAATGATAAATTTCCTTCTGCATGTTCGGCTTTTGTCTGGATATAGATACAAGGGCTGATTGATAAGTTCTGAGCCTCACATAGAAGGGATTTTGTAACAGTGAAATCTTTTGTTTTGGACATAACATAAGTCATGGAGGCATATCCACAAACATTTGACTCAATTGAGCATATTGTTTTGCTAAAAGTCAGTAAATTAGCAGGGTGCCGTGACCTTTGGAAAATGGACAAACATGCATTGATCAAATACATGCAGAAAAAGAGCTTAACGCCAAAAGGCATCCATGGAGATTTGAGTACAACACTATGTTGCCCCTTCCAATGCCACTGTAAAGAGGTGGGCAGCAGAGTTTACACGTGGCAGGTAGAGCTGTGAAGACGACCCCGTCCTGGAAGGCCTGTCAAGTCAAGTAATGATCCCGAGAATCCATGTTATGGTGATGACCGACTTGCGAAAGAGGGCAACTGATCCAAAATGCACCAGACACATCATGTCTTGTGATTATCTAGTTCTGTTTGAAGCTGATCAAGAAAGGTTCTTGCAACAATTTGTGACTATGGCTGTAACCTGAGTTCGATCTAAACATTAGACATGTTAGACATCACCACCACCAAAGAAGGCAAAGACTGCCCCATCAGCTGGAAAGGTTGTGGCCTCCATGTTCTAGGATTCCGAGGGTGTTGTCATAGCGAACTTCCAAAAGGCCAGACAATAAAATGGAGCATATAATGCTCCACTTTTGATGCAATAATGAGATGAAATTAAGAATTGTGAAAAGGTGTGCTGTTCCATCAGAGCAAAGCCAGTGCACAAATCATGGCTACAATCTACAAGTGTGGCTTTGAACACCATCAGCACCCACCTTCTTCTCCTGGTCTGGCTTTGTCAAACTTTCATCTCCACCAAAACATGAAGAGAGTTCTAGCCATAACCAGTTTGCCATAGCAGCTGTGGAGAACGTTTTGGACAACCAAACTTCTACAAAACTGGGATGAAATCCCTTCAACATCATTTCCAAAAGTGTATCAGTGTGGACGGGGATTATGTTGAAAATTAAATCGTATTAATCGCTCTTGGTCAAGTCTGTCTATGTGAAGACCAGAACTTGTAATCCTTGTAACATAAGCAAGTGAAGATATTCCACTCTTACTTTTATCATGGGGAAAGTGGACTAGTGCCTGATATTGACCTTAGATTTTCAGCCTGCATTCAGAAGAAAATAGTGTGTTACATGATTGCCATGTGCTCGTCGTTAAGGGGTTAAAACAGGGACTGGTTGGTCCTAGTTGGTTTAATGTGATTTGGATATCCATGTTAAAACTGTGGCATGGTATCTTAGTGGACTAGCACTACAAAACCGTCATTAGTCTGGACTATTAAAAGCAGCTACACACACATATGTGCACAGACGTCACTATATTAGTGCAATAATTTTGAATGTTGAGTTTTACCCATTCCCCTGACCTCCCTGTATGTGACGGGTTGTGTTTGTTGTTGCTTGATGCAGTGAGGTTGTACTGCCTGTTACAGAGACCCCATCCCTGACAATGTGATCCACCAGTACCACGGCCACATCATCCGGTGGCTGAGAGAGAGGCAGGACAGGATGGAGGTGGGTTGTGCACTGGGTACATGGTCAGCCGATTGTCAATTTAACAAATAATAATAATAATAATAATAATAATAATAATAATAATAGGCTATTTCTATTGCGTACATTTCCACACCACTCAGGGACATGCTCAAAGCGCTATTATTACCCCGATTGCTAGATTGGTGTGCACTCAAGAATCGTTCTCATCTCCCTGGGGAGTATACAACACAAGGTGCCTGTTAGGCACTAGAAGGTTAACAACCACTTTGCCATCTCATCCTACCGAGTCTCTGAGTCAGCAGAAGTACTCTTCTTTAAACATCCTTTTGATAGATTCAGAACACTTTTCCAATATAAAAAATACCTGCTGTATCCTTATACTGTATGAGACAATGTAAGAAGCAGTATGTTTTGTGGTCTTTTTAAGCTTTAAATGTAATGTTTTTGCTGACTAAAATTTCTTTGTAGAGAATAAGACTGTATACTTTCCTTGTGTTCTAAAAATTATGTTTCCATTGTATTCAGTCAAAAGATATTTTAATAATCGGTTACATAACACACAGTGAGAATAGCAAATCTTCTCTACAACAGTCTGCAAATCTTAGTAATGATATTAGTTTTTACTATGTCATAGTATATCGGCTATTGTACGTTTGCAGGAGAATGTCACGTTAAGCCAGTTTTGTGACATGCTGATGGCAAAGGGAGTGTCCAGAAATGAGGTTGTGAAGGTAAGCAAAATGAGTGAGTGAGAGAGTTGTGTTTGAAACCATTGACACTTTCATCACCTTGGTAAAACCCACATGTATAGGTATTTAAATAATCTAATAATATGAACAATATATCTGTAATATTTTATTAAGTTCTTATTTGATGTTTTTCTGATTATAATCACCAAGATCATATAGTCATAAGAATCATCCATGCAAGGTTCAATATCTGTAAAATCCATTTGCATGAGGTTGTTAAAAAGAATACAAAGTAGATAATCTCATTGACACCGATGTTGTCGTACTGATAGAGTGTTCCTCCCTGACCTCCCAACCCCCATGTGGTACTGATAGCGTGTTCCTCCCTGACCTCCCAACCCCATGTTGTCATACTGATAGCGTGTTCCTCCCTAACCTCCCAACCCCGATGTTGTCGTACTGATAGCGTGTTCCTCCCTAACCTCCCAACCCCATGTTGTCATACTGATAGTGTGTTCCTCCCTGACCTCCCAACCCCATGTTGTCATACTGATAGCGTGTTCCTCCCTAACCTCCCAACCCCATGTTGTCATACTGATAGCGTGTTCCTCCCTGACCTCCCAACCCCCATGTTGTTGTACTGATCATGCTGATAGCGTGTTCCTCCCTAACCTCCCAACCCCATGTTGTCATACTGATAGCGTGTTCCTCCCTGACCTCCCAACCCCATGTTTTCATACTGATAGAGTGTTCCTCCCTGACCTCCCAACCCCATGTTTTCATACTGATAGAGTGTTCCTCCCTGACCTCCCAACCCCCATGTTGTCATACTGATAGAGTGTTCCTCCCTGACCTTCCAACCCCCATGTTGTCATACTGATAGTGTTCCTCCCTGACCTTCCAACCCCCATGTTGTCATACTGATAGTGTGTTCCTCCCTGACTTCCCAACCCCCATGTTGTACTGATAGCATGTTCCTCCCTAACCTCCCAACCCCAATGTTGTCATACTGATAGAGTGTTCCTCCCTGACCTCCCAACCCCCATGTTGTCATACTGATAGAGTGTTTCTCCCTGACTTCCCAACCCCCATGTCGTACTGATAGTGTGTTCCTCCCTGACTTCCCAACCCCCATGTTGTCATACTGATAGAGTGTTTCTCCCTGACTTCCCAACCCCCATGTCGTACTGATAGCGTGTTCCTCCCTGACCTCCCAACCCTGATGTTGTTGTATTGATAGAGTGTTCCTCCTAACCCAGAAGTTGTTATATTAATGGAGTGTTCCTCCTGGGCAGGCGTTCCAGCAGTTTGACACAGATGGCAGTGGTGTCGCAGAGGTGTCAACCATGATGGATGCCCTGTCCACCTTCTCGTCCGGCAACGTGATGGGAGAGTTAGGGAAGAACATCCGCATGCTCCAAGCCTGCTCCCTCACTGCAGGTTAGACATGTTAGATACATAGACTGATTTGATCCTATGATGCACTGGTGACTGCTCATTGTGCAAGTCCAAACTGTAGGATGCTCTCTTTCCATGTGCCTCTGTTTGACATTTATGTTGTATCTATTTTAATTTCATTCACGTCCATCTTGGGAAGAAAATAGGATTCACAAATGTACAGCTGCTTGATTGAACTCAATATAGTTTACAATACACTTGAGCAATGTATGTTTTAATGATCTGCACATCAGATGGTCCATAAAACCGGTACAATGGACATTTTGATCTAATAGAAAGGTTGAAAGTAATATTCCGATATTTCAAAATGAGAAAAAATAAAAACATGTTATTTTCTCTGAAGTAGTATCTTGTGATAGTTATCTCATGCACATAGTATTGCAGAATATGTTGTCTTTGATGTATCCCATCTTTGTCACTGTAATCTGGTGAATGAGACGTCTGTCTGTGTGCAGGGTTTGTGGATGTATATGCTGGAGACAAGAACCCGATGAGCCGGCATGGAGAGAAGATCCTCAAGGTACACAGCAACACCTAATGTCGTCCTAACAATTAAAGACCTCCGTGATCTAGTGGTAGAGCGACCGCCCGGAGAGCGCAAGGTCCGGGGTTCGATCCCCAGCCGCGTCATACCAAAAGACGTTAAAAGATGGTACTTGTTGTTACCCTGTCTGGCGCTCGGCATTAAGGGGCTAAAACAAGGACTGGTCGGCTCGGAGTCAGTATACTGTGTCTGAGTGGGGTATTCTTGTTAAACTGCGGCATGGTATCTCAGTGAGCTAGCACTATAAATCAGCATCAGTCCGGACTAGTACAAGCAGCCACACAAACACACACACGTACATGCACGTCGCTATATAAGCACAATAATCTTGGACGCGACATTAAACCCCATTTCACCTCACCACCTAAAAATTAAGCTTGTAACTCAAATGTTAAAGATCAAGCATCTTCAGCATGTTCAGGGTGTGCATGATGCAAATACTATACAGGCAGACCATCAGTACCCCCACCCCTGTAACATTTTGAGATATGGGTGCTGGGATAGAGTTGTCTCAACATCTTTATACATGGCTGTGACCTTTGAATACAAGAAGATGTGATAAAGCTGCTTTACTGTTAGAAGAAGCATAAAAACATCAATCATTTAAAAATAATTGTTTACGGAAACTTTTTCAACAGTTCTGATTGGTTAAGTTAAATCAGAACTGTAAGTCTCAAGGGAGACAATAGATGTTTGGTCTCAGTAGTCTAGCTGAACGTGATGTAGTGTTATTATAAAAATCTGTCAATTTGTAATTTAGGTGTTTGTAATGCAGCTTTGAACAGTATTCCAGTTATATCACGGCGTGTCAGCTTGATGTGGGAGGAAAGCCCGAAGTGATGCAGGTCTCAGCCGTTTACCACTTCGGTGAAACCCCGAGCACGGGTATGGTGCTGACAAACCTAGAAACATAATCGGGTTTAACCGGGATTCAAACCCACAATCATAGGTTTCTGGCGTGCCCAAGGGACGCAACTCTGCATAGCAACTTGTGGCGCCTTAGACGACTTGGCCACCCGTGCCCGTTAGGTGTTTGTAGTAAATAGGGGAAGACTGACCTTGATTATGGACCATTCTATAGGCATTTGGCCTCATAAGAATCATTAATACAGATTGATTGATTGATTGTGGATGTTATTTCAGTACTTGCTGCGGAACCGTGCAGAAACATCCTCCCTTCCGTTCCCTCATCTTAACGGCTTTAACAACACCAGCAACATGCGCATGTCAGTTCTCAAGTCTACCTTCACGTCTCTGAAGGATGCTGGTGAGCGCCGTTCTGTTTTATTACGGATGGCTTTCCATTCATGTATATATACAGCTTCAGTGTCATACCCTACACTTTCTCAAAATATAGTAAAGTATTATTGTTGCTGCTTCAAATGTGAATATACAGGCTAACCTGCCCTGCTACTTGCTGCTGTCTGTTGCAGCCAAGATGGAGAATGAGGAGCAGGAGCTTGCAGAAGGAGAGGAGCTGAAACCCATCACCAAGTGCTTCAGTGCCATGGAGGTCTCCACAAACTCCTCTGATGCCTACAGGTAGGTCTCCACAAACTCCTCTGATTTAGTTTGTATGTCACACAGTCCTCAAGTACCATTGTTTACATGTTAACTTATATGTATGTTTGAATATGTTATGTCAGGATGGATGATTAACACAATATCAAACAAACATTAATCTGTTTTCTTTTCAGCTCTCTGAATGTTTATGCCCTTTCTACCTTTAGATCCTAATATGTTGCTTTGTTCCTTTGTCACAAGTGTTAACACTGTTATCAATGGTTATTATGTTCTGTTGTCACGAGTGTTAACACTGTTATTATGTTCCTTTGTCACAAGTGTTAACACTGTTATAATGTTCCTTTGTCACAAGTGTTAACACTGTTATAATGTTCCTTTGTCACGAGTGTTAACACTGTTATTATGTTCCTTTGTCATGAGTGTTAACACTGTTATTATGTTCCTTTGTCACAAGGGTTAACACTGTTATCAATGGTTATTATGTTCCTTTGTCACAAGTGTTAACACTGTTATTATGTTCCTTTTGTCACAAGTGTTAACACTGTTATTATGTTCCTTTGTCACAAGTGTTAACACTTATTACCCTATTTTCTTTAGTATAGTGCGCACCCATGTATAATGCGCACCCCCCTCTAACGGATTCAGTATTTTGGAGAAAAAAAATTCGAATATCAAGCGCAGAAAAAAATTACCCCTTCAGCGAATTTCGGTAAACGAACGGGTGACAAGAAACTGGGTCAGTACACATTCGAAATTTGAGATAAAAAAATCACCAGACAAGTTGATTTAACGTTTAAATTGTATTTTTTATTCTGCTAGGCATTGTTTTACATCCAGGGATTAAGATTACCTTGTGTATGTTCTCGTAAACTACGCCTGAAACAGCAATCAGCTGTACACACGTTTTCTTGGAATCTACCGGTGATTTTGTCAAGACACACCCAATGATATAACTTTACAGGATTTTAATGCAAGGATCGGCAAAAATTGTATCTGAAACTATTTTTTATCAGGAATAATATATTCCAATATCTTGTTAATTTAATTGCAGCTTTTACTAAACATATAAAATAATAATAACCCTAAGCGAAGCAGCTGATCGCTATTGCCGATCGCTATTGCCGGTTATTATTTTTCACATGGAACCAGTCTGACCAGTCACCGTCAAGGATTCCGCGCACGTGATCGCATGATCGCGAGAACTACGTGTTGACATAGAATCGTCAAACTATAACAAATATGACTTTTAACGAGTCAAAGTATGGCATTTATGATATATGTATCCCTTTTCTGTCGACTAAAGTTTGTTTCAAGGCGTCAATAGCAGTAATCTGACCATGCTTGCTGTTAATAACGGTGAGGTGTGCGATCTGAAGATCGCTTCACACAGGATTTCGCCGAAATTAATTAAAACATTATTGAAAGGAATTTTGAATAAAATTAATGAAATAAGTTACAAATATAAGTCCAGATATACAAAGAAACTTTTTATAGCCAGACAGTGTAATTACATGATGATTTTGCGTACTTCAGTATGGATTTGTTGACATGGTATTTCCAGTGTTGCGTGCTCACGGTAATATCTTTCCATTAGGAAAAACCCATCAAAACTCATTATTTCGTGTATAATGCGCACCCCCTTCTACACGGCTGTGTTTTTAAAAAAAGAAGTGCGCACTACATGTATACTCAAGAAAATACGGTATGTTCCTTTGTCATGAGTGTTAACACTGTTATTATGTTCCTTTGTCACAAGTGTTAACACTGTTATTATGTTCCTTTGTCACAAGTGTTAACACTGTTATTATGTTCAATATTTCATGTTTCAGATTAACTAATGGTGACCCATATAGCTTCTGGCAGTCAGACGGAGCTGCTCGGACCCACTGGATCAGGTGTGTATCACTTTTATACACACTCAAGCCCTGTTAATGCAGCATCCTTTATAATACATGTGACCCAGTCAAAGAAATTGTAACTGGCTGTGCAGAGATGTGTCTTTTAACTGAAGGAATGACAGCTCAAATCCTACATTTCCCTTGCTTGTGATCCAGCCTTGCACTATAGTGTCCTGGTTATACTGATATCTTTGGGCTCTAGCCCTCTCCACAGTTTGGCTGGTGGAGTAAAGCTGCCCTGGTTGAGTGAAGTGACCTCCTCATGGTTTAAAAATATCCTTGTGATTAGTGACCCGTGAAAATTCCGGGGTAGAATAGGTCTTCAGCAACCCATGCTTGCCATAAAAGGCGACTATGCTTGTCGTAAAAGGCGGCTAACGGGATCGGGTGGTCAGGCTCGCTGACTTGGTTGATGCATGTCATCGATCCCAATGGCGTGGATGGATGCTCATGATATTAATCACTGGATTGTCTGGCCCAGACTCGATTATTTACAGACCATATAGCTGGAATATTGCTGAGTGCGACGTTAAACAACGAACCAACCAACCTTGTGATTAGTGAGCATGGAGCATGACAATTTTAGAAGTATATTATCAATATTTATGCTGTTCAGTGTGTGATCACGATAGGTCAGCACTAGCAGTCCTGAAATCCTTTGCTATGGAGGAGGTTTTCACATGGTACCAGTGGTACCTATTTTGATCATCACATGGTTTGAATGTGGTATGTTGAGATGTAGAGTGTCAGTTTATTTCCTTGACAGGCTACGGATGAGGAACAATGTGGTGATCAAACAGCTGTCGGTGTCGGTGGCATCATCCGATCAGAGTTACATGCCGGAGCTGGTGATGGTGTCGGCAGGCAGGAGTCCCAGAGCTCTGCGGGAGCTCAAGGAGGTCCGCATTGCTAGGTAGGAAACTCAGCTTCCTGTATGGCGTACCTCACAGTGATACAGACTTGAGAACTTTCCTCGGATTCCCGCAATTCTGGGATTTTTCCTCTCAGAATGATTTAAATTTTCACCAAAAAATCCCTAGATTGTTGATGTTTCTCAAAAAAACCAAGTTTTTCTGTTCTCATATCTGGTGACCATTCACTCTGTACTATCGCAGCAACCAGTAAATAGCTCCCCATTGTGCTAGGCACATTGCAACCTTGCATGGAGTTAACTCCCACTTGCATGAATGTTATGTTCACAAACAAGTAATGACCCTTTTCCCACTTAACTTATAAGATATTCCTAAAGACATGCACAAAAATATACATGTCGCAGCATTTGGAGTTTGAGGGAAATGTTCCAGATTCTTGTCATGGCTTCTTGCACACTGTTGGCTTCTCCCTATGTCTTCAGTTGACTTTAATGGTGTTGATTATATATGAGGTGACTTAAAGAGTCAGGTGGTCAGGTTCGATGACTTGGTTGATAGGATGTCATTGTCCTCTCACATAGATCACACTTTCAACTTGGGGCACGCATGGCCCAGTCCTCTAAGGCGTCGTGATTTGCTGTGCAGAGTTGCGTCCCTTGGGCACGCCAGAAACCTATGATCGTGGGTTCGAATCCTGGTTCGCCCCAATTATGTTTCTAGGTTTGTCAGCACCATACCCATGCTCGTGTGTTTCCCGGAAGTGGTAAACGTCTGAGACATGCTTCGCGTTGGGCTTTCCTCCCACATTAAGGTGACACGCCGTGATATAACTGGAATACTGTTAAAAGCGGCTTTAAACCCAACTCACTCACTCACTCACTTTTAACCACAGATTTGTCTGCTACAGGCTTGATTATTCACAGGCTGGCATCATATTGCGGGAATATTACAGTGTGGTATTAAACCACAAAGAAACAAACAATGTACTTATATTCCTTCAGTGCACTTTTGGAATGGTGAATGTGTGACATCATGGAGGGTTTCCTTGGTGTTGTCTACGTTGATAATTGTCTCCTCACTCAGTGATACAGGCAGAGAAACAGCTCATTGACATTGTGTAGCTGTGGTGGTGTCCAGGATCAGGCTGGTTCAGTTTGTCCCGATCAATATGTTGACAGCGAAATAATAACAGGTTGTGATTGTTTTTGATGTGTTGATGTTTTTTGTGAACCTTTTATGGAATACTTGATCTGCTCTGGAATAATATTGACTCATTTATTTGTTTCAGTCATTTTACTGGAGATGTTGTGCTTTTGAAAAATGCCAAGGTCTTCTACCCTAGTAAGTAAACATTACTTGAACTAATTTTCTATCAAGATCGTTAAGGTGGTACCATGTGAATCATTGTTTTGCGTATATAAAAGAAATAATGTTGGTTTGAGATGCAGATAAGATAATGTTCTCTTCGGTTTCTAGTCATTCAGATTAACATCAAACGGTGCCACAGTGATGGCTGTGATACTAGGATACATGGCATCAAGACAGTTGGATACAGGTAACCATATTTATTTACCACAACCTGATGTTGTTGTTTTTACACTTCCAGAAGATTACTGTTGAGAAACCAAATGCTTACTACCAATATGTAATCTGTCCTGTTAAATTAAATTAATGCCGACTCATTTGACTTGCTCACAGTAATGCCTTTGTGTTGAGGAAAAAAATCAGAACTCTTCAACCCTTTGTATAAGACAACCCCCCTTGAAAGCCCCTTATTCTAGGTACGAAAAACTCGCCTTTTACACACTGATATCCGGTATACAGATATACAGAGTTGTACAGACCTTTATCGTTGCAGGGGGCGGTCGGGTAGCCTAGTGGTTAAAGCGTTCGCTCGTCACGCCGAAGACCTGGGTTCGATTCCCGACATGGGTACAATGTGTGAAGCCCATTTCTGGTGTCCCCCGCCGTGATATTGCTGGAATATTGCTAAAAGCGGCGTAAAACCATACTCACTCACTCATTATCGTTGCAGCTTAATTTATGCCAAGGGACATAACTCTGTACCCATGATCCACATCTTGAAATTTGTTAACCCAGACAGTTTAACTTGGACTTGTCTGGGTGAACAGGGTTTCACTGTACATGTATTGCTTTATTATATGTTGCCTCTATATGAGAGGCTCACAAGACTATGTTTAACCTCAGAGTTGTCCGAGAGCCCGGTGTGACAGTGATGGATGCGACGGCGATGTGGTACCTGCAGATCCTGGCGTCCACAGTGTCTGCCACTGTTCCTCAGTCTCCACAGCTCAGACTGCTGGTCCTGCAACATACCAAGTAGGGATCTCTCACACTTTACTCCACAATTATTTCATTCCTGATATCTAGAATTGTTTGGGTAGAATATCTTAAAGAAACATGCAGATGTGTCTTAATTTTTCATGCTGCTTTTCCGTCTGCATGTCCCTTGAGTTTTCACTACGAATCTACTGTTTACTTTTCTTCACTGTGTCTACACGGATGAGTTAAGTGGTAAAGGTTATATTATTTAAGTGACAAGTTCTTGTAAAGATTGATTTCTCCTACCATGACCAGTCCTGTGTTAGCTTGTTCTGGACCCGTGAAGATCCAGGGTAGAATAGGTCTTCAGCAACCCATGCTTGCCATGAAAGGTGACTATGCTTGTCGTAAGAGGCGACTAACAGGATCAGGTGGTCAGGCTTGCTGACTTGGTTGATGCATGCCATCGATCTCAATTGCGTGGATCGATGCTTATGATGTCAATCACTGGATTGTCTGATCCAGACTCGATTATTTACAGACCGCCGTCATAGCTGGAATATTGCTGAGTGCGGCGTTAAACAACAAACAAACAAAACAAAAGCTTGTTCTGTTAAGCTGTTTGGTTCAGAGTGTAGGACTTTGGGGATTTCTGTTGCTTGTAGACAGTTCAATGTTATGATGAAAGCCAACCATGTTCATTGGACCATGAAAATAAACTGAAGTTATCTTAACCGTATGTTATCTTTTTCAAAGATCTTCTTCTATGCTGCTCCATGTACATGTGTCAGATAATAATGATAAGAAGAAGAAGAAGAATTAGATATGACCTTTTTTTTGCTTAGTTTTATACCTTAAATTAAGAAAGTGTAATTTATTTTGATGGTGAAATCTGTTTTGTTGTATCAGTGACAGACAATGATATGCATGGGTGTGCTTGTAGGAAGGCCCTGGAACACATGCCGCCGCTGTCCCTCAGCCTGGCCAGCACTGACCGTCCCCAGTTCCTCAGCAAGCATGTGATGCAGGAGATGGAGACATTCATCACGGAGCTGGCAAGGTGGGAGCCAACATCTTATATAGGGAAAGGGGGCACGAGTGGCCCAGTCCTCTAAGGCGCCACCATTTGCTGTGCAGAGTTGCGTCCCTTGGGCACGCCAGAAACCTATGATTGTGGGTTTGAATCCCAGTTCGCCCCGATTATGTTTGTAGCTTTGTCAGCACCATACCCGTGCTCGTGGGTTTCACCAAAGTGGTAAACGTCTGAGACCTGCATCACTTCAGGTTTTCCTCCCAGATTAAGCTGACACGCCGTGATATAACTGGAATACTGTTAAAAGTAGCATTAAACCCAACCCACTCACTTATATAGGGAAATGAATTGGATTACTTCATGGAAATCTGGGCCAGTTAGACCATGTCTGTAAATTGTGTTAATTTGCCATTCCATGATAAGATTGAATAATCATGTTGAACATTTTGACTGACATCATGTATATACACTAATATATGTGTGGGGAAAATGTGCTATTGAAATGAATATGTTTTCTCATTGTTATTTTTCCATGTTGTGTTTCAGTAAAGGAGATGAGATCATCCCCGAGGGATTACACCTACTGCTGGGGCTCAACTTGGCCAGGGGCAACGTGGCGGGCCTGCTGAAAACCCTCAAACACTTTTATAGTAAGTGTCAATGTCAGCCTCAATATTGGCTCTTCACTTTGGACTTACTTCCCACATTCAGCTGACACTATGAGAGGACTGAAATACTGCTCACAGCACACTCGCTCTTGTTGTTCATGATATAGATGATGATAACAGCAGCAGTAGAACTAACAGTTTTAGTCCACTAGCCCTATGATAACATATAGCAAACCCCGTAAAAATGGCAAGTTTCTACTAGTCCTTATGATACCTTGCAGCAGTAGAAACTAACAGTTTTAGTCCACTAGCCCTATGATAACATATAGCAAAACACTTAAGAATGGCAAATTTCTACTTGTCCTTATGACACCTTGCAGCAGTAAAAACTAACTTTTTTAATCCACTAGCCCTATAATAACATATAGCAAAACACTTAAGAATGGCAAATTTCTACTAGTCCTTATGATACCTTGCAGCAGTAGAACTAACAGTTTTAGTCCACTAGCCCTATGATAACATATAGCAATACACATAAGAATGGCAAATTTGGACTAGTCCTTATGATACCTTGACTATTGGGCAGGACTAGTGCCAATTTCTAACCCTGTAACAGCTATTGTTCTGTTTACCAGTGTATTATGTATCCGTGTTCTTTGCAGGAAATCCTGAGTTAACCCTGCCGTGTTCAGGTCTGCTGCTGAAGATGATAGATGCCAGGAACTCCTGCTGGGAGAGATTAGGTCAGTAGCATTATGTAGCTGTGGTAGTGGGCTGGCCTTGGGGATGCAGTGTGCTGTCATCCATCTCCATTGCTTGCTCATTCCTGTTGAGTTTATACAAGTTGTATTTATAGGTGATGAATTACTTGCATGCCATTGGAATACTGTAGTGGTCCTAGGGGCAGAATACGTCCCTACACTGTATCAGTGACTTGTTGTGTCGTCGTAACTCAGCCAGGTTGGATTTGCTCATTATATCAACCACTGGTTTATCGAGTCAAGATTTGATTATTTACAGGTCACTGTGATAAAGCTGAAACATTGATATCTCACTCATTCACTTTATGTTTGTGCAGTGATGAAACTAACAGTTTCAGTCCACTATTTCTTATAATGATAACATATAGCAAAATACTTACAAATTTCAAACTTCTACTTGTCCTTATGATACCTTAACTATTGGCAGTTTGACAAGGACTTTAAGACTAGTGCCAGTTTCTAACACTGAGGTGCCTTTGAAGATCTGGGTTAGAATGGATCTTCAGTAACCCATGCTTGTTTGTAGGAGGCAACTAATGGGATCGGGTGGTCAGACTCACTGACTTGGTTGATGCATGTCATCATATCCCTGATGCGTAGGTCAATGCTCATCATGTCAATCACTGGATTGTCTGTCATAGAATTGATTATTTACAAGCCGTGTCATATAACTTGAATATTGCCGATTGCCGCGTTAAACAACAAACAAACAAACAAAATGTAGCCTATAGATTCACAGTGGCAAACTCAATTCACTAACTTATGAAAGAACTGATGCATTCATCCATGGAGAACATGGTACTCAACTTGCACACACACACTCCATTTAGGAGAATCAACTCTTATGGTCTGGCAGCTTTTGTGGTTTGGTTAACATACTCCAGACTCTAGTGGTCCTTGTCAGACTACCTGTTACCATGGTGAACTCATGCTGGCTGTGTGTTTCAGAGAGCCCCCTGCAGTTCAGCGTTTGTGGATGTGACGGGGGTCAGAGTGATGAGACATCAAGTGCCGAGAATGTCACCCTGAAGCCATCGGGCAATGCGCCACAACGTAAGATTGGCTGTTTGGGTGAAACTTTGTAGCCCTGTGATTCCTCTCTGGTTAGGTCTACATTGTTTCTATTGTTTCTATTGTTTCCATCATCATCCCATCCCAGTTACAGCCATCTTTCCACGGGAACCTTACATTTTACCAGACCAATTGCTTCACTGGACTTAGCCTACAAGTTGGATAATATCAGAGTATGTGGAAGGGGAGCCACAAGCTGTCATGTTTTAATCTCATTTGGATGTTATACTCAAATGGTGCAACCCTGTGGGATTCACAGATAGAATAGGTCCCTGTCAACCTATGTTGGTCTCCATTTGGGATTCACGGATAGAATAGATCCCAGGCAACCTATGTTGGTCTCCCTGTGGGATTCAGGGATAGAATAGGTCCCTGTCAACCAATGTTGGTCTCCCAGTGGGAATCAAGGATAGAATAGATCCCAGGCAACCTATGTTGGTCTCCATTTGGGATTCACGGATAGAATAGATCCCAGGCAACCTATGTTGGTCTCCCTGTGGGATTCAGGGATAGAATAGGTCCCGAGCAACCTATGTTGGTCTCCCTGTGGGATTCAGGGATAGAATAGATCCCAGGCAACCTATGCTGGTCTCCTTGTGTGATTCAGGGATAGAATAGGTCCCCAGCAACCAATATTGCTCTCGCAGTGGGAAGCAAGGATAGAATAGGTCCCCAGCAACCTATACTGGTCTCCCAGTGGGAATCAAGGATAGAATAGGTCCCCAGCAACCAATATTGGTCTCCCATTGGGAATCAAGGATAGAATATGTCCCCAGCAACCTATACTGGGCCCCCTTGTGGGATTCAGGGTTAGAATAGATTTCCGGCAACCTATGCTGGTCTCCTTGTGGGATTCAGGGATAGAATAGGTCCCCATCAACCAATGTTGGTCTCCCTATGGGAATCAAGGATAGAATAGATCCCCGGCAACCTATGTTGGTCTCCTTGTGGGATTCAGGGATAGAATAGGTCCCAAGCAACCTATGCTGGCCTCCCTGTGGGGATCAAGGATAGAATAGATCTCCAGGAACCTATGCTGGCCTCCCTGTGGGGATCAAGGATAGAATAGATCTCCAGGAACCTATGCTGGCCTCCCTGTGGGGATCAAGGATAGAATAGATCCCCGGCAACCTATGCTGGTCTCCTTGTGGGATTCAACCAATGTTGGTCTCCCTATGGGAATCAAGGATAGAATAGATCCCCGGCAACCTATGTTGGTCTCCTTGTGGGATTCAGGGATAGAATAGGTCCCCAGCAACCTATGCTGGCCTCCCTGTGGGGATCAAGGATAGAATAGATCTCCAGGAACCTATGTTGGTCTCCCTGTGGGATTCAGGGATAGAATAGGTCCCTGTCAACCAATGTTGGTCTCCCAGTGGGAATCAAGGATAGAATAGATCCCCGGCAAACTATGTTGGTCTCCCTGTGGGATTCAGGGATAGAATAGGTCCCGAGCAACCTATGTTGGTCTCCCTGTGGGATTCAGGGATAGAATAGGTCCCGAGCAACCTATGTTGGTCTCCCTGTGGGATTCAGGGATAGAATAGGTCCCAAGCAACCTATGTTGGTCTCCCTGTGGGAATCAAGGATAGAATAGATCCCCGGCAACCTATGTTGGTCTCCCTGTGGGATTCAGGGATAGAATAGGTCCCGAGCAACCTATGTTGGTCTCCCTGTGGGATTCAGGGATAGAATAGGTCCCGAGCAACCTATGTTGGTCTCCCTGTGGGATTCAGGGATAGAATAGGTCCCAAGCAACCTATGCTGGTCTCCTTGTGTGATTCAGGGATAGAATAGGTCCCCATCAACCAATGTTGGTCTCCCTATGGGAATCAAGGATAGAATAGATCCCCGGCAACTTATGTTGGTCTCCTTGTGGGATTCAGGGATAGAATAGGTCCCAAGCAACCTATGCTGGCCTCCCTGTGGGGATCAAGGATAGAATAGATCTCCAGGAACCTATGCTGGCCTCCCTGTGGGGATCAAGGATAGAATAGATCTCCAGGAACCTATGCTGGCCTCCCTGTGGGGATCAAGGATAGAATAGATCCCCGGCAACCTATGCTGGTCTCCTTGTGGGATTCAGGGATAGAATAGGTCCCTGTCAACCAATGTTGGTCTCCCAGTGGGAATCAAGGATAGAATAGATCCCCGGCAACCTATGTTGGTCTCCCTGTGGGATTCAGGGATAGAATAGGTCCCGAGCAACCTATGTTGGTCTCCCTGTGGGATTCAGGGATAGAATAGGTCCCCAGCAACCTATGTTGGTCTCCCTGTGGGATTCAGGGATAGAATAGGTCCCGAGCAACCTATGTTGGTCTCCCTGTGGGATTCAGGGATAGAATAGGTCCCAAGCAACCTATGTTGGTCTCCCTGTGGGAATCAAGGATAGAATAGATCCCCGGCAACCTATGTTGGTCTCCCTGTGGGATTCAGGGATAGAATAGGTCCCGAGCAACCTATCTTGGTCTCCCTGTGGGATTCAGGGATAGAATAGGTCCCAAGCAACCTATGTTGGTCTCCCTGTGGGGATCAAGGATAGAATAGATCTCCAGGAACCTATGCTGGCCTCCCTGTGGGGATCAAGGATAGAATAGATCTCCAGGAACCTATGCTGGCCTCCCTGTGGGGATCAAGGATAGAATAGATCCCCGGCAACCTATGCTGGTCTCCTTGTGGGATTCAACCAATGTTGGTCTCCCTATGGGAATCAAGGATAGAATAGATCCCCGGCAACCTATGTTGGTCTCCTTGTGGGATTCAGGGATAGAATAGATCCCCAGCAACCTATGCTGGCCTCCCTGTGGGGATCAAGGATAGAATAGATCTCCAGGAACCTATGTTGGTCTCCCTGTGGGATTCAGGGATAGAATAGGTCCCTGTCAACCAATGTTGGTCTCCCAGTGGGAATCAAGGATAGAATAGATCCCCGGCAACCTATGTTGGTCTCCCTGTGGGATTCAGGGATAGAATAGGTCCCGAGCAACCTATGTTGGTCTCCCTGTGGGATTCAGGGATAGAATAGGTCCCCATCAACCAATGTTGGTCTCCCTATGGGAATCAAGGATAGAATAGATCCCCGGCAACTTATGTTGGTCTCCTTGTGGGATTCAGGGATAGAATAGGTCCCAAGCAACCTATGCTGGCCTCCCTGTGGGGATCAAGGATAGAATAGATCTCCAGGAACCTATGCTGGCCTCCCTGTGGGGATCAAGGATAGAATAGATCTCCAGGAACCTATGCTGGCCTCCCTGTGGGGATCAAGGATAGAATAGATCCCCGGCAACCTATGCTGGTCTCCTTGTGGGATTCAACCAATGTTGGTCTCCCTATGGGAATCAAGGATAGAATAGATCCCCGGCAACCTATGTTGGTCTCCTTGTGGGATTCAGGGATAGAATAGGTCCCCAGCAACCTATGCTGGCCTCCCTGTGGGGATCAAGGATAGAATAGATCTCCAGGAACCTATGTTGGTCTCCCTGTGGGATTCAGGAATAGAATAGGTCCCTGTCAACCAATGTTGGTCTCCCAGTGGGAATCAAGGATACAATAGATCCCCGGCAACCTATGTTGGTCTCCCTGTGGGATTCAGGGATAGAATAGGTCCCGAGCAACCTATGTTGGTCTCCCTGTGGGATTCAGGGATAGAATAGGTCCCAAGCAACCTATGTTGGTCTCCCTGTGGGAATCAAGGATAGAATAGATCCCCGGCAACCTATGTTGGTCTCCCTGTGGGATTCAGGGATAGAATAGGTCCCGAGCAACCTATGTTGGTCTCCCTGTGGGATTCAGGGATAGAATAGGTCCCAAGCAACCTATGTTGGTCTCCCTGTGGGGATCAAGGATAGAATAGATCTCCAGGAACCTATGCTGGCCTCCCTGTGGGGATCAAGGATAGAATAGATCTCCAGGAACCTATGCTGGCCTCCCTGTGGGGATCAAGGATAGAATAGATCCCCGGCAACCTATGCTGGTCTCCTTGTGGGATTCAACCAATGTTGGTCTCCCTATGGGAATCAAGGATAGAATAGATCCCCGGCAACCTATGTTGGTCTCCTTGTGGGATTCAGGGATAGAATAGGTCCCCAGCAACCTATGCTGGCCTCCCTGTGGGGATCAAGGATAGAATAGATCTCCAGGAACCTATGTTGGTCTCCCTGTGGGATTCAGGGATAGAATAGGTCCCTGTCAACCAATGTTGGTCTCCCAGTGGGAATCAAGGATAGAATAGATCCCCGGCAACCTATGTTGGTCTCCCTTTGCGATTCAGGGATAGAATAGGTCCCGAGCAACCTATGTTGGTCTCCCTGTGGGATTCAGGGATAGAATAGGTCCCGAGCAACCTATGTTGGTCTCCCTGTGGGATTCAGGGATAGAATAGGTCCCGAGCAACCTATGTTGGTCTCCCTGTGGGAAGCAAGGATAGAATAGATCCCCGGCAACCTATGTTGGTCTCCCTGTGGGATTCAGGGATAGAATAGGTCCCAAGCAACCTATGTTGGTCTCCCTGTGGGATTCAGGGATAGAATAGGTCCCGAGCAACCTATGTTGGTCTCCCTGTGGGATTCAGGGATAGAATAGGTCCCAAGCAACCTATACTGGTCTCCCAGTGGGAATCAAGGATAGAATAGGTCCCCAGCAACCAATATTGGTCTCCCATTGGGAATCAAGGATAGAATATGTCCCCAGCAACCTATACTGGGCCCCCTTGTGGGATTCAGGGTTAGAATAGATTTCCGGCATCCTATGCTGGTCTCCTTGTGGGATTCAGGGATAGAATAGGTCCCCATCAACCAATGTTGGTCTCCCTATGGGAATCAAGGATAGAATAGATCCCTGGCAACTTATGTTGGTCTCCTTGTGGGATTCAGGGATAGAATAGGTCCCAAGCAACCTATGCTGGCCTCCCTGTGGGGATCAAGGATAGAATAGATCTCCAGGAACCTATGCTGGCCTCCCTGTGGGGATCAAGGATAGAATAGATCTCCAGGAACCTATGCTGGCCTCCCTGTGGGGATCAAGGATAGAATAGATCCCCGGCAACCTATGCTGGTCTCCTTGTGGGATTCAACCAATGTTGGTCTCCCTATGGGAATCAAGGATAGAATAGATCCCCGGCAACCTATGTTGGTCTCCTTGTGGGATTCAGGGATAGAATAGGTCCCCAGCAACCTATGCTGGCCTCCCTGTGGGGATCAAGGATAGAATAGATCTCCAGGAACCTATGTTGGTCTCCCTGTGGGATTCAGGGATAGAATAGGTCCCTGTCAACCAATGTTGGTCTCCCAGTGGGAATCAAGGATAGAATAGATCCCCGGCAACCTATGTTGGTCTCCCTTTGCGATTCAGGGATAGAATAGGTCCCGAGCAACCTATGTTGGTCTCCCTGTGGGATTCAGGGATAGAATAGGTCCCGAGCAACCTATGTTGGTCTCCCTGTGGGATTCAGGGATAGAATAGGTCCCGAGCAACCTATGTTGGTCTCCCTGTGGGAATCAAGGATAGAATAGATCCCCGGCAACCTATGTTGGTCTCCCTGTGGGATTCAGGGATAGAATAGGTCCCAAGCAACCTATGTTGGTCTCCCTGTGGGATTCAGGGATAGAATAGGTCCCGAGCAACCTATGTTGGTCTCCCTGTGGGATTCAGGGATAGAATAGGTCCCAAGCAACCTATACTGGTCTCCCAGTGGGAATCAAGGATAGAATAGGTCCCCAGCAACCAATATTGGTCTCCCATTGGGAATCAAGGATAGAATATGTCCCCAGCAACCTATACTGGGCCCCCTTGTGGGATTCAGGGTTAGAATAGATTTCCGGCATCCTATGCTGGTCTCCTTGTGGGATTCAGGGATAGAATAGGTCCCCATCAACCAATGTTGGTCTCCCTATGGGAATCAAGGATAGAATAGATCCCTGGCAACTTATGTTGGTCTCCTTGTGGGATTCAGGGATAGAATAGGTCCCAAGCAACCTATGCTGGCCTCCCTGTGGGGATCAAGGATAGAATAGATCTCCAGGAACCTATGCTGGCCTCCCTGTGGGGATCAAGGATAGAATAGATCTCCAGGAACCTATGCTGGCCTCCCTGTGGGGATCAAGGATAGAATAGATCCCCGGCAACCTATGCTGGTCTCCTTGTGGGATTCAACCAATGTTGGTCTCCCTATGGGAATCAAGGATAGAATAGATCCCCGGCAACCTATGTTGGTCTCCTTGTGGGATTCAGGGATAGAATAGGTCCCCAGCAACCTATGCTGGCCTCCCTGTGGGGATCAAGGATAGAATAGATCTCCAGGAACCTATGTTGGTCTCCCTGTGGGATTCAGGGATAGAATAGGTCCCTGTCAACCAATGTTGGTCTCCCTATGGGAATCAAGGATAGAATAGATCCCCGGCAACCTATGTTGGTCTCCCTGTGGGATTCAGGGATAGAATAGGTCCCGAGCAACCTATGTTGGTCTCCCTGTGGGATTCAGGGATAGAATAGGTCCCGAGCAACCTATGTTGGTCTCCCTGTGGGATTCAGGGATAGAATAGGTCCCAAGCAACCTATGTTGGTCTCCCTGTGGGAATCAAGGATAGAATAGATCCCCGGCAACCTATGTTGGTCTCCCTGTGGGATTCAGGGATAGAATAGGTCCCGAGCAACCTATGTTGGTCTCCCTGTGGGATTCAGGGATAGAATAGGTCCCGAGCAACCTATGTTGGTCTCCCTGTGGGATTCAGGGATAGAATAGGTCCCAAGCAACCTATGTTGGTCTCCCTGTGGGAATCAAGGATAGAATAGATCCCCGGCAACCTATATTGGTCTCCTTGTGGGATTCAAGGATAGAATAGATCCCCGGCAACCTATGCTGGCCTCCCTGTGGGGATCAAGGATAGAATAGATCTCCAGGAACCTATGCTTTTTGCTACAGGCAACTAAATGGATCAGGTGGTCAGACCCGATGACTTGGCGTATTATTATACCTTGATGAAATGGGCTGTTGCTCATAATATCAATCACTTAATTGTCTGATTCAATTTTTTTTTAATGGGCTGCCATCATGTAGCAGGAATACTGCTGAGTGATTCAATAACAAACAAACAAACAAATAAATCAAATGAGTGATGTGTAGTACATGATATTTTATTAAGAGTATTATAGAAAATCTCATTCATAGAGCTACATAAGGTTGTTATAGTGTTTGTAATTGTGACATAGTAAATGTGGATGGTTCCACATATTAACTGAGTTTAATAGTTTAATCTCATGCTTTGAATTGCTATTTAGTTTTGTCATTGCTTACTGTGGTGTGTTCTTTCTACAGCCTACCTGTCCGAAGAAGGCAAGACAAAGGTGAACATGTTCTTTAAGGCCCAAGAGAACATTCAGCTCACCAAGCTCAGAATAAAGGTAACAACATGACTCTGGCTGGATAATCTGTGCTCATAGCTGTGTGATTTCTGTGAGAAATGTTCAGTGAAACTTACTGATGGGAATGACTGCAAACATGATAAGGACTGTTGATCCTGACATTTGTGAACCTGGCAGAATCACTGGAATGATACTGTCAGGATTAGTGGCTTGCCTGTATAGTCTTATTGAAGTTATTTATGGCATTGGACAGTATCATGGCTATATACATTGGTCGTTATAAAGCATATTGGGCTAGAGTCAGCTGCATTGTATGTAATGCAAAGTTTTATTTCTGTATTATTACCAGGTTTGAAAAACCAAACCTTTTCACTGAGGTGACATTGGCAATGTTTAGACATGGTTTGTGTATTTTTCATCAGATAACCCCTGGCGGTCGTGGACCACGGAGAGGACTGGTGTTTGTGTTCAGAGAGAGGTAGGTTGTACACTGTAGGGGCAAGTTGTATATTGTAGAGGAAAGTTGAACATTGTAGGGGTAAATTGTACATTATATGGGTAGGTTGTCTATTGTAGGGGTAAGTTGTACACTGTAGGGGTAAGTTGTACATTGTAGGGGTAAGTAGTACATTGTAGGGGTAAGTTGTACATTGTAGGGGTAAGCTGTACATTGTAGGGGTAAGTTGTACATTGTAGGGGTAAGTTGTACATTGTAGGGTAAAGTTGTACAAGGTAGGGGTAAGCTGAAAACTAGGGGCAAGTTGTACATTGAAGGGGTAAGTTGTACACTAGGGGCAAGTTGTACATTGTAGGGGTAAGTTGTACACTAGGGGCAAATTGTATATTGTAGGGAAAAGTTGTACACTAGGGGTAAGTTGTACATTGTAGGGGTAAGTTGTACTTTGTATGTGTAAGTTGTACACTGTAGGGGTAAGTTGTACATTGTGGGGGAAAGTTGTACTTTGTATGTGTAAGTTGTACAAGGTAGGGGTAAGTTGTACACTAGGGGCAAGTTGTACATTGTAGGGGTAAGTTGTGCACTAGGGGCAATTTGTACATTGTAGGGGAAAGTTGTACATTGTAGGGGAAAGTTGTACATTGTAGGGGAAAGTTGTACTTTGTATGTGTAAGTTGTACACTGTAGGTCTAAGTTGTACACTGTAGGGGTAAGTTGAACACTAGGGGCAAGTTGTACATTGTAGGGGTAAGTTGTACATTGTAGGGGTAGGTTGTACATTGTAGGGGTAAGTTGTACGTTGTAGGGGTAAGTTGTACATTATATGGGTAGGTTGTCTATTGTAGGGGTAAGTTGTCTATTGTAGGGGTAAGTTGTACATTGTAGGGGTAAGTTGTACATTGTGGGGGTAAGTTGTACATTGTAGGGGTAAGTTGTACATTGTGGGGCTAAGTTGTACATTGTTGGGGTAGGTTGTACATTGTAGGGGTAAGTTGTACATTGTGGGGCTAAGTTGTACATTGTAGGGGTAGGTTGTACATTGTAGGGGTAAGTTGTACACTGTAGGGGTAGGCTGTGATTGTAGGGGTAAGTTGTACATTGTAGGGGTAGGTTGTACATTGTAGGGGTAAGTTGTACATTGTAGGGGTAAGTTGTATGTTGTAGGGGTAGGTTGTACATTGGAGGGCTAAGTTGTACATTGTAGGGGTAAGTTGTACATTGTAGGGGTAAGTTGTACATTGTAGGGGTAAGTTGTACATTGTTGGGGTAAGTTGTACATTGTAGGGGTAAGTTGTACATTGTAGGGGTAGGTTGTACATTGTAGGGCTAAGTTGTACATTGTAGGGGTAAGTTGTACATTGTAGGGGTAAGTTGTACATTGTAGGGGTAAGCAGAACAGTAATAAGTAAGGGTAAGATATATGGATGAACAACTTCTTTATTACAATTATGCGTGATGTTTCGATGTAGGTTCTAACACCGTTATCAAGCAAGTGATGTACAGAGTATGGTTGACAAGTATATATACAGGTAGGAGGCAGTGTTTCTACAGTAGAGTAGATTGGGATGTATATACACTGGAGTAGCCTGTTATGATCACAAAAGGGTAGTTAACATATTGACCGGTGAAGCCAGTAATATAAACAAAAGAGTGTTAGAACCTACACCGAAATGTCGCTCCTAATTGTAATAAAGAAGTTGTTCATCCATATGTCTTAACTTACTTAGTAGTCTAACGTCTAAATGCCGGGTGGTCGGGTAGCCTAGTGCTTAAAGCGTTCCCTCGTCACACCGAAGACCCGGGTTCAATTCCCGACATGGGTACAATGTGTGAACCCCATTTCTGGTGTCTCCCGCCGTGATATTGCTGGAATATTACTAAAAGCGGTATAAAACCATACTCACTCACTCTAAATGCCTCTCAAAGAAGTTACTGAACAGTAATGGTGTACCTCAGTAATCCACAATCAAATGAAACTAAAAGCCTTTCTACAGATAACAGTAATGTGACAGATGTTGCTCATGTTGTAAGTCCCTGCTGTGAACATGCGTGTGTTTGTGTGTCTTCCAGCAAGGAGTTTAAGCTGGAGGAACAGATTGAGAGGTTCAACTTGTATGATACATGGCATGAACTCGAGTACAACTTTAGTGTACAAGTCAGGTAAGTCAGTTGAATGTTGCTCCAGTCATTATAACTCTAGTCACAAAGGCCTGGGGTTGTGAGTAAGATGTAGGTCCCCAGCAACCTCTGCTTGTCGTGAGAGGCAAGTGGTCAGACTCAGTTGATAGTATGCCATCAGATCCCAATTGCATGGAGCACTTCACTGGATTGCCTGGTCCAGACACAATTGTTAACAGTCCATCATGGTATAGCTGGAATACACAGTTAAACAACAAACAAACACAAAGTCATGGATGGGTATTTACTATTGACGTCACTAACATGCTAGACAGCATTTACCAGATCCAAGAGTACCTGCTGATGTCAGTGTGTGTGGGAGTGACACTACTACTGGTATGTGACTAGCATCACCATCTGTGCATGCAGTGTGCTGATGTCAGTGTGTGGGGGGGTGTCACCACTACCGGTATGTGACTAGCACCACCATCTGTGCATGCAGTGTGCTGATGTCAGTGTGTGGGGGAGTGTCACCACTACCGGTATGTGACTAGCACCACCATCTGTGCATGCAGTGTGCTGATGTCAGTGTGTGGGGGAGTGTCACCACTACCGGTATATGACTAGCATCACCATCTGTGCATGCAGTGTGCTGATGTCAGTGTGTGGGGGAGTGTCACCACTACCGGTATGTGACTAGCATCACCATCTGTGCATGCAGTGTGCTGATGTCAGTGTGTGGGGGAGTGTCACCACTACTGGTGTGTGATTAGCATCACCATCTGTGCATGCAGTGTGCTGATGTCAGTGTGTGGGGGAGTGACACTACTTCCGGTATGTAACTAGCATCACCATCTGTGCATGCAGTGTGCTGATGTCAGCGTGTGGGGGAGTGTCACCACTACCGATATGTGACTAGCATCACCATCTGTGCATGCAGTGTGCTGATGTCAGTGTGTGGGGGAGTGTCACCACTACCGGTAGGTGACTAGCATCAACATCTGTGCATGCAGTGTGCTGATGTCAGTGTGTGGGGGAGTGTCACCACTACCGGTATGTGACTACCATCACCATCTGTGCATGCAGTGTGCTGATGTCAGTGTGTGGGGGAGTGTCACCACTACCGGTATGTGACTAGCATCCCCATCTGTGCATGCAGTGTGCTGATGTCAGTGTGTGGGGGAGTGTCACCACTACCGGTATGTGACTAGCATCACCATCTGTGCATGCAGTGTGCTGATGTCAGTGTGTGGGGGAGTGTCACCACTACCGGTATGTGACTATCACCACCATCTGTGCATGCAGTGTGCTGATGTCAGTGTGTGGGGGAGTGTCACCACTACCGGTATGTGACTATCACCACCATCTGTGCATGCAGTGTGCTGATGTCAGTGTGTGGGGGAGTGTCACCACTACCGGGATGTGACTATCATCACCATCTGTGCATGCAGTGTGCTGATGTCAGTGTGTGGGGGAGCGTCACCACTACTGGTATGTGACTAGCATCACCATCTGTGCATGCAGTGTGCTGATGTCAGTGTGTGGGGGAGTGTCACCACTACCGGTATGTGACTAGCATCCCCATCTGTGCATGCAGTGTGCTGATGACAGTGTGCTGATGTCAGTGTGTGGGGGAGTGTCACCACTACCGGTATGTGACTAGCATTACCATCTGTGCATGCAGTGTGCTGATGTCAGTGTGTGGGGGAGTGTCACCACTACCAGTATGTGACTAGCATCCCCATCTGTGCATGCAGTGTGCTGATGTCAGTGTGTGTGGGAGTGTCACCACTACCGGTATGTGACTAGCATTACCATCTGTGCATGCAGTGTGCTGATGTCAGTGTGTGGGGGAGTGTCACCACTACCGGTATGTGACTAGCATCCCCATCTGTGCATGCAGTGTGCTGATGTCAGTGTGTGGGGGAGTGTCACCACTACCGGTATGTGACTAGCATTACCATCTGTGCATGCAGTGCTGATGTCAGTGTGTGGGGGAGTGACACTACTACCGGTATGTGACTAGCATCACCATCTGTGCAAGCAGTCTTCTGGATGTTGTTACTTGCCATCATGTCAATCCTGTGGACTGTTTCAGAAATGTTGGTATTGGAGGAAAGCCTGACAACCCTGTATCCTTCTTCATGTTTGATGATGACTGGTATGTTGTTGTTTTTAAATTTCTGTGATATTTATTAATATTAAAGATTTTTAGGTTTTTCAAAAGCATATCATTGACAAAAACATTAAGTTAACAGAAATGTGTTGGTGCGGTAAATGAATCATGGAAAACTCAATATCATTTTGTCTTTGAATGTTTATGGGTGTTAGAAGAAAGAAGACTTTGTCACAAGCGTAATTTCAACCATGTTCAGTGATACACTCTGTGATAGATGTATACTGGTTGTTTCAGTGATGAAATGGACGTCCCTGTCAGCTGGTACCCTACAGGCCAGGTATGTCTACATTTTCCTTCCTCAAATCAAAGATACACGTATCATTGTCTTACCTGGTGTTAAAAAACTCGTTTCGATTGGTTACTGAATGGACAGTTTGTTCCTGCGATTTCAGCCCTACAGATGAAGACATTTCAGATAAACAGGCGAAAGTATGCCAGTTAGATAAATTTTGTCAACTGGTCTCTTGGTGTAAATGATGTGATATGGTCTTGGGGTACATAGGCTCTAAAGACATGTCGACAGCTAATACTATGGCTTGCATATAAGAAAATATCTTAGGATGTATATGTTATTAAATTACATTACAACATGTTATGAGCGTTGCCATCTTGAGACTGGCGTCCAGCTGTTCATTGTGATCTGCTTCCCAGTACGTCTTGATCAAGTTCCTGGAGCCCCGACAGGAGAGTGCAGGCAAAATAGGCGTCATCTCTATCAAGTTTTATGGATTTGTCAGGAAGTCTCCATTCACAGAGGAAGAAGTTGAGGTATGTGGAATGTTTTACATGCAACTTCGCAATTCATGCTAGTCTGCCAGTCTGAGACTACTTAGTTGTGCTGAGGAGGTGTAAATATCCAGTGATAAATGTCCTCATTCACGAGTAGCACTTGACATCTTCCCGAGGCAAGGACATTAACTGACTATAAGAGTCCAGTTTCCACCCTCTTTTCCAGGCTCTTTCATAGCGCCACCAGTGGCTATTATGAGTTATGTCCATTATATGACCATCCTATTGACCAATCAGATTCGTTCCCTCATTCCACTTGCATTTGCTTCAAACAAAATAGCGGCACCCAGTCAAGACGATCTCATTGATAATCAAGATCAATATGGTAATAAAATGGGTCTTACCCTGCGAAGTTCATCACTTCACTTGAGCACCTTGATAAAAAGCATGGAAAGATTTGCAAAATAACTGTCCACACCCAACTGATGGTACACATGCTTTGCAAATCCTGCAATCGACCGAAATCTGCACATTGAAATCCATGTTCTTTACAAACCAGATGTCAAGCTGATTACGCAATTTTGTTCTGATAATGCATAGACTCATTGACCAATCGGAATCAAGTAATTCCAAATTCATGGTAGAATTGTAAATGAATTCTTTAGCGGGTATAATTAATATATCCTTATCTTTGATACAAACTTTCTTCTCCATGTGAGTGAGTGAATCCTCCGTATGGGGTCTTACCTGTGATAGCATCATTCAGGCATGAATATGTTCAGATGAAATATGTTTACCAAGGAGGTTTATGATGAATGTCTGCCATCTGCTGCTGTCTGTTTAGATTGTCCATCCACCCAACCCTGAGAAGCGCCCCGAGACCCAGAGTCCCGAGATCTCCAAGTGGGTCCTCACGTTCCTCGTGGACCTCGCCCAGGATCAGGTACCATGTGGATGTTCATTTGAACAAATACGTTCCTTGTGCCAGAATTAGTCCCCAGTAGCTTATGTTTGCCATAATGGCCAGCAGTACTCCCTTCAAGGGGCGGGGGATATAGAAATGGGTTCCGTCCGTGTGTGCGTGCGTGTGTGCGTGTGTGCATGTGTGCGTCCCGAAGCTCAGAAACCGTTAAATATTTCTCTAAGAAAATTTGCATGTCTATCAGACTCATGCTGAACTGGTGCCTTTTGCTATTTAGGAATTTGATAAATTTTTATTTTTTACGTTTCCATGGCAACAAGTTGGACTTAGGTTCTATAAGGGTGCTGTTCGTTTCCAGGGTGTAACTCAAAAACTGTTAAATAATTTCTTATGAAACTTTGCATGTTTACCAGACACATACTGAACTGGTGCCTTTTGCTATTTAGGAGTTTTATAAATTTTTATTTTTTACGTTTCCATGGCAACAAGTTGGACTTAGGTTCTATAAGGGTGCTGTTCGTTTCCGGAGCGTAACTCAAAAACCATTAAATACTTTCTTACAAAACTTTGCATGTTTACCAGACACATACTGAACTGGTGCCTTTTGCTATTTAGGAGTTTTGTAAATTTTTATTTTTCACGTTTCCATGGCAACAAGTTGGACTTAGGTTCTATAAGGGTGCTGTTAGTTTCCGGAGTGTAACTCAAAAACCGTTAAATAATTTCTTACGAAACTTTGCATGTTTACCAGACACATACTGAACTGGTGCCTTTTGCTATTTAGGAATTTTATAAATGTTTATTTTAGAATTTCCATTGCAGCTATTTTGACATGGCCTAAGAGAAATGTTGGGTCAGTTACCTGGTTTGGGACCATAACGTATTAAAACGGCGGGGGATATAGATGACTTCGTCGACTTTACGCTTGTTTATTTTAAGATATTGAAAGTGACAGTAAATGAGGTATTTTTTTCACATTTGACTTATTTCTGGTCAGCGGTATGACAAAAATACTGCTTTTCATTTTTCTTTTTTTTCTCATTTAAATTTTTTGGGAGGCGGTGGATTAGTAAACAAAGTTTTAAAAAAGTCTGGCATTAGCCACTGATGTACAGACTCACGACCTGTTGACAATAAGTTTGTAGAATGCCATCATCCAGCTGTAAAATAGCTTGTTTTTCATTTGACCTGGACCGACTTGGACATTAATTACTAGAATATATTGTAATTGTTACTTATGCATGATGTTAGAAACATAGCCAAATTTTTCTTGTTAAAAAAGAAAATATTGTTCCAAATGTGTTGTTCATGGAGTGTTTATGCTTATTCATGACTGTTGTTGATTCAGGTTCGGAAGAGGGGGAGATCTGCAAAACCCGAGTGTCTGGATTTCTATGATGTTCAGCTACAGAATCTCTGGAATCTCTACAAGAACTTCATATCAAGGTGAGTGAAAGGATATTCTGCCATGTGACTGACCTAATCTACATAAATAGTACAGGATAAAAATAAATATTGGAAACCAGTGTTGACAGATCATTATTTTGTGAGGCTGTTTTACATGTTGTTTAAAAAGGTCACTGATTCATGAGTGTATTGCCCCCGTGAAGATGTGAGATAGAATTAGTCTTCTGCAATCCGTTCTTGTTTTAAGATGCGACGAACAGGATTTGGGTGGAAGTTGCTGATTTGGTTGATGCCTGTCATCGTATCCCGATTACTTAGATCGATGCTCATAATGTCAATCACTGGATTGCCTTGTCCAGACTAGATTATTTATAGACTGATGTCATATAGCTGGAATATTGCAGAGTACGGCGTTAAACAACAAACAAACAAACATAAGTGTATTGACTGCCTCTTTGACATACACAAGAGTAAGATATTTTACAATGTTTGACTTGTCAACTTTATCACTTAATCTACCTGTACCTCGTATTCCAGCAAGGATGAGAGATGGCGGGAGTGCAGCCTGTTGCTGCTGCAGCTGCTCCACAGTCTCACGCCCACGCTCTCACCACTCAAGGATGAGGATAAGGTGAACCAGCAGCATTGAATCTATGTGTGGCAGCATCTGATGAGATATACCGATTTTTGGGGGGGTATAGTGCGCACCCGAGTATAATGCCCACCCCCCTCTAGCGGATTCAGTATTTTGGAAAAAGAACCATTCGAATATTATGCACAGAAAAAATTACACCGTACCCCTTCAGCGTGTTCCAGTAAAAGAACGGGTGATGAGAACCTCGGTCAGTACAAATTTGAAATTTGAGATAAAAAATTGCCAGACATGTTCATTTACTGTTTAAATTGTATTTTTTGTTCTGCTAGGCATTGTTTTACATCCAGGGATTAAGATTACCTTGTGTATTTCCTTGTAAACTTAGCCGAAAACAGCTATCAACTGTACACTCGTTTTCTTGGAATCTACCGGTGATTCAGTCAAGACACAACCAATGATATAACTTTACAGGATTTTAATGCAAGGATCAACAAAAATTGTATCTGAAACTATTTTTTTATCATGAATAATATATTCCAATATCTTGTTATTTTAGTTGCGGCTTTTACTAAATATATTTAAAATAATTATAACCCTAAGCGAAGCAGCAGATTGCTATTGCCGGTTATTATTTTTAACATGGAACCAGTTTGACCAGTCACCGTCGAGACTTCCGCGCACGTGATCACGAGAACTACGTGTTGACATAGAATCGTCAAGCTATAACAAATATGACTTTTAACGAGTCAAAGTATGGCATTTATGACATATGAATCCATTCTCTGTCAACTAAAGTTTGTTTCAAGGCATCAATAGTGGTAATCTGACTGTGGTTGCTGTTAATTACGGTGAGTTGTGTGATCTTTCGATTGCTTCACACATGATTTCTCCGAGATTAATTAAAGCAATGTTAAAAGGAATTTTTAATCAAATTTATTAAATAAGTTACAAACGTAAGTCCAGATATACATAGAACACTGTTTATGGCCAGACTGTGTAATTACATGATTAATTTGCGTACTTCAGTATGGATTTGTTGACATGGTATTTCCGGTTTTGCGTGCTCACGGTAATGTCTTTCTGTTGGGGGAAAAAACCATCAAAACTCATTATTGCGTGTATAATGCGCACCCATTTCTACACGACTGTGTTTTTTGGAAAAAAAGTGTGCACTGTACTCAAGAAAATACGGTATTCAAAATGAGAAAACATAAAATCTGTATGTGTCAAGTGGTACCATCGGATTGAGATATATTAAAAACGAGAAAACATTAAGTCTGTCTGTGTCACATCTGAGGAGAAATATTCAAAATGAGAAACTTCAATTTCAAAAGGTTTTTAAATGAATGTACAAATTAAAAATGATTAGTTCTCAAGGTAGAATAGTTCCCTAGTTCCTGTACAAGATGTTCGATCCCAGTAGTTACTGAAACTGATGGTCATGTTTGCAGCATCTACATCACCTCATGGGCGGCTACCATCTGCGAGACCCGTGACGATACGGGGTAGAATAGGTCTTCAGCAACTTATGCTTGCCGTAAAAGGCTATTATGCTTGTCAAACGAGGCGACTAACGGCATCGGGTGGTCAGACTCGCTGACTTGGTTGATGCATATCATTGTATCCCAATGGCCTGGATCGATCCTCATGATGTCAATCACTGGATTGTCTGGTCCAGACTCGATTATTTACAGACCGCCGTCATATATCTGAAATATTGCTGAGTGCGGCGTTAAACAACAACCAAACAAACAAACCATCTGTGAAGTTTGTCTTTGAAGCTGTGACCTTACATGTTACCTAGCTGTTACTTTCACTGGTCTAACTACTGCTGGCCAAAACACAGTTAGCAGGATCTGATTGTACAGCAGAGAACTCCTGTAACTCCATGTATGCCTACATGTTGTTTCAGCTAGATACAGGAGATGTATTTTAGTCACTTCTGTGTTGCAGGCCACTGCTGAAGAAATGTTCCAACACCTTTGCAAAATGATTGACACCCCAAACACTGACCCCAAGAGCAAGCCATACAGGCTGGCACAAGAGCTCATTGTTGATGGTATGTGCTCCACATCTTCTCGAATAACTGGACTTATGTTAATAAAAGTGGGTGTGTCTCTTTGGCCAGTAGGAATTAATTGTTAGATTGTTGCACTAAATTTGGTTCAGATTCAGTACATGTGTACCAACGTGACCAATTAAATGATCATGTTCTCTTGTTGTTTTAAAACAATCTCTGTTCTCTTTTTTGAGGCGGTCGGGTAGCCTAGTGGTTAAAGCATTCGCTCGTCACGCCAAAGACCCGGGTTCGATTCCCAACATGGGTACAATGTGTGAAGCCAATTTCTGGTGTCCCCCGCTGTGATATTGCTGGAATATTGCTAAAAGCGGCAAAAAACTATACTCACTCACTCACTCACTCTTTTATGAGATCAAACAAATGTTTTATACCAGTCTTACTCATATACGGTATGTATGGTAGTGCTATCTTATGTCAGGGATACAGGTGACACAGTGGTCAAAGCTATTCACATTTGCCGTCTGGTTGCCTCACTTTGACATGCCAGGATCTGCAGGTCTTGGTTTTGAATCCCAGATTCGCTTCATGATCCTTGGTCTATCAGGACTATGCTAAGCTTATAGTTTTCACCAATGTGGTAAGTTCTACATATGGAGCCTACCCATGAAGATCCGGGGTAGAATAGGTCTTCAGCAACCTATGCTTGTATGCTTGTAGTAAGAGGTGACTAACAGGATCAGGTGGTCAGACTTGCTGGCGTATGTCATCGTATCCAAAATGCATGGATCGATGCTCATGATGTCAATCACTGAATTGTCTGGTCCAGATTCGATTATTACAGACCCTTGTCATATAGCTGGAATATTGTTGAGTGCGTCATTAAACATCAAGGAAAGAAACAAACAAAACAAACCATATGTAGCCTACAGATTCACTGTGGCAAACTCAACTCACTAACTTATGATACAACTGATGCATACATCCATGGAGAACATGATCGAGTACAGATGCTACATATATACATCTTGTTGCAGGTGCATCCCTGTTCTTCCCTGACAAAGAAACAAAACGACAACGCCTCTTCAACATGATGAACAACGTAGATGTGAGTGTCATATATTTGTATCTATTTGTGTTTTGTTTCTCCACTCATTCAGGACATTCATGAGTACATGGTGGTCATTACCGTTGATTGTACACTCACATCCTCAGACTCCTCAGTAATGGCTGTCTGTATGTTTCAGAATCTGGCCACAGCACCCTCTGTGTCCCTCGTGTTCCAGTCTCTGTGTCAGTTCTTCAGCTCCGTGGACCCGAGAGGACTGCTGGACCTCCCGACAGCATCATCAGAGGTAACATCATGTCTTTGTGTCTTTGCGTCTCCGCGGTGTAGTGGATAGAGCATCTGGCTGGAGAGCGGAGAGTTGCTGGCCTTGTCATACACACAGACATTAAAAGATGGTACCGTATATTGCTGTGTATAAGGCGAGTTTTTGGTACCTAAAATGAGGGGGTTAGGAAGGGGGGTCGTCTTATACACGGAGTCAAAGATCTCACATTTTTTTCCAGTTGTTTCACTTTCTTATATGTTATTACTTCATAAATGAATTTTATTTTACTGGCACCAATTTGGTGTCGTACCGTGTAAACACAAAATGGCAACATGTGCTGGAGTTACACACGCGACCAATCATTGTAGAAAAAACAACACAAGATAAACATATTTTTATTGCACATATAAGGTTTGTGTGCGCACTTGTGATGTGATTCATTCCAGGTCGCTTTATACACGGAGTATAGGGTTTTGGGTTGATTTTGAAGGCGTGTACAGGGGGTCATCTTATACGTGGGGTCGCTTTAAACACAGCGATATACGGTACTTGCTGATACCCAGATACCCTGCCTGGTGCTCAGCTTTAATAGGATAGAAAAGGACTGGTTGGCTCGGAGTTAGTTTAAATGACATGACAGATAAACAATAGTCACATGAAACATTGCATGTTCTTTATCTTTTGAGTAGTATCTTGGTTGAAGAATATGATGAGTGAAAGGACAACTGTTAGGATCAAGATTGATGAGGTGTACTGATAATGGGTGATCGCCCCTTGTAGCATCAGGTTGTGGAGATATGGAACTTTTAATTCCTTTATACATAAATTGTAAGGGATTTCGTGGCCACTGATTGGCTAACCAAGCAAACGCTTTTGCGTCTTATGTTTCCAAAAACTAAACAGAATTTGATCAAGCCCACTAACGGACTACTGTTTCCTGATTGGATGATAACAGAATGGGTGGGGCTGGCTGTGCATCCAATGATGTCACTGTTTTGATATTGTCTACAGATTTTTGTGTGTTGGTGCTTATATTAGCAGTCTGTAAAGATGTTATTGTTGACGTACTGATTTATGAGAATTTACCCCTACACAGATTTACACGGTATGCATATTTTTTGTCGTTAATACACCTAAAGAAATATCGAAGTCAGTTCCAAGTTAAAGATGTGTGATGATGTTCATGTTGCAGAAGTTTGATGCCAGTCACGTGATAGAAGTGATGCAGACACTGATTGTAGTAGCAGGGCAGGAGTTCGAGGCTTCTCTCGACTCGGCGGAACAGAACGAGAAGCTGACGTACCTGATCCGCCTGACCGGCTCCCTGCAAACGTCCCTCCTGACCTGGTGCTGGCAGCAGATGATGGACGGGGACGACGCCATGAAGCTCACCGCCGTGCAGACCGCCCTCAAGTGTATGTAATCAGTCATTTCATATTATGGAATCTAGCTACCTGATTGTAAATATCCATTCCATTCGGCTGACCAGCCTCTACAGATATCATGATGTCATTTTTTATGTGACATGACTTGCTCGTCATATCACTATTGACCCATTCTCACTTTAAGGTTCCATGCTTAAAGTCTGATGGCAGTAACAAGACAGATCTAATTGTCACATACAAATATTTCACCTAAAGTATCTCTGTAAATTGTGAAACTCTCAATGATAAATATTACCCATAAGGTTAGAAATAACCATGTTCATAAACATCGTATGTGCACTAGTCCAAAAATCCACGCAATTGGGATACAATGACATGCACCAACCATGTCAGCAAGGCTGACCGACCGATCCCGTTAGTCGTCTCTTACGAGCAAAGTCACTTTTTACGGCAAGCATTGGTTGCTTAAGACCTATTCTACCCCAGATCTTCACGGGTCTCATTACTGTAACATGGAGCAATATGTATTCTGTTTCCAGACTCTATCCATGTTTCCGTCCTTCCCTCTCTCCTTCACAGGTCTCGAGACTGTAACATGGAGCAATATGTATTCTGTTTCCAGACTCTTTCCATGTTTCCGTCCTTCCCTCTCTCCTTCACAGGTCTCGAGACTGTAACATGGAGCAATATGTATTCTGTTTCCAGACTCTTTCCATGTTTCCGTCCTTCCCTCTCTCCTTCACAGGCCTCGAGACTGTAACATGGAGCAATATGTATTCTGTTTCCAGATTCTATCCATGTTTCCAACAAAGGTGTGGAAGCACTCAAGTTGTTCAAAAGACAACCTAAGGAAAAGATTGTGAGTATGAAACAAAAGTGCCAAGGTATTGTCAGCAGATGTAGTTTGTTATTGCTATGACACTGACATGTCAGACACACTTCTCTCATGGTGTCAGCTACTCTTGTTGTTTGATGTTGGTAAAATAACTGAGGTAAATGTGTGCTCTTTTTGTAAGGTGGAGAAATATTGTTCATGTTTTTTTTATCATGCATGTGTCAAATGATTCTGGAATGAATTGACTGTCTACTAAAATACACATCTGAATGTAAATATAGTTCTTTCAGAAATTACAATACTGTTGGGACCTAACTTGATATACATGTCTATATTAACCATGTGGTTTTAGATGCTAATCATCTTTGGAAACGTTTCTGAAAATTATCAAGGATATAGTGATAGTAGAAATTTTATTGAAGTTAAAATTTTAAAAGGAAATTGACCTCATGGTTAAAGCCAATGCAAATATTAAATCCTCTTGATGCTACTTTGAATAACCTGTGCATACAATGTTTATATGCCTACTGGAATGAAAAAAGGCAAAACAAAAAGCAACAAGTTGTTTCTTTGTGATGTAAATCTTGTGAAAGCATCAGCCATTGTGTTGGGACTTGAGGAGATTTGCAATACCTGTATCAGACTGTTTTCTCACTGACTGCTCTAACTGTTTGTATTTTTGTAGGAGCAACTAGTCAAAGCTCTCCAGCCAGCTTTTCTCTCATCTGTGATACGACAGTTGGTAAGTTGTCCAGTCTAAACATGCTACATTGGGGCAGTCGGGTAGCCTAGTGGTTAAAGTGTTCGCTCGTCACGCCGAAGACCTGGGCTCGATTCCCGACATGGGTACAATGTGTGAAGCCCATTTCTGGTGTCCCCCGCCATGATATTGCTGGAATATTGCTAAAAGCGGCGTAAAACCATACTCACTCACTCACTCACATGCTACAGGTATTACATGTAGGTGTGTACATGTTCTATCGATGTTACTGAACAAGCGTCACAATTCTTTGTTTTTCCTTAGAGCAATGTCTTCTGTAGAGCATTGTCTTCTGTAGAGCATTGTCTTCTGTAGAGCATTGTCTTCTATAGAGCATTGTCGTCTGTAGAGCATTGTCTTCTGTAGAGCATTGTCTTCTGTAGAGCATTGTCGTCTGTAGAGCATTGTCTTCTGTAGAGCATTGTCTTCTGTGGAGCATTGTCTTCTGTGGAGCATTGTCTTCTGTAGAGCATTGTCTTCTATAGAGCATTGTCGTCTGTAGAGCATTGTCTTCTGTAGAGCATTGTCTTCTGTAGAGCATTGTCTTCTGTAGAGCATTGTCGTCTGTAGAGGATTGTCTTCTGTAGAGCATTGTCTTCTGTGGAGCATTGTCTTCTGTGGAGCATTGTCTTCTGTAGAGCATTGTCTTCTATAGAGCATTGTCTTCTGTAGAGCATTGTCTTCTGTAGAGCATTGTCGTCTGTAGAGCATTGTCGTCTGTAGAGCATTGTCTTCTGAAGAGCATTGTCTTCTGTGGAGCATTGTCTTCTGTAGAGCATTGTCTTCTGTAGAGCATTGTCTTCTGTGGAGCATTGTCTTCTGTGGAGCATTGTCTTCTGTAGAGCATTGTCTTCTATAGAGCATTGTCGTCTGTAGAGCATTGTCGTCTGTAGAGCATTGTCGTCTGTAGAGCATTGTCTTCTGAAGAGCATTGTCTTCTGTGGAGCATTGTCTTCTGAAGAGCATTGTCTTCTGTAGAGCATTTTCTTCTATAGAGCAATATTCACAGGTTCCACATGACGACAGCAATTGTGATAATATGATATCTACTGTGATGTCACTAAATCTCATGTCACCATTGATGTCTGTATTTTGTTGTAAATAAACTGAATTAGCACATGAAAGCATTCTCCCACTTAGCAGTGTGAGTGTGTCAATAGGTCATGGAGCAGACACAGGACCTGGCTTCTTGACCAGGCAGTGGCAGTCAATGGGCTGTGATCAGGAGGTGCAGGACACAGTGTTATATATATTTCCCTCCCTCCTGCCCTCCTTCCTCCTTCCCTCTCTCCCTCCTTCCCACCCTCCTTCCTTCTCTTCCTCCTCCTTCCCACCCTCCTTCCTTCTCTTCCTCCTCCTTCCCTCCCTCCTTCCCTCCCTCCATCCCTCTCTTCTTCCTTCCTTCCTTCCCTCCCTCCTTCCATCTCTTCCTCCTTCCCTCTCTTCCTCCTTCCCTCCCTCCTTCCCTCCGTCCTCCTTTCCTCCTTCCCTCCTTCCTTCTCTTCCTCCTCCCCTCCCTCCTTCCCTCCTTCCTTCCCTCATTCCCTCTGTTCCTCCTTTCCTCCCTCCTTCCCTCCTTCCTACACCCTTCTCTCCCTCCTTCCTCCCTCTCTGCCTCCTTCCCTCCTCCTTCCTACAGCCTTCTCTCCCTCCTTCCTGTTCTTTCCCTCCGTCCTTCCTCTCTTCCTCCCTTCTTCCCTCCTTCCTACATCCTTCTCTCCCTCCTTCCTTCTCTTCCTCCCTCCTTCCCTCTCTTCTTCCTCCTCTCCCTTCTTCCCACTCTTCCTACTCCTTCCCTCTCTTCCTCCTTCTCTCCCTCATTCCCTCTCTTCCTCCTCCTTCCCTTTCTTCCTCCTCCTTCCTTCTTCCTTCCCTCTCTTCCTCCTCCTTCCCTCCTCCTTCCCTCTCTTCCTCCTCCTTCCCTCCTTCCCTCTGTCCTTGTCTCTGTAGACACTAGAGTGCACGTTGGTGTTGCAGGTGCTGATATTGACTTACCTGTGTGATCAGTTTGACTGCCAATCCCGAGTATCTCTGTTGCACAACTTTCAACTGCTGTCCCAGGAGCTTGTGTCCATGGCTTCCACGTTCCCTGATCTCTTCCCCAAGGTAGGTCGCATGTTACTAGTCAATATCCATGAGTGTTCTTGTTAGTCCTGTTGTTAACCTATCAGGCCTCCCATGTCATGGCCTGGTTTGTGAGTGTATCCTGAAGGTGTGGATCGCTAGTCATGTTATCAATATGACATATGCATGCACCTTGGTGAAAAATCCAGCTGACCTTTGCTTCACACACAGGTGACCGCCTCTGTAGTCTAGTGGGGAAGCGTCCGCCCGGAGAGTGGAAGGTCTGGGGTTCGATCCCCGTCATTATCATACCAAAAGATGTTAAAAGATGGTACTTGTTGTTACCCTGTCTGGCGCTCGGCATTAAGGGGCTAAAACAAGGACTGGTCGGCTCGGAGTTAGTATACTGTGTCTGAATGGGATATTCATGTTAGACTGAGGCATGGTATCTCAGTGTGCTAGCACTATAAATCGGCATCAGTCCGGAGTAGTACAAGAGTCACACACACAAACATGCATGCACGTCGCAATAAAAGTGCAATAATCTTGGACGCGACGTTAAACCCCATTTCACCTCACCTCACACACATGTCTGATCAAAGTCACATGGTTGGAGTCAGCAGCATCTGTCACAGTAATGCTAGAGACAGATAGGTACACAGATGGCCCTGCCATAAAAGGCACAGCAATTCTCTGTGGAAAGTGGAGTCTGTTAAGAGGGTCGGAAGCCTATGACCTGATCATGTTTCTTGATTAGTCAGCACTGTCCACAAACATGGGACCCGTGAAGATTCCGGGGTAGAATAGGTCTTCAGCAACCCATGCTTGCCGTAAAAGGTGATTATGCTTGTCGTAAAAGGCGACTAACGGGATCGGGTGGTCAGGCTCGCTGACTTGGTTGATGCATGTCATCGATCCCAATTGCGTGGATTGATGCTCATGATATCAAGCACTGGATTGTCTTGTCCAGACTCGATTATTTACAGACGGCCGTCATATAGCTGGAATATTGCTGAGTGCGGCGTTTAACAACAAACCAACCAACCAACCAAACCACAAACATGGTTTTCACCATGATATTTGTCTATGACCTGCATCAATTCCAGCTTTCTTCCCTCACCAAACTGACATACTGTGATATAACTGGAATACTGGTCAAAGTAGTTAAACCTCACTCACTCACTCACTCACTCACTCACTCACTCACTCACTCACTCACTCACTCACTCACTCACTCACTCACTCACTCACTCAACCACTCAACCACTCACTCAACCACTCAACCACTCAACCACTCACTCAACCACTCACTCAACCACTCGACCACCCACCCACTCACTCTATGATGTCACGGTTGTTTGTCAGATCACCAGTGAGAACTGGGGCGACATGAAGGCTGACGACATCGTGCTGCGGACGTGGAGCATGGAGTCTCCTCACAACTACGACAACAACTCCTACATCACACAGGTACGGAAACTGCTGAAACAGTTTGAACATGATGGCTCACAGTTAAATTGGTATGGTGAAGAGGGTTTGGCTCTTTCAATTTTATGTGCCATTTTATGAATACTTTTTGATAATTTAGTTTATACTGGAGTGGAGAATAAACAGATGGGTATATTTCACAAGTTTGTTCCATTGCAGGTGTTCTCCTGTCCCGGAGCTACCAAGTTGATTGTGGACTTTGATCCTAGATGTGAGACTGAGAGAAGGTTTGTGCTTCACTGTTTCTGTGTATCCTCATTACTGATTGTAGATGTTCATCTGTTGGTGACTCGGACATCTTTTTTGTTTTTTTGTTGTTTAATACTGCACTCAGCAATATTCCAGCTATATGACGGCGGTCTGTAAATAATCGAGTCTGGACCAGACAATCCAGTGATTGACATCATGAGCATCAATCAATGCAATTGGGATACGATGACATGCACCAACCAAACCTGACCACCAGATCCCATTACTCGCCTGACCCGTGAAGATTCCGGGGTAGAATAGGTCTTCAGCAACCCATGCTTGCCGTAAAAGGTGACTCTGCTTGTCGTAAAAGGCGACAAACGGGATCGGGTGGTCAGGCTCGCTGACTTGGTTGATGCATGTCATCGATCCCAATTGCGTGAATCGATGCTCATGGTATTAATCACTGGATTGTCTGGTCCAGACTCGATTGTTTACAGACGGCCGTCATATAGCTGGAATATTGCTGAGTGCGGGGTTAAACAACAAACCAACCAACCAACCATTACTCGCCTCTTACGACAAACATAGTCGCCTTTTTCAGCAAGCATGGGTTGCTGGAGACCTATTTTACCCCGGATCTTCACGGGTTGACTTGGATATCTAGTGTGTCTACTTCAAAATCTCTTCCTGCATCAGTCTATGAAGTGCATCCACTGTGTTTTCTGTAAATATCACTAAACCTGTTTTTTGTTTCTGTTGGGCAAATGTCTTCCAATGACCATGTGACTCAATTACATTAAGTAATACGTTACCACTGTTATACCGAGGCTGTTGTCTCCCACAACTGCTGCTATAGCGAAATCTACCACAGAGATCTCAATTACCTCATGCAGCACGTGCGTAGCCACCTAGCTGCCATGTGACACCCTTCACTCTTGTCTCCTTCGTCTGCTTAGCAAGACGTGTTTTCTCCTGCTGAAGCGTTCCTTGAAGATTTGGTGATATTTATTATCGTTTATTCTCTAATAAACTGTGCTTTTATGGGGCGTTGCGGTAGCTACGCTTGGTTATAATTTTCCCGCCAAACGGAAAATTTTTCCCGCCCTTTTTTCTATATACTTGCGGGGTTCGCGTATGCACGTTGTGTTTTACGTTTCCCCTGTTCTTGTATGTTTTGGGGGTTAACATAACTTATTTCTTTAGTAAAAGTTATATGTGTATGTTATATGTTCACATTGCTCGTTTATTTTCTTGTGAAAATGTTCGTTTGTGAATCATTGTGGTGCGTGCGTTGTAACCATGTTTTGTTCTTTGTTTCTAGAAAACAATCAATGTCTGACATGGATATGTCCCCTGTCTCCACCCCCTCTACCCCTGCTCCTCGGAGTTGTGGGGTGTGCAGAAAGTTTTTGTCGTCCCGGGATCCCCACGATCGTTGCCCGCGGTGCAGGGTTCCTTGCGAGGAAACCCGGTGCACCCTGTGCGAAGGTCTGGGACCTGCGGAGTTTGAGCGGTACCGGCTGTGCGCGCAGTCCGTTTCCACCCCTGTGGTGGCCGGTTCGTCCGGTCGGGGCCCCCGTGCGGGCACCTCCTTGTCGGCTGCAGCGGATCCCCTTGCGGCCCTCGGGCTGTCTGGGGCTTCCGTCGCCGCATTGTTGTCGCAAATTGTGGACTCCAAGCTGGCGGCCTTATCGCAAGATAGGCCGCTGGCTGTTCCGTCCCCGGCCTCTTCGGTGGCCGCGGGTTCGGACGCGGGGTCCACCGGTACGGCGCCGGCTGCCGTGGTTGCCGGTCCTTCCCCCGAACCGTTGCTTCCGCTATCGGTTAAGGACCGCGTGGCCATGGTGTATGACCTCTTCGAGGACATGCCAAAGCCCCTGCCGATACCGCGGGGTATCCACGGTTCCGTGGGTTCCTCCGAGGTATACGACGAGTCGTCCGACAAGGCTTTCCCGGCATCAACCTTGCTGCGCGGGATTAAGCCGTCTTTGGAGAAAGCCTTCACGGCTGCCTCCGGTCGGGGTCTCCCGTTACCTCCCCCGTCGTGGAGAAAAGGGTCTTTCCCAGTTCATGACCTTGCCTTTCCCGAGGCTGGTCCTTCTGCGGAAGCCCATGTGGAGCGTTTGGGGGTCCGTGCCCCACCGGTTGCCACGGTACCGCAAGGTACCCTGCAACAGCTGGACACCCTCGCTCGACACTCCATGCTGGCTATGTCTCACGGAGACACATACCTGGCTGCGGCGGCCAGTCTGGTCGAAGGTTCTCCCACGGACCGTGACCAGCGCATTTACAACTGCTTGCTCGGTTTGAATGCTTCCCTGGAGTACGTTGCCGGGGCTTCGGCCTTTGTTTCCGGCACGTGCCATTTTCTTCGGCGCCAGTCGTATCTGGTTGCTTCAGGGTTGGACGCTGCCAATCAGGAGGTGCTCCTTTCGCAGCCTTGGTCTGCTCGGACCCTGTTTAATAACAAGATCCCTGGGGTTCTGAAGGAACAACAGGCCGCTGTGTCTGCCGAGGCCTCTCGGCACACACTGGATCTTGTGGGGTCCTTGCATAGGCGCCTGGGTGCCGCTCCGAAGCGGAGCGCGCCCCAGGTTGCTGCGTCCGGCAGGCCTAAGGGGTCGGGTCCTTCTTCCTCCGGGAAGAAGCCCCGCTCTGAGGGCTCCGGTAAGGGTTCTCAGCAGCCCTTTCGCGGGAAGAAGGGGAACTTGGGGAAGCCCAAGTCGTCTTAGGACGGCAAGGGCCCCTCCAGGTGACTCTCATTGGAGGGGTTCGTATGCCAACAGCGCCAACTTCGGTTGGCCCGTAGGCGAACCCGAGTCACACGGCCCTGGACAGTTGCGCCTGCCGCAGCCCGTCCGGTCCCCCTCTCTTTCCCCAGTGGGAGCCAGACTCCAGACTTACTGGGAGAATTGGGAACAAGTGTTCGACGACCCGTGGGTGGTCAACACGATTTGGTACGGCTATCGGCTCGATCTCAAAGCGAATCCGCCGCTCACCGTTGCCCCGTCGGCAGGTTTCTATTCGGAAACCGATCTTCCCTTCCTCGCCGATGCCATCGGCAGGTTGGTGGAGAAGAGGGCAGTTCGGGAGTTAGCTCTACCAGAAATAACACCGGGGTTTTACTCCAGGATATTTCTCGTTCCCAAGAAGGACAGTGCTGAACTCAGAATGATTCACAACTTGAAATCGTTCAACGAGTTCTACCTGCGCAAGCCGCCCAAGTTCAGAATGTTGAGCTTGACGGACCTGAAAGCACTGATCATGCCGGCCGACTGGCTAGCTTCGATCGACCTGAAGGATGCTTATCTGCATGTTCCGATTCACTCGGATCATCACAGGTATCTCAGGTTTGTCTTTCAAGGCAGGCACTACGAGTGGGTTGTACTCCCATTCGGTCTTTCGTCCGCTCCCTGGCTGTTCACCCGGTTAACCACCCCCATAGTGGGGTTCCTCCACCGGAGGGGTGTCCGGTACTTCGCGTACCTGGACGACTCGCTAGTAGCAAATCGAATGTCGGACACCCTGTCACGCCATCTCGTTTTCGCACATCGGCTCTTGGAGCAATTGGGGTGGATTGTCAATCTCCCCAAGAGCGAGTTAACCCCTTCTCAGAACTTGCAGTTCATCGGAGGTCGGTTCAACACGGTGTCCCATCGCCTATTTGTCCCCCCAGACCGGTGGCACAAAATTCAGGCGATGATTGCCAAAGTCTTAGCGGTGCAACAGACTGTTCACTTTTGGGAACAGCTGTTAGGGCTACTTGTGTCAGCCCAGGACTGCACCGTACGGGGTCGTCTCCAACTCCGCCCGCTGCAACGGTTTTTAATCCAGTTGTTAGCAACGGAGGTGAACAGTGCGACCGTCGCCCTCCCGGATCGGCTCCGACCGCATCTGGAGTGGTGGACGGTCCCTTACAATGTCTTATCAGGAGTCTCTATGCGGCCCTACCGGGCCACGTTGAACCTGTATACAGACGCCTCTCTAGTGGGCTGGGGCGCCCATCTAGAGGGGGAGGTGAGCTCGGGGCTGTGGTGCGTAGACGAACTAGGTCTTCACATCAATTGTCTCGAGTTCAAGGCAGTGATCAACGCAGTCAATCACTGGAAGCATCGTCTCGTCGACGCCCGGCTCATGCTGGCGACCGACAACACGACGGTAGTGTCCTATGTGAACAAACTGGGGGGAACCCACAGTCACTCGCTGCTCGATCTCACGTTCGAGTTTTACGCTCTGGTGGACAGTGTCCCGTGCCAGATACGCGCCCGTCACATCCCAGGTGTGCGGAACGTACTGGCCGATGCTCTATCGAGGCCTCGGGATCCGAGCCCCACAGAGTGGATGCTGAACCCAGTAGTGTTTCAGTGGCTGTGCGAACGTTTGGGTCGTCCGATGGTCGACCTGTTCGCAACGCGGTTCAACAATCAACTCCCGTTGTTTGTATCACCAGTCCCGGACCCGAGGGCCATCGATCACGATGCTCTCGCGTTAGACTGGACGGGCTTTGACGCTTATGCTTACCCGCCGACAGCGTTGATACCACACATTCTAAGCCGGCTTCGAGGAGTTCGCTGTCGAATGTTACTGATCGCGCCCATGTGGCCGAACAGATCGTGGTACCCCGACTTGCTGACCCAGGTCACGCAGTCGCCACTCCCACTGCCTGTGAGACCGGATCTCTTGATCCACCCTCACACCCGTCAGCTTCATCCAAACGCAGGGCAGTTCAATCTGCACGCGTGGATGTTGTCACCGAGCGTCTGAGGAGTAAAGGTTTTTCTCGCCGGGCGTCTCGGGCATACGTTAGTATGCATCGTGATTCTACCCAGAAGGTGTATAATGCACGTTGGGTTATTTTCACGAAGTGGTGTTGTAAACATCACATTCATTCGCCAGATAAGGTATCTGTGCAGGATATTGCTCGTTTCATGTCTCACTTGCGAGAGACCCGGAAACTCTCCGGGGGTTCCATTGCCAACTATGTCTCGTCCGTTGCTACGGTACGGGACGTTGCTATGGGTACCAGTCTCTCCAAAGAGCCGGTGATACGGGGTATTATCAAGGGTTTCAAACAGCACGATCTTAAGAAGGGCCGCCTTCGGGCACCGGCCTGGGATCTTTCCCTAGTGTTGCAATCACTTACGGAAGCTCCGTATGAACCCTTGCATAGTGCTTCGTTCCGGCATGTGACTTGGAAAACAGCATTTCTCCTCTCCTTTGCCACGGCGGCACGTGTATCCGAAATTCATGCACTCGATGTCGCCAAGGTACGATTCGATAGGGGTGACGAAGGAGCGGTCCGCCTGGGCCTGCTCATGGGCTTCGTCGCCAAGAATCAGAGAGTCGGGCAAGCGGAGAGAGAATTCACTGTAAGATCACTCAAAGAAATCTTACATCCTGCTGATACTGAGGACAGAGCGCTGTGTCCGGTTAGGGCCCTTAAGTATTATCTTAAGGCTTCGAATGAACGTAGACAAGGGCGTGACCGTCTGTTCATATCGTGTAACCCTAATCGCACGGTTGACATAACTCGCAACTCGATTGCGTTGTGGCTTCGTTCTGTCATCAATCTGGCGTACCGGTCTCGGGGGTTACCGGTAGCGGGGTCAAACCCGCACGAGATCAGGGCGCTAGCGGCAACATTTGCCCTACACTCGAATATCTCTGTTCACAGAATATTACGAGGTTGTTACTGGCGTTCTGACTCGGTTTTTGCCAATCATTACCTCAGAAAGGTTTCTGATGAAGACGTGGAGGGGGTGCACCGTCTTGGGCCGCTGATCGCGGCACAAGCGGTCATCTAGGGGGTGTGTCCAGCGCAATTTCAAACTCCGCAGTCGTCAGTCCTTGCACGGTGGTCAATCTGGGTCGTCTCCAATGTTCCCACGCCGTGGGTACAGGAGTGGGGGTCCTGCAAACCAGCGCACTCACACCACAGGTGAGGCGGCTTTATGTGTGTTTTGTCCTTATTTGTATTTTGACAATTGTGCATTTAATTGTCTGTCGTGTATTCCAACCTTGCGATACATGCTTACGAATACTGGAATTAGGTCACGCGCCTAATGCATACTTTCAGTAGGCTTGCTCTGGGATATACGGTCTGAAGGAAATTAATTTCCCTCTTTTCGACTGTTTAACCTGATCTAAGATTTAGCTCACGCGGATACAGTGTTCTCATCCGCTGCGGCGATGAAATACCTATCCAGTGGGGCCGTTTGGAGTCACCAATCGTTTTGGCAATGACGATTGAGCCTTACGGTATGCGCATGACAGTGCTTTGGTATTCCTATAGGGTAACGCCTAGCTAGGTGCATGCGCATCGAGTGCTTCCGCCTTGGTGTTTACTTCCGCTGGTCGGAAGGAACGCTAGCAGTCAGGATTCGGGTTGTAGGTGCTCCCCACCGCCTACTGTGGTAGTCAGCCTCGGTATAACAGTGGTAACGTATTACTTAATGTAATTTGTAGAATTTTCCTATTTGGAATATTCTATAAGTAATACGTTACCACTGGGCTGCTGCCCGCCCGTCCGTCCCCCGAGCACTTGCTCTCGCAGGAGACAAGAGTGAAGGGTGTCACATGGCAGCTAGGTGGCTACGCACGTGCTGCATGAGGTAATTGAGATCTCTGTGGTAGATTTCGCTATAGCAGCAGTTGTGGGAGACAACAGCCTCGGTATAACAGTGGTAACGTATTACTTATAGAATATTCCGAATAGGAAAATTCTACAAGTTTTTGTGATACATTCACTAGGTATGATTACTTGGAGTTCACGGATGCAAAGGGCCTGAAGATGAAGTTTGATCAGAAGGTTGGCACACCAAAATGGCAGAAGCAGGTTGTGTTCAGTGGCCCACATCTCCACTTCCTGTTCCGGTCAGACAGCAGCAACACAGAGTGGGGGTACAAGTTTCTGGTGAGTAGGCTACAAGTTTCTTATGAGTGGGGTACAAGTTTCTGGTGAGTGGGTTACATGTCGCTGGTGAGTTGGGGTACAAGTTTCTGGTGAGTAGGTTACAAGTTTCCGGTGAGTGGGGTTCAAGTTTCTGGTTGGTTGTTTGGTGGTTTGTTGTTTAACGCCGCACTCAGCAATATTCCAGCTATATGACCGCGGTCTGTAAATAATCGAGTCTGGACCAGACAATCCAGTGATTGATATCATGAGCATCGATCCACGCATTTGAGATCGATGACATGTATCAACCAAGTTAGTGAGCCTGACCACCCGATCCCGTTAGTCGCCTTTTGCGACAAGCAACAAGTTTCTGGTGAGTTGGGTACAAGTTTCTGGTAAGTTGGGTACAAGTTTCTGGTGAGTGGGGTACAAGTTTCTGGTGAGTGGGGTACAAGTTTCTGGTGAGTGGGGTACAAGTTTCTGGTGAGTGGGGTACAAGTTTCTGGTGAGTAGGTTACAAGTTTCTGGTGAGTGGGGTACAAGTTTCTGGTGAGTGGGGTACAAGTTTCTGGTGAGTGGGGTACAAGTTTCTGGTGAGTGGGGTACAAGTTTCTGGTGAGTAGGTTACAAGTTTCTGGTGAGTGGGGTACAAATTTCTGGTGAGTAGGTTACAAGTTTCTGGTGAGTGGGGTACAAATTTCTGGTGAGTGGGGTACAAGTGTCTGGTGAGTGGGGTACAAATTTCTGCTGAGTAGGGTACGTGTTTCTGGTGGGTAAGTTACAAGTTTCTGGTGAGTGGGGGTTACACGTCGCAACACCTCCATTAGGGTAGAAACGATACAGCAAGGTCACGATACGATACGTATCACAATGTATAGGTCACGATACAATACGTATCGCAATACGCATATTTATGTCAAATCATGTGAATACTTCTTGACTAGGAATATTTCAGAGCAGGTTCAAAAGGAAAAGCTAGCTGTAGACACATGTTCATAGCAGGTATTTTTAGTAGTTACCTTGAAACCCTAGTTACAACACATTTTGTGATATTTGACTGACAAAAATACTGGATGTCATTAAATAAGTAGTAGGTAAATTCTTTAAGCAAATGTATCGATAAAGTAAAAAACATATCGTGTATCGTATCACAATGCAAACTCACAATGCACCGGTGCACCGATGTATCGTTTCACCCAAATCGTCCATGTGAAATGTTCAGTTACAGTGAAGCTGATTTGACCGTCTCTGTTTCCAGGTGACCGCTAAGGGGACTCCCGACATCCCCCTTTCCTGGCCCTACGATCTACAGCTGGGTCTGGCCAAGTTGTTCGGCAGACTGTGTGGTGCTACTCTCAGCTCCAATCCAAGTAAGATCTGTGTAGAGTAATGGAAGACTTTGTAATGTACATTGTGTATGATGTACCTTGACACATGTAGTCCTTCTTTGACATCAACTCATGTATTGTCCTGCTTCACTTCCTTCTCTGTCGAGAATGAAACATATGAAGAACAATGATGCCATACACACAAACAGGGTGTTTACAGTTAGTGTGTCTGATGAGAGGTGGGGATGGGTCTAAAGGGTTACAGTTAGTGTGTCTGTGTTGCCGTCCTCCCCAAGGATCGTATTGCTGATGAGAGGTGGGGATGGGTCTGATGGGTTTACAGGTAGTGTGTCTGTGTTGCCGTACTCCCCAAGGATCGTATTGCTGATGAGAGGTGGGGATGGGTCTAAAGGGTTACAGGTGTGTGTCTGTGGTGCCGTCCTCCCCAAGGATCGTATTGCTGATGAGAGGTAGGGATGGGTCTAAAGGGTTACAGGTTGTGTGTCTGTGTTGCCGTCCTCCCCAAGGATCGTATTGCTGATGAGAGGTGGGTATGGGTCAAAAGGGTTACAGGTTGTGTGTCTGTGTTGCCGTCCTCCCCAAGGACAGTATGGCTGATGAGAGGTGGGGATGGGTCTGAAGGGTTACAGGTGTGTGTATGTGTGTTGCCGTCCTCCCCAAGGACAGTATGTCTGATGAGAGGTGGGGATGGGTCTGAAGGGTTACAGGTGTGTGTATGTGGGTTGCAGTCCTCCCCAAGGACAGTATTGCTGATGAGAGGTGGGGATGGGTCTGAAGGGTTACAGGTGTGTGTATGTGGGTTGCCGTCCTCCCCAAGGACAGTATTGCTGATGAGAGGTGGGTATGGGTCAAAAGGGTTACAGGTGTGTGTATGTGGGTTGCAGTCCTCCCAAAGGACAGTATGGCTGATGAGAGGTGGGGATGGGTCTGAAGGGTTACAGGTGTGTGTATGTGGGTTGCCGTCCTCCCCAAGGACAGTATTGCTGATGAGAGGTAGGGATGGGTCTGAAAGGTTACAGGTGTGTGTATGTGGGTTGCCGTCCTCCCCAAGGACAGTATTGCTGATGAGAGGTGGGTATGGGTCAAAAGGGTTACAGGTGTGTGTATGTGTTGCCGTACTCCCCAAGGATCGTATGTCTGATGAGAGGTGGGGATGGGTCTGAAGGGTTACAGGTGTGTGTATGTGGGTTGCCGTCCTCCCCAAGGACAGTATTGCTGATGAGAGGTAGGGATGGGTCTGAAGGGTTACAGGTTGTGTGTCTGTGTTGCCGTCCTCCCCAAGGATCGTATTGCTGATGAGAGGTGGGGATGGGTCTGAAGGGTTACAGGTTGTGTGTATGTGGGTTGCAGTCCTCCCAAAGGACAGTATGGCTGATGAGAGGTGGCGATGGGTCTAAAGGGTTACAGGTTTGTGTCTGTGTTGCCGTACTCCCCAAGGACAGTATGGCTGATGAGAGGTGGGGATGGGTCTGAAGGGTTACAGGTGTGTGTATGTTGGTTGCAGTCCTCCCTAAGTACAGTATGGCTGATGAGAGGTGGGGATGGTTTGATGGGTCTGAAGGGTTACAGGTGTGTGTATGTGGGTTGCAGTCCTCCCTAAGTACAGTATGGCAGATGAGAGGTGGGGATGGGTCTGAAGGGTTACAGGTGTGTGTCTGTGTTGCAGTCATCCCAAAGGACAGTATGGCTGATGAGAGGTGGGGATGGGTCTGAAGGGTTACAGGTTGTGTGTATGTGGGTTGCAGTCATCCCAAAGGACAGTATTGCTGATGAGAGGTGGGGATGGGTCTGAAGGGTTACAGGTGTGTGTCTGTGTTGCAGTCCTCCCCAAGGACAGTATTGCTGCTGTGGAGGAGAGTGCAGAGCAGGATGTCCTCCAGAGCGAGCTTTGGACGTCCTTATTCCGTGGAGGCTACATGGTTGGCAAACTACAGAGGTCTCTCTCTGGGCGGGTGGTGAGTACACCTCTATCATCGTGTCCCAACTCAAGGAACAGCTGTAGGACAGTTGGACAAATACCTTGGTGCTCTGGAGAAATGTACTTAAATAGTAATCACAAGCTATAATTTAAAATCAGTGATTCACAAGTGGAAATTATGAAACATCATGCTCCTTATTTTGTTTTCTTCACTGGATAGAAAGGACAGTTTCATCCAGAATTAATGCTATGTGATAGAGTGGAAAATGATAATGATTGATTAAGAATTCATTTTGTTGGCACAAAACAGGTCCTGTTGGCCACCCCACACAATATTTTGTTGAACACTGAGAAGTGTATAGATGATGATGCCCGGATACATGTACCTCATCAGCAGACCTGTTTACTCCTACGGTTTCTCCGTGTTTCTGACAGATTTGGAATAAAAAATAATTACTAAAAATCCAGGTGAAAAAAAAATCAGATGTTGACAAAATCATATACCAGTATGTCAAGTTCTTGACTGAGTAATTGATATTACTTTGGGTAATTTGGAACAAAATAAGTTGATACCTGGAAACAAGTGTGTAACAAACTTTATGTACATAAATTTACAAATTTGTATTGATCTTGTCTGTTTTGCCATGGATGCTGTCGTCTTTGAACCAACTGTGCATGACGGAATTAGACCTGTTGCATTAGTGGTAGTAAATATTGAGCAGACGCTTGGAATGATTAAATGAAAGGCTAATGACCTTGAGCAGTCAATGTCTAATAAGTATAAGCAGTTAAAACTACTTGTTAAATCAACACATTGATACAAGGATTCATGCCATGAGATCTGGCCCTGTCATACTGCCTCAATGAGGGGACAGTCATTCGTTCATTGTAATGTGTCTGAGGTCAACTTCACCTATTTGCATGTTGGTAAATCTGGCTACTGACAAATGGCTGGAACTACAAACAGATTCTTTGTGAACTACTGGTTGGCAAGTTAGGGTAAACAGGTCTGCATTGGGGGAATGATGATGATGATGATGATGATGATGATGCAATTGTCTGTAGGCTACAGATGAGGCTACCACTGTGCTTGCATTTCTATGGAACATGATAAATGGCCAAGCAGAATTAGCAAAAGCATTTCTTCAAAAGTAAGTATTTTTAATCACATCGTTCTTTTGTGTGGCAGCAGGAAATAGTGTTTCTGTGCCTGTTTCCCATCTGTGAGGTAACAAGAGTGTGCCAAATAGCTGCCTGCCTGCTACCCTGTGGCCAGCAGAATGTCGAGTCTATTCCACTCACTGGATGACAGTGATTCACTTCTTCCCGAGACTTGTTCCCTTCATGATGGTTCTGTTGCCAGAGGGGCGGTCGGGTAGCCTAGTGGTTAAAGCGTTCGCTCGTCACGCCGAAGACCCGGGTTCGATTCCCGACATGGATACAATGTGTGAAGCCCATTTCTGGTGTCCCCCGCCGTGATATTGCTGGAATATTGCTAAAAGCGGCGTAAAACCATACTCACTCACTCACTCTGTTGCCAGAGTCTCGCAAGGCACTATCTAGGTGCCATATGTTGCATGTCAGTGTCCCTCCAAACTAGTACTGCCTCCAACCTCAGTGAATGTCTTATGTAAGTTGGGTGTAAATATCTTTTGACAAGGCTCAGTGTATTATAATAGATATACTTTCATAACACAATTCAAATTTATGTTATGTTTGGCAAATTGGTCACAAACTTCAGATTGAGTTGTTCTGTGTATTTACACATGAAATGATCAAACACAACAATATCGTCATACAGGTTGGAATCTCATTTGATGTGTTTCAAGATGGTGGGTGGGTGAGTTTGGTTTAACGCCGCTTTTAACAGTATTCCAGTTATATCGAGGCGTGTCAGGTTAATGTGGGAGGAAAGCCCGAAGTGATGCAGGTCTCAGACGTTTACCACTTCGGTGAAACCCACGAGCACGGGTATGGTCCTGACAAACCTAGAAACATAATCGGGGCGAACCGGGATTCGAACCCACAATCATAGGTTTCTGGCGTGCCCAAGGGACGCAACTCTGCACAGCGAATCACGGTGCCTTAGTTGACTGGGCCACCCGTGCCCCCTATTTACACATGAAATGATCAAACACAACAACAGGTTGGAATCTCATTGGATGTGTTTCAAGATGGACTTTAGCACATTGTGTGTCAGTATAATTTGTTTGACAGGTGCAACATGAAGCCTAACTTGAGTGATCTACCTACAGACATATTGATGTGGAAGTTATACCACCTTCGTAATCTCAAAACTATATGTTGTCTCCGAACTGTGCATTTGCCCCTGGACCCATGAAGATCTTGGTTAGAATAGGTCTTCAGCAACCCATGCTTGCTGTAAGAGGTGACTAACGGGAACGGGTGGTCAGGCTCGCTGACTTGGTTGATACATGTCATCATATCTCAATTGTGTGGACCAAGCTCATGATGACAAACACTGGATTGTCTGGTCCAGACTCGATTGTTTACAGACCACCATCATATTGCTGAAATATTGCTGAGTGCGGCGCTTAACAACAAACAAACAAACGTTTGCCCTTGATCTGAATTCTCCATCATGTTTCTGTAAAGAGAGGATAGCACTGTGAGTTGTGTGTTTGTTTCAGATGTCGTGATCTCAAGGTGCGTGTGTCGACGGTGGGTGGGGAGGAGGTGGATTCTGCTGTCACAGCCATCTTCGCTGCCCTGCTGTGGCACACCCAGCAACTCAGGGAGGAAGTCGACAGATATTGTGAGAAGCTTTCATACATTTAGTCACACGAATATAGTTTGTGTAAATTATATGAGAATGGTACTTACTGGAAATTACAATCAATGGTATTGGTGACATCATTATGCTGGTGAACGCCTCCACACTCAAGTACAGTAAACTATGGTTATAACGAACTCAAAGGGCTCACTAATTTTAGTTTGTTATAAGCGTTGTTCGTTATTAGCATATATACGGCATATAGACAGCAATTGGCTGGGACAATAAAAAGCAATTTGTTAATCCACCAGTTCATTATAAGCGTGTTCGTTACAAACGTAGTTTACTGTAGATAGAGCGTATGCCTGGAGAACTGAGGGTCGGTCGATCCCCGTCTTCATCCTCGTTATTCCAAAAGACATTAAAAGATGGTACTTTTTACCCTGCCTTGCGCTCGGGTTTGCAACAAAAACAGATAGGCTTGGAGCCATTATACTGTGTCTGAGTGGTGTATTTATTTTAAACTGCGGCATGGGATCTCAGTGAGCTAGCACTATGAAACAGGCATTAGTCCAGACTAGTACATGCAGCCACACACATGTGCACACACGTCGCTGTACGAGTGCAGCAGTATGATGTTTAACCCCATTTCACCTCTCCTCACCGTAATGTAAACACAAGCTCATCAATCAACCATGGTGTAGCGTGGTCGATGATATTCCTAGTTGTACAGAAGTGTACAGAAGAAAGTCCTTTGTGTGATATGTTAATATCAACTCCTAAAATCTTCGAAAATTTTGTTCATGTAGACTTTTGGCAGCCAAATAAATGCAGTTTAGCAGATCAGACCAACTGGATGATAAAATATTTTTCTTATTCATTGAACACTGATTGATTTAATATGAAGACCTTTAAAATATGAAGTGATATTTGGTGACCTGAATGCTTTCTCTGTTTCAGGTCAATCGAAAGGCAGCATACATGATGGTATTGGCCAGGCCTATGCAGCTGCCGAATCTCTGAGAATGATGCTGGTAAGATGGGATTTGACTTTTATTTGGCCATGCCTTTGTATCTGGACAATGGAAGATGTTTCTTCTCCTGGTGGAAATGTCTAACATAATGTTGTAACATAATTAATATTCAAAGACAGCTTCTTCAATCTGTCCAGGTGTTTCAGCTCTCACTTTGTTTTTGGGATAGGCTAATCTCTTCTTGACATCTCTTGTATCAGTGCTCTAATTATTTTATTCACGGTGTGACACATGAGCTCTCATCGTCGGCGAGAGACATAGCTGCTTTCACTGCCACCTTTATTTCAGTTTCCCCTCTGGAAGGAATCTCAGTTTCCCCTCTGTATTAAGGAATCTCAGTTTCTCCTCTGTAAGGAATCTCAGTTGCCCCTCCATAAGGAATCTCAGTTGCCCCTCCTTAAGGGATCTCAGTTTCCCCTCTGTAAGGAATCTCAGTTTCCCCTCCGTAAGTAATCTCAGTTGCCCCTCTGTAAGGAATCTCAGTTGCCCCTCTGTAAGGAATCTCAGTTTCCCCTCCGTAAGTAATCTCAGTTGCCCCTCTGTAAGGAATCTCAGTTGCCCCTCTGTAAGGAATCTCAGTTGCCCCTCTGTAAGGAATCTCAGTTTCCCCTCTGTAAGGAATCTCAGTTACCCCTCTGTAAGGAATCTCAGTTGCCCCTCGGTAAGGAATCTCAGTTGCCCCTCCATAAGGAATCTCAGTTGCCCCTCCTTAAGGGATCTCAGTTTCCCCTCTGTAAGGAATCTCAGTTTCCCCTCTGTAAGGAATCTCAGTTTCCCCTCTGGAAGGAATCTCAGTTTCCCCTCTGTAAGGGATCTCAGTTTCCCCTCTGTAAGGAATCTCAGTTTCCCCTCTGTAAGGGATCTCAGTTTCCCCTCTGTAAGGAATCTCAGTTGCCCCTCTGTAAGGAATCACAGTTTCCCCTCCGTAAGGAATCTCAGTTTCCCCTCTGAAAGGAATCTCAGGTTCCCCTCTGTAAGGAATCTCAGTTTCCCCTCTGTAAGGAATCTCAGTTTCCCCTCTGTAAGGAATCTCAGTTGCCCCTCTGTAAGGAATCTCATTTGCCCCTCTGTAAGGAATCTCAGTTTCCCCTCTGTAAGGAATCTCAGTTGCCCCTCTGTAAGGAATCTCAGTTGCCCCTCTGTAAGGAATCTCAGTTGCCCCTCCATAAGGAATCTCAGTTGCCCCTCCTTAAGGGATCTCAGTTTCCCCTCTGTAAGGAATCTCAGTTTCCCCTCTGTAAGGAATCTCAGTTTCCCCTCTGTAAGGGATCTCAGTTTCCCCTCTGTAAGGAATCTCAGTTTCCCCTCTGTAAGGGATCTCAGTTTCCCCTCTGTAAGGAATCTCAGTTTCCCCTCTGTAAGGAATCTCAGTTTCCCCTCTGTAAGGAATCTCAGTTACCCCTCTGTAAGGGATCTCAGTTTCCCCTCTGTAAGGAATCTCAGTTCAAGTTATGTGTTTACAGGCAAGCCAAAGACAAAGTGCTTCGGCCAAGAAAAGTAATTTACCCGAAGATGAAAACCCAGGTGAGAGCCAAGAGGGATTTACCAGTGTAGTAAATTTAAGGAACCCCAATTATTCAGGTGTTCTTTAACCTCTTTTGTATAATATATGAACATGTTAGTACTGATGGTATCAGGGTTTTTTATACTTATGTCCATTAAAATATTTTGAAGTCACATTCCTGCAATATGTAATGAACTTGAAAAATATGTTTCAAAATTTGTTCATGAAGCTAGCTTTGAGGGTTGATCAATGATGCAAGTGTTGTTGAGGTCTCAGTAGTATTCAAGAAGCAACTAAGGTTGTCCATGAACACACAATGCCTTTTAGAAAATGGTCAAATGTAGCAAATGATATATTTGCGATGACACTTTCTTAGTGAAGTACAAATTCTAGTACTTTGGGACTCAACCCCAAAAAGTTTGTATGAAAGTGTCGTCCCAAATGTAACACTTGTTATGAGGTGATGCAGATGATGTAACCGCTGACATTTAACCTCTAGTGGTCAGTAACCACTGACATTTAACCTCTAGTGGTCAGTAACAGCTGACGTTTTACCTCTAGTGGTCAGTAACAGCTGACGTTTTACCTCTAGTGGTCAGTAACCACTGACATTTAACCTCTAGTGGTCAGTAACAGCTGACGTTTTACCTCTAGTGGTCAGTAACAGCTGACGTTTTACCTCTAGTGGTCAGTAACCACTGACATTTAACCTCTAGTGGTCAGTAACAGCTGACGTTTTACCTCTAGTGGGCAGTAACCACTGACATTTTACCTCTAGTGGTCAGTAACAGCTGACATTTTACCTCTAGTGGTCAGTAACCACTGACATTTAACCTCTAGTGGTCAGTAACAGCTGACGTTTTACCTCTAGTGGTCAGTAACCACTGACATTTAACCTCTAGTGGTCAGTAACAGCTGACGTTTTACCTCTAGTGGGCAGTAACCACTGACATTTTACCTCTAGTGGTCAGTAACAGCTGACATTTTACCTCTAGTGGTCAGTAACCACTGACATTTAACCTCTAGTGGTCAGTAACAGCTGACGTTTTACCTCTAGTGGTCAGTAACCACTGACATTTAACCTCTAGTGGTCAGTAACAGCTGACGTTTTACCTCTAGTGGGCAGTAACCACTGACATTTTACCTCTAGTGGTCAGTAACAGCTGACATTTTACCTCTAGTGGTCAGTAACAGCTGACATTTAACCTCTAGTGGTCAGTAACAGCTGACATTTTACCTCTAGTGGTCAGTAACAGCTGACATTTTACCTCTAGTGGTCAGTAACAGCTGACATTTTACCTCTAGTGGTCAGTAACAGCTGACATTTTACCTCTAGTGGTCAGTAACCGCTGACATTTTACCTCTAGTGGTCAGTAACCGCTGACATTTAACCTCTAGTGGTCAGTAACAGCTGACATTTAACCTCTAGTGGTCAGTAACAGCTGACATTTTACCTCTAGTGGTCAGTAACAGCTGACATTTTACCTCTAGTGGTCAGTAACAGCTGACATTTTACCTCTAGTGGTCAGTAACAGCTGACATTTTACCTCTAGTGGTCAGTAACCGCTGACATTTTACCTCTAGTGGTCAGTAACCGCTGACATTTTACCTCTAGTGGTCAGTAACCACTGACATTTTACCTCTAGTGGTCAGTAACAGCTGACATTTTACCTCTAGTGGTCAGTAACAGCTGACATTTTACCTCTAGTGGTCAGTAACAGCTGACATTTTACCTCTAGTGGTCAGTAACAGCTGACATTTTACCTCTAGTGGTCAGTAACCGCTGACATTTTACCTCTAGTGGTCAGTAACAGCTGACATTTTACCTCTAGTGGTCAGTAACAGCTGACATTTTACCTCTAGTGGTCAGTAACAGCTGACATTTTACCTCTAGTGGTCAGTAACAGCTGACATTTTACCTCTAGTGGTCAGTAACAGCTGACATTTTACCTCTAGTGGTCAGTAACAGCTGACATTTTACCTCTAGTGGTCAGTAACAGCTGACATTTTACCTCTAGTGGTCAGTAACCGCTGACATTTTACCTCTAGTGGTCAGTAACAGCTGACATTTAACCTCTAGTGGTCAGTAACAGCTGACATTTAACCTCTAGTGGTCAGTAACAGCTGACATTTTACCTCTAGTGGTCAGTAACAGCTGACATTTTACCTCTAGTGGTCAGTAACAGCTGACATTTAACCTCTAGTGGTCAGTAACAGCTGACATTTAACCTCTTGTGGTCAGTAACAGCTGACATTTTACCTCTAGTGGTCAGTAACAGCTGACATTTTACCTCTAGTGGTCAGTAACAGCTGACATTTTACCTCTAGTGGTCAGTATTCACCATGATAATTGTAGCAGTACCAACATGCTCCTTGTAATGTATCCAAGATTCAACTCTGGAAGTTGAAATAAACTCTGCAGTTCCCAACAAAGAACTAAGGTTAAACACAAGGCATCCTTGTACATGTATTAAGATACTATATCATCGTACCCAGGCCTGCTTTTGTATATGATATATATTACATGTATTAAGATACTATATCATCGTACCCAGGCCTGCTTTTGTACATGATATATATTACATGTATGAAGATACTATATCATCGTACCTAGGCCTGCTTTTGTACATGATATATATTACATGTATTAAGATACTATATCATCGTACCCAGGCCTGCTTTGGTATATGATATATATTATGCATATTTCCTCTTTTCAGTGCATATATGTAAAGAAAAGGCTCTGTATCTGCTGAGATTTGCTGGTTTAACCAAAGTCCAACTCAGGCAAGACGTGAGTGCATTTTTAATGATAGCTATATTGAAATATTTTATGTAAATAGATACCAGTATAGAAACCTTAGAAGTACAGTTTTGTGGTAAGTTTCAGTAATAATTGATAAACATTTCCAATAATTTTCTGTCTCATTTTATCTAATATGTTTTGTACCAAATTCTATAACACTGCATGTTTGTTTCAGATGAGAAGTAAAGCCAACAAGCACCTGCTGAGAAAACTAGGCAATAAAAAGTCAGATAAAAACCTGCTGAAGGTATGGTGCTAGTTTCTTTAGGAACAAAACGCACGAGTGTTAATAATATTCATCTCAGGAACCATTTATGGGCCATAAAAATATAAAACACCTTTACACACATTTTTCTGAAACTCTAATGTAATCATTACGTGGGATTCAAGTGTGGAGAAGGACTGGGTTCCAAGTAAGGAGGATTGTGTTTCATGATATTCACAGCCAGGGTTATGTGTTTAGTGATGTTGCCTTATTTTCAGCCTGACCTGTCTGACAAGTACCCATCTTTCCGCCTTGTGATGGAGTTTGTGCAGGACCCAGCGTGGACAACGGACAGGTCGGATACTACGTCACGATCTGTTACTGGAGTGTAGGCTTCATACATGGCTGGGGGGCGGTCGGGTAGCCTAGTGGTTAAAGCGTTCGCTCGTCACGCCGAAGACCCGGGTTCGATTCCCGACATGGGTACAATGTGTGAACCCATTTCTGGTGTCCCCCGCCGTGATATTGCTGGAATATTGCTAAAAGCGGCGTAAAACCATACTCACTCACTCACTCACTCATACATGGCTGGGGACCCTGTGGGGATGCCAGGGCCTGACTGTGTCCCCACAACCTGCTGGTCGGAAGAGGCAACCAAATGGTTTGGGGTCTTCAGCAACCCATGCTTGCTATGGTTGTCGTAAGAGGCGACTAACGGGATCGGGTGGTCAGGCTCGCTGACTTGGTTGATGCATGTCCTCGTATCCCAATTGCGTGGATCGATGCTCATGATGTCAATCACTGGATTTTCTGGTCAAACCTTGATTATTTACAGGCCACCATCATATCGCTGGAATACTGCTGAGTGCGGCGTTAAACAACAAACCAAACCAAAACCAAACGGTTTGGGTTGTGTGGCTTGGTTACTTGGTGATTGCAATGCATCGTACCCCACTGATGTTGTTTGAGGTGGCAATTGCTGGATTTTCTGGTCAAACCTCGATTATTTACAGGCCACCATCATATAGCTGGAATACTGCTGAGTGCAGCGTTAAACAACAAACCAAACCAAAACCAAATGGTTTGGGTTGTCCGGCTTGGTTACTTGGTGATTGCAATGCATTGCTGGAATATTGCTGAGTGTGGCGTTAAGCAACAAACAAACAGAACAAATATGGCTAGTGACATGTATTTAGTTATGGGCCATTCCTTCTGAGTGAATCATGCTTGTAAATTGTAATGTTTGGCAAGGGACAACATTGCCTCTAGGGGGAATTCATTATTCTGAGAAGTTGAGGGTGACATTATATTTATTTTCTAAATAATATTGATCTGAACAGGTCTAAATTCTGAAGTCATTTAGACATGTTCAGATCAATATTATTCAGAAATTATTTCAAATTTCAGAATAATTTCTCAGAATAATGAATTTCCCCGACAGCCAATGTGGAAAGTCCCTTGCCCAAACCACTGTTCTCGCTTTACTGATTTGTAAACCACGTTTAACATGGTTAACATTCTGAGTCATTGCTTTTCCTTTAAAAATCTGAAATACCAGTAATCAGAACTTCCAAACCTGATCCTGTCTGTACTGAAAATGACAGCTTATGTCTCATGAATGCTCTTAGTTTCAAACAAACAAACTGTATGTATGATACTGACACAAGAAGGTATGACCAGTTGAAATATGCAGGTTTAGGGCTAAAATCACTTAGGTCGAGTTAGGAACTGGGTGTGTAAGAGGTTTTCTTTGTGTGAACTGAGGATGTAAGTTTTGATAAGCCCACGAAACTAGTATTGGTGATGTCTGTGTCGTGTGGTCTGGAGGAAGTGAAAGTGACGTATATATGTATATATTATGATGTAGTATGACACTTTGATTGACATGGCAGATTTACCAGTAACTGTTAACCTCTTCGTTTCCTCCATGTTCCCAGGGTGCACCAGATGCTGCAGGAGCGGTCACAGTACGCCACGGCTGTCAGTGACGTGCACATGTTCTCTGCGGAGTTCGTAAGGATCATGTCTGGCAATGATCCCTTCCAGGTAGTACTTCCCAGAGAAATACATAAATAGAGGTTGGAGCGTCAGTGAGTTTGGATTTGTCTTAATGCAACCAGTGCTCAATAAAAATTATGAATATCATAAACAAATTTTCAGAACAATATCAGTCCTACGTTCCATGATGGTACTTTCACAGAGAATTATATAAATAAAGGTTGGAGCGTCAGTGAGCTGGATTTGTCTGAATGCAACCAGTGCTCAAATCAAAAGTGCGAATATCAGACAAATTTTCAGAACAATATCAGTACAAATAAAAGTCTGGGTCGGCAGAGCAGCTCTCTTTTACATTATGGTTAGATCTCTATCATATATTCTGTTCAACAAACACACATACGGGTAAATGTTCCCAGTGTAACATCTTCCGGGGTTGAATAGGTCTTCAGCAACCCATACTTGCCGTAAAAGGCGACTTTGCTTGTCGTAAGATCGGGTGGTCAGGCTAACTGACTTGGTTGAAGCATGTCATTGTATCCCAATTGCGTGGATCGATGCTCATGATGTCAATCACTGGATTGTCTGGTCTAGACTCGATTATTTACAGACCGCCGTCATATAGCTGGAATATTGCTGAGTGCGGCATTAAACAACAAACCAAGCCAACCAAGTGTAACATCTGCCTGATATGTTAAGTTTGTCCTTTCAGTAACCCTTGTCTCTGTTGGACAGTGAGTCTCTGTGTTCTGTATGCATTCCCTGTCAGTTGGACTGAACTGTGTGTGTGTCCTCCACAGATACCTATAGTGCTGTTCCTGCAGGAGTTGTTCAGTTACCAGGACAAGTTCGCCAAGCACTATGCAGACGGCCTGGATGGATGTGGTCTGGAACAGGAGGCCAAGGTGCGGAGGTCCTACTACACCCTCGTACGCCGCCTCGTGGAAGGCTTTCAGAGGTTTCACCATCACGAAGTCGACGAGTATGTACCTGGGGACCTGTCGTTTACAATCAACTCTTGAGATGAGAAACTTCAGCTACAAGATGGCTAAAACCAAAGTTAAAATCTTAATTGCTATTGTTCACATGAAAGACCAAAGGTTTGGACAATAGATAGAGCTGTTATATTCTGAGTTGTATTGTAGAGAGTGGAAAAATGTTTGACAAGGTGACAAAATTTGTTTGCTATTAAACTTTGATATGTAGATGAAATTAAACCAAAAGTGATGTGAGAACTCTACTGACAAGAGTTAAGAATATGTTTTGACCATTTCAGGAAAGTTGTTCCGGCCTATGACTTTGTCCAGGCCTGTCTTCTTCATCTGCTGGACACACAGTGGCAGGTTCGTTATTTGCTTACAAGGTGGGGGTGGGTGGAGCTGGTGCTGGTGCTGGTGCTGTATGTTTACAGTGGGAGCTATGGACCCTGAGATGGGGGTGGGTGGAGCTGGTGCTGTCTGTTTACAGTGAGAGCTATGGGCCCTGAGATGGGGGTGGGTGGAGCTGGTGCTGTATGTTTACAGTGGGAGCTGTGGGCCCCGAGATGGGGGTGGGTGGAGCTGGTGCTGTATGTTTACAGTGAGAGCTATGGGCCCCGAGATAGGGGTGGGTGGAGCTGGTGCTGTATGTTTACAGTGGGAGCTGTGGGCCCCGAGATGGGGGTGGGTGGAGCTGGTGCTGTATGTTTACAGTGAGAGCTATGGGCCCCGAGATAGGGGTGGGTGGAGCTGGTGCTGTATGTTTACAGTGGGAGCTATGGACCCCGAGATAGGGGTGGGTGGACCCAGAGCTGTATGTTTACAGTGGGAGCTATGGACCCCGAGATGGGGGTGGGTGGAGCTGGTGCTGTATGTTTACAGTGGGAGCTATGGGCCCTGAGATGGGGGTGGGTGGAGCTGGTGCTGTATGTTTACAGTGGGAGCTATGGGCCCTGAGATGGGGGTGGGTGGAGCTGGTGCTGTATGTTTACAGTGGGAGCTATGGGCCCTGAGATGGGGGTGGGTGGAGCTGGTGCTGTCTGTTTACAGTGGGAGCTATGGACCCCGAGATGGGGGTGGGTGGAGCTGGTGCTGTATGTTTACAGTGGGAGCTATGGGCCCTGAGATGGGGGTGGGTGGAGCTGGTGCTGTATGTTTACAGTGAGAGCTATGGGCCCTGAGATGGGGGTGGGTGGAGCTGGTGCTGTATGTTTACAGTGAGAGCTATGGGCCCCGAGATAGGGGTGGGTGGAGCTGGTGCTGTATGTTTACAGTGGGAGCTATGGACCCCGAGATGGGGGTGGGTGGAGCTGGTGCTGTATGTTTACAGTGAGAGCTATGGGCCCCGAGATGGGGGTGGGTGGAGCTGGTGCTGTATGTTTATAGTGGGAGCTATGGACCCCGAGATGGGTGTGGGTGGACCCAGAGCTGTATGTTTCCAGCAGGAGCTATGGACCCCAAGATGGGGGTGGGTGGACCCAGAGCTGTATGTTTCTAGCAGGAGCTATGGACCCGAGATGGGGGTGGGTGGACCCAGAGCTGTATGTTTACAGTGGGAGCTATGGACCCCAAGATGGGGGTGGGTGGACCCAGAGCTGTATGTTTCCAGCAGGAGCTATGGACCCCAAGATGGGGGTGGGTGGAGCTGGTGCTGTATGTTTCCAGCAGGAGCTATGGACCCCAAGATGGGGGTGGGTGGACCCAGAGCTGTATGTTTCCAGCAGGAGCTATGGACCCGAGATGGGGGTGGGTGGACCCGAACTGTATATTTACAGAGGGAGCAATGGACCCAATAGGTGTATGAATGAGACAGATTGTGTCGAAAAGCTAAAATAGAGTTTTGAAATAATTTTTGGTGTTTGATTCTTTGAAGATAAAATTCACTCATAATGAGTCACTGTTCATTGTTTGATGACTGTTGTTCTTATCAGTTCTGCCTGTATGTTTCAGCCTTACGACCTGTCATTTGTGGCAGACATCAAGCTTCCAGAACTATTCATCAGTATTGCTAAAGGTGGGTACACAGAGGCGTATCCAGATCGATACAGGAATCCTTGAAACATTTACGGGATATCAGGCTGTTGACAAGTTACAACTTAATTTCATTTGGTTCAAAAACTAAAAACAGTTGATTCTCAGGCAGTGACAGTGATGGCCTGTTCTCTGGAGGCCTTGAAAAGGATACTGACAAGAATTTGTGTTTTTACTCAATACTTTCATGCAAATGAAAACAATAGTAATATTTCAGCTCAATGAATAGTCTGGAATTACTGAGGTTGAAGAATGCTGCAGAGTGCAGTTGTTGACATGTCTCCCATGTTGCGTCGACAGAGACAGTGAAGATGCGGGACCGGCTGATCGGGAAGCAGGAGGAAGAGGAGGAGCTCCGGGAGTACGACCAGTACATGCACTGGTTCGAGGAGAGCAGTCGGGGATTCTCCAACTGGTACAGGCGCAAAGAGGATGCTTCAAAGGAGGAGAAGAAAGTAGGACACTTTGCAATATTGAGTCTTTAAATATTTAAATATACTTTCTCTAGAATAGTCTTTCCCCGTCGCTATATGTCTGAAATATTGCCGATAGGATAATAAATATTAACTTACTACAGTCCGCTTGGCTCCGAATGAAAACAATGAATTGCAAAATAACTCAAGATCGGGAAGAGTCTATTAAATGTCAATACGGTACATGGCAATGAAAACCCTGTACCCTACGTCTGTTGTTTGTTATTTTTATTCCGAAAACTAGAAAAGTTGTTTGAGAAACTTTCATGTTGTTATGTGTACAAGTTGATATCTTCAATGGAGGGGGGCACAATGGTAGGAGGAACAGCACAAACGCATCTGTAACTGATGTTTCTTTCATAAATATTAGGGGGGCGGTCGGGTAGCCTAGTGGTTAAAGCGTTCGCTCGTCACGCCGAAGACCGGGTTCGATTCCCGACATGGGTACAATGTGTGAAGCCCATTTCTGGTGTCCCCCGCCGTGATATTGCTGGAATATTGCTAAAAGCGGTGTAAAACCAAACTCACTCACTCACTCACTCACTCATAAATATTAAGTTGCCCCTTGATGTGATTGCATTCTGATGTTATTGGTATTATCCCCGCTCTGTGACCATGGTTTGTTATAGGAAACCACAAGGTATTGAGATGTCTCAGGGATATATTGGAAGTGTCTCCCTTATAGGCTTGATGAGTTTGTTTTGACACATTGATCATGTATCAGTTAAAACTCTCTTGCAAGGTCATACCCTCACGATATGTGATAATACAAGAATGGTAGGTGAGGGAAACATGGACCTCCTTTTGTTTGTGCAGGCTATCCAGATGTTTGTGGCCCGATTCTGTGATCTGTTGGACGTGGAGATCTCCTGTGATGGGTGTGGCGCCACTCTCCCTGGCAGGAGGTACCGCTGCCTGCAGTGTGTGGACATGGACCTCTGCACCACCTGCTACTCAGGTCAGTCACCTCTCCCCATAGAGATTCTGAGGTAGAATTGGTCCCCATTTACTCTTTGTTCCCCATAAAGATTCTGAGGTAGAATAGGCCCCAGTAACTCTTCGTTCCCGATAAAGATTCTGAGGTAGAATAGGTCCCCATTTACTCTTTGTTCCCCATAGAGATACTGAGGTAGAATAGGTCCCCAGTAACTCTTCGTTCCTGATAAAGATTCTGAGGTAGAATAGGTCCCCATTTGTCTTTGTTCCCCACAGCGATACTGAGGTAGAATAGGTCCCAGTAAGTCTTTGTTCCCCATAGAGATACTGAGGTAGAATAGGTCCCCAGTAACTCTTCGTTCCCGATAAAGATTCTGAGGTAGAAAAGGTCCCCATATCTCATGCTTGTCTCACAAAGGTGATTCTGAGGGAGAATAAGTCTCCGGTACCTTTTGCTTGTTTTTTTTTCTGGCGGGTCTAAGGCATGGTTTAGGTGTACACTTCTCATGCGGAAACCCAAGATTCCGTTCTCCACATTGTACAGGTCCGTCTTACCCCAGCAATTGCCACTACATCAACTTGTAGCCATCACCAGTGTTGATGTTGTGCTCATGTCTTCTTGACTGTCTGTTTCAGGAGGTGTGAAGCCCCATGGAGAACACAAGGACGAGCACGATATTGTCCATCTAGTGTGAGTAGCCTGACTAGCAGTTCTATGGACAGTACAACTAGGTTTCTGTGTACCAAGCTGTGTGGACAGCTACATTTCTGTAATATGAAAACTACCGCAAGGGAAATCCAAGGACGGTGTCTAGTTAGTGACTCAAGTTTGAGTTGTCAGCTTGAATTCAGCTTCTGTTTCCTATTGCCATCTGTCACACAAAAACAAAGTCTACTTTAGATCATGTCACTTGGTGAATCATGAATATATTATGTCACTTAGTAAATTATGAAAAGATTATGTCACTTAGTGGAGCATGAATAGGTTATGTCACTTGGTAAGACTTGAATAGATTATGTCTCTTGGTGAGACTTGAATAGATTATGTCACTTGGTGAATCAGGAAGAGGTTATGTCACTTGGTGAGACTTGAATAGATTATGTCACTTGGTGAGACTTGAAAAGATTATGTCACTTGGTGAGTCTTGAATAGATTATGTCACTTGGTGAATCATGAATAGGTTATGTCACTTGGTGAGACTTGAATAGATTATGTCACTTGGTAAGACTTGAATAGATTATGTCACTTGGTGAGACTTGAATAGATTATGTCACTTGGTAAGACTTGAATAGATTATGTCACTTGGTGAGTCTTGACTAGATTATGTCACTTGGTGAGTCTTGAATAGATTATGTCACTTGGTGAGACTTGAATAGATTATGTCACTTGGTGAGACTTGAATAGATTATGTCACTTGGTGAATCATGAATATATTATGTCACTTGGTGAGTCTTGAATAGATTATGTCACTTGGTGAGACTTGAATATATTATGTCACTTGGTGAGTCTTGAATAGATTATGTCACTTGGTGAGACTTGAATAGATTATGTCACTTGGTAAGACTTGAATAGATTATGTCACTTGGTGAGTCTTGAATAGATTATGTCACTTGGTGAGTCTTGAATAGATTATGTCACTTGGTGAGTCTTGAATAGATTATGTCACTTGGTGAGTCTTGAATATATTATGTCACTTGGTGAGTCTTGAATAGATTATGTCACTTGGTGAGACTTGAATAGATTATGTCACTTGGTGAGACTTGAATAGATTATGTCACTTGGTAAGACTTGAATAGATTATGTCACTTGGTGAGTCTTGACTAGATTATGTCACTTGGTGAGTCTTGAATATATTATGTCACTTGGTGAATCATGAATATATTATGTCACTTAGTAAATTATGAAAAGATTATGTCACTTTGTGGAGCATGAATAGATTATGTCACTTGGTGAGACTTGAATAGATTATGTCTCTTGGTGAGACTTGAATAGATTATGTCACTTGGTAAGACTTGAATAGATTATGTCACTTGGTGAGTCTTGAATAGATTATGTCACTTGGTGAGTCTTGAATAGATTATGTCACTTGGTGAGTCTTGAATAGATTATGTCACTTGGTGAGTCTTGAATAGATTATGTCACTTGGTGAGTCTTGAATAGATTATGTCACTTGGTGAGACTTGAATAGATTATGTCACTTGGTGAGACTTGAATAGATTATGTCACTTGGTGAGTCTTGAATAGATTATGTCACTTGGTGAGTCTTGAATAGATTATGTCACTTGGTGAATCATGAATATATTATGTCACTTAGTAAATTATGAAAAGATTATGTAACTTGGTGAGTCTTGAATAGATTATGTCTCTTGGTGAGACTTGAATAGATTATGTCACTTGGTAAGACTTGAATAGATTATGTCACTTGGTGAGTCTTGAATAGATTATGTCACTTGGTGAGTCTTGAATAGATTATGTCACTTGGTGAGTCTTGAATATATTATGTCACTTGGTGAGACTTGAATAGATTATGTCACTTGGTAAGACTTGAATAGATTATGTCACTTGGTGAGTCTTGAATAGATTATGTCACTTGGAAAATATTTAGCTCATCTGGTTTGTGAAGTTTTGTACCATATGACAACCATATTTAATATATATTTGCTACCGTGAAAAATTCTTTTGTGAAAGTGATGTAAAAGTTAATATCTGGCCACTGTGTAACCAAAACATTTTTGTTGCCTATTTAATTTGACGCTGATTAGACATTCAAATTCTGGATTTCTCACTCGGATTTACTTAGTTGATGTCTGAATATATTTCTGCAAGGACTGCACACGACTCAAGCATGTGAATTGTCAACATGGCTGTATCTGCTTGTGTGGGTGTATTGTTGTGACAGGAGTGTTTTTGTCACTACAGATACAAGTGTAACAAGTGCCAAGCATTTATTGTGGGGACCAGGGTGCACTGCAATGCATGTGATGACTTCGACCTGTGCCTCGGCTGCCACAAGAAGGCCAAGTTTCCCTCAGGGTAAGTCCCGGCATTGGCGATTCTAACATGAGTGATTTCAGCCCCAATATCAGTCATACACTTGTGGGTTTTATGATGACATGTCTGGGTGACTTTCACTAGTGAAAAACAAACTAGGGATAAATGATGTCAGGAATTCACACATTCAGGTGTGTTGTATGCCACACCAGTGTTGATGGGGATATTGTAATTTTGCCATGATACTCAAAACTAATTCTCACAACATGTCAAGTTCATGTTTAAATACATGTAGAATAAAGTATCTGATTATCCCTATCAAAAGTTGAGTAGTATATGTAAGACCTCGTGTAGACTTGATCTCTGAGGTATTTGTTGACTACTATATGTAAGATCTTGTGTAGACTTGATCTCTGCAGTATTCGTTAACTACTATATGTAAGACCTCGTGTAGACTTGATCTCTGAGGTATTTGTTGACTAGTATATGTAAGATCTTGTGTAGACTTGATCTCTGCAGTATTCGTTGACTACTATATGTAAGACCTCGTGTAGACTTGATCTCTGAGGTATTTGTTGACTACTATATGTAAGATCTTGTGTAGACTTGATCTCTGCAGTATTCGTTGACTACTATATGTAAGACCTCGTGTAGACTTGATCTCTGAGGTATTTGTTGACTACTATATGTAAGATCTTGTGTAGACTTGATCTCTGCAGTATTCGTTGACTACTATATGTAAGACCTCGTGTAGACTTGATCTCTGAGGTATTTGTTGACTACTATATGTAAGATCTCGTGTAGACTTGATCTCTGCGGTATTCGTTGACTACTATATGTAAGACCTCGTGTAGACTTGATCTCTGCGGTATTCGTTGACTACTATATGTAAGACCTCGTGTAGACTTGATCTCTGAGGTATTTGTTGACTACTATATGTAAGACCTCGTGTAGACTTGATCTCTGAGGTATTTGTTAAGAAGTATATGTAAGACCTCGTGTAGACTTGATCTCTGAGGTATTTGTTGAGTAGTATATGTAAGACCTCGTGTAGACTTGATCTCTGAGGTATTTGTTGACTAATATGTAAGACCTCGTGTAGACTTGATCTCTGAGGTAATTTTTAAGAAGTATATGTAAGACCTCGTGTAGACTTGATCTCTGAGGTATTTGTTCAGTGATCAGGACCAGTAAGTGGACATTTGTTGCTTGTCATTGAAATGAATTACACTAAACTTACATATTACTTCATTTGTTTTGGTTTCAGACATCTGGAAACCCATGATATTACCATGATACCTCTGGTTAAATGTAAGTCCAGCAACATCTTACTCCTGTATCATCCAGACTTACCCCACTCAGGTGTCACATGTGTCATCCCTTAAAAGGCGACTGTGCTTGTCGTAAGAGGCGACTATGCTTGACTATGATTTCTCCTACCATGACCAGTCCTGTGTTAGCTTGTTCTGGACCTGTGAATATCCGGGGTAGAATAGGTCTTCAGCAACCCATGCTTGCCGTAAAAGACGACTATACTTGTCGTAAGAGGCGACTAATTGGATCGGGTGGTCAGGCTCACTGACATGGTTGATGTATCCCAACTGCATGGATCGATGCTCATGATGTCAATCACTTGATTGTCTGGTACAGGCTCAATTATTTACAGGGGAGAATCTTTATCGAATTTCCGCAAATTTTAATGACCACAAATTTCTTAAGATTTCATGGCTTCCCCCAAATTATGGACCACCCTCCATTGCAAAGAAGTTTCCAGGGAAAAGGAACATATCCATTCTCATCCCGGTATTTACAGATCGCTGTCATATGGCTGGAATAATGCTGAGAGCGGCGTTTAACAATAAACAAACAAACAAACAAAGGAAGGATTGCTGTGTTTGCATTCTGAGCTTACCTTCCCAGTACAACAGTGTTCCTCCTCAGTCAGCAGGGCCATGTCCCTCAAGCAATCGTAGGGCTAGGACGATCTTAGCTCCTATACTTTAACATAGACCTACGACACTCACTTTATTGATCTCCATGTATCTCCATTCTGTTATCATAAATAGCCTGGCTCCATTCCCAAACTAAGTTTCGTTCCAATGTGACGTCATTGTTTTGTACAACTGCACCCTTGGTATTTGTTATAATAAAAAGAAGACATTATACATCAGATGATCCTATGGCCTGGTACTGTGAGGAAATTTAAGATATGATGGCAATAATTTTTGTTTTATATTTTATACACAAAATTATACACATTGGTGTTTATAGAATTTTTTCAGTAGTTTGGAATTCGTATAAAAATCATTCACAAAGAATATTGTAAGGCTAATGCTATTCTTTAGGCTATATCAGTTGTGGGTGATGGCAATAATAGCTTCTATATTACCAAGGCTAGGGCTTATGAAAGACTACCTTTCCACTTTATTTTATCTATTAACATTTCCTTACAATATGGAACACATAGAAGGAATTATCTGCTTGTTAATATCAGAAGCTGTAGGAGAGCTTCATAAACTGATTGTAAGACCTTATTGTGTTGTTCCTGATGACATGTTGTTCCTGATGACATGTTCCTGATGACATGTTGTTCCTGATGACATGTTGTTCTGATGACATGTTGTTCCTGATGACATGTTCCTGATGACATGTTGTTCCTGATGACATGTTGTTCTGATGACATGTTGTTCTGATGACATGTTGTTCCTGATGACATGTTGTTCCTGATGACATGTTGTTCTGATGACATGTTGTTCCTGATGACATGTTGTTCTGATGACATGTTGTTCCTGAAGACATGTTGTTCTGATGACATGTTGTTCCTGATGACATGTTGTTCTGATGACATGTTGTTCCTGATGACATGTTGTTCCTGATGACATGTTATTCTGATGACATGTTGTTCCTGATGACATGCTTGTCTGTCCAGTGAAAACCTCCCAAGCCACAGACTCCCTCATCCAGGCCTACATCCACCAGCATGTGTGGCTGCTTTTCTCCGCGCTGACGATGGGACTGGGGGATGTCATCTACAACAGCAGCAGTCAAGCTGTGGACCCCGACTATGTGAAGCTGGCAGCCCAGCAACAGAACCAGTGCATCACACTCATCACATCCTGCCTGGAAAAGGTGCCGGATGATGCGGATGGTAGGACAAACTTTGTGGCAGTCTCTGAAATAGTACATGCAGTCACACACACACACATGCATGCAAGTTGCTCTATAAGTGCGGTAATCTTGAACACGATGTTTGACCCCTTTTCAATTCACCTTTGTGGCAGCCTCCGGACTAGTACAAGCAGCCACACACACCATGCATGCATGTTGCTACATTAGTGCAATAATCTTGAATGCAACGTTAAACTCCATATATTTCGAACATATGTGGACCTGTCACAGCTATTTTGATTAAATCATGTTTTTAATTTGGCAATACCATTTTTGGCGAGTCAATATCCCATCTTCATACAAAACGCTAGTGAGATAGACTAGACCCATACTTTAGTATGAGTCCTGCTTGGACAAATCTGATTTGTTATTTGGCCCAAGAATGTGTATATTGTTCATTTCTCCATAATCTATATACGTAGGTACTGGTAATACCGTGGAAACTGTGACTGTGAAATACATACATGTCTGTTATGTTTTATTCACTTCAGGATCAAAGACTCTATTACCATCTCATTCTGTATGTTCTCTTACCAGTGCACTAAAGTTAATTCTACCTGATAATGTTGTGCATTTCAGTGTTGTGTTTTGTGCATTTCAGTGTTGTGTTTTGTCAACAACAGTGTTATGTTTTGACTACAACAGTGTTGTGTTGTTTCTACAACAGAGTTGTTTTTTTGTCTATAACAGTGTTGTATTTGGTCTATAATAGTGTTATGTTTTGTCTACAACAGTGTTGTGTTTAGTCTATAACAGTGTTATGTTTCGTCTACAACAGTGTTATGTTTTGTCTATAACAGTGTTGCGTTTTGTCTACCACAGATGGCAGTAAGAGGCTGCTACAGGAAGAACCAAGGCCTCTGGAGAGTCGCCAGGAGGAAGCATTTGCCATCCACTCACAGGAGAGGATAATGGGATTGTTGGGAGCCATGATTCCATCAGAAAACAAAGTAGGTACACTGGACGCAAGCTGGTCTTGACTTGTGTACAGAGAGATCCGGGCAAAGATGGCAGACATTCATTTTTTTGCCTTCACAATTCTGTGTGCAGACTTGTGCCCCTTAGCCATGCCAGGATCCGCTGGCTGTCGGTTCAGTCCCAGACTTTCTCTGATTATAAATCTTGATTTGTCTGCATTGTACTGTACTCATGGGTTTCACCACATACAGTAACACATATCTAGGACCTGCATCAATGCAGGTTGTCCACACTTATTCAGATGACATGTCTTGTTTGACTGAAATACTGTTGAAAGGCGTTGTAACACCAGCTCAGTAACTGCTATGCATAACTAATGTGACTGGGCCCTTTATGTGGAACTTTCAAATATTCCAGAGATAAACCTACACTTGCCTATACATCACAATGTTAAAATGCCCCATTTTATTTGAAAATGTGGGCCTTTTTTCAAATTTAGGAGCTAAAAGCACAAGGCCCCACCCTAGAATTATCCCTGGTACAGTATTAGAATTCTTGCAGTGGGATTATCATGGTCATTGCTTTGATAGTATGTTTTCTAGAGAACCTTCATGAGAGCTTTTGTCCTGTCACAGGAGTCCCTGACTGGGGAGACGTATAACTTCACCACAGGCAGTTTCCTGGACATGCTCTTCAAGATTGCCAAGTAGGTCTTCTGTTTCTTTATTCAGTCCTTGTCTTGTATTGGGACCACCTCCGTGGTTCGGTGAATAGATCATCTGCCTGGAGAGCAGAAGGTCGTTGGTTCATATCAAAAGATGTTGAAAGATGGTACTTGTTGTTATCCTGCCTGGCGTTCAGCATTAAGGGGAGTCTGTATACTGTGTCTGAGTGGGGTATCCATGTCAAACTGTGTCATGGTATCTCAGTGGGCTAGCATAATAATTCCTGCATTAGTCTAGACTAGTACAAGCAGCCACAAACACACACATGTTCACGCACTATGTAAATGCAATCATCTTGAACGCAACATTAAACTCATTTCGACTCACCGGTAATGTATTGTGTTATTGATGTGTTTCTAATCCGCCAGATACTATTACATGGTTTTCGATCATTCAGAAATCCTGAGCTTTAAAAGCAAAATCGTTTTTGAATTTGTGAAGCTAACAATGTTATTAAGTTATTCTATTATGAACTCCAGGTTCCAGATCTGGTTGATTGCATTCACGTAATTGCACAATGAGGTGAGATGAGGTGAAATGGGGTTTAACGTCGCGTCCAAGATTATTGCACTTATATAGCGATGTGCATGTACATGTGTGTGTTTGTGTGGCTGCTTGTACTAGTCCAGACTGATGCCAATTTATAGTGCTAGATCACTGAGATACCATGCCGCAGTTTAACATGAATACCCCACTCAGACACAGTATACTGACTCCGAGCCAACCAGTCCTTGTTTTAGCCCCTTAATGCCGAGCGCCAGACAGGGTAACAACAAGTACCATCTTTTAACGTCTTTAGGTATGACACGATCAGGGATCGAACCCCAGACCTTCTGCTCTCTGGGCGGACGCTCTACCACTAGACCACGGAGGCGGTCTGCACAATGAGAATGGTTGATGGTGAGGTTGGTTGGTTCCTTTGTTGGTTTGTTTTTTTACGCCGCACTCAGCAATGATGGTCAGGCATCCTACATCCTTGGTATTCACCATCTCCACGGGGCCGGTGGTGTAGCCTAGTTGTTAAAGCGTCACTCGTCACACGCCGAAGACACAGGTTCGATTCCCGACATGGGTACAATGTGTCCAGACTATTTCTGATGTCCCTTGCCGTGATATTGCTGGAATATTGCTAAAAGCGGCGTTAAACAATACTCACTCACCATCTCCACAGAGTAGACATGATGTTAGGACGTGTGATTTAACCTGACTGCCATCAGTGAACTTATTTGAAGCAATATCAATAAAATTGTGAAAATGGATATCCTGTCACCACAGTTACCAGATACCTAGACAGACAGGTTTCACTGCGTGTGAATTTCTTGGATATCCAGGTACTAGGGGTATGCATGGTAAGGGCTCCTCTCTGCTGAGAAAGTGCACTATTAATGACAGTTCCTCAGCTGGACCAGTCAATAACATTTTCTCCTTACTATTTGTCTCCTTGTAGGCATGTTTATACTAAATATATGAACCTTGTGTCCCATGTAGGGGTGAGAGCGGCCATGAGCTGAACACACAACACCTGGCCATGGGGCTACTTGGGAGGTTGCTGGCAAAAAGTTCTACCAAGGTAAACCATTCTACAATTAACATGCAGGCTATGCATACTTTCACCGACACTCTGAACCAAGAGTTGCCAAATTGAAATATTGAAATAACAGTTATTTGTTCCAGAAGTTATTGTTTCCATCTCATTAAGCAGCCTCTATGTCATGAAGCAGGGAGCCTGCATGTCTTGAAGCAGGGACCTGTATGTCTTGAAGCGGGGAGCCTGCATGTCATGAAGCAGGGACCTGTATGTCTTGAAGCAGGGAGCCTGCATGTCTTGAAGCAGGGAGCCTGTATGTCATGAAGCAGGAAGACTGTATATCTTCAAGCAGGAAGCCTGCATATCATGAAGCAGGGACCTGTATGTCTTGAAGCAGGGAGCCTGTATGTCATGAAGCAGGGACCTGTATTTCTTGAAGCAGGGAGCCTGCATATCATGAAGCAGGAAGCCTGTATATCATGAAGCAGGGAGCCTGCATATCATGAAGCAGGGACCTGTATGTCTTGAAGCAGGGACCTGTTGTCTTGAAGCAGGAACCCTGCATGTCATGAAGCAGGGAGCCTGTATGTCTTGAAGCAGGGAGCCTGTATGTCATGAAGCAAGGACCTGTATGTCTTGAAGCAGGGACCTGTATGTCTTGAAGCAGGAAGCCTGCATGTCATGAATCAGGGAGCCTGTATGTCATGAAGCAGGGACCTGTATGTCTTGAAGCAGGGAGCCTGTATGTCATGTAACCTGTATGCCATTAAGTAGCCTCTATGTCATGAAGCAAGAAGCCTGCATGTCATGAAGCAGGGACCTGTATGTCTTGAAGCAGGGAGCCTGCATATCATGAAGCAGGGACCTGTATTTCTTGAAGCAGGGACCTGTATGTCATGAAGCAGGGACCTGTATGTCTTGAAGCAGGGAGCCTGTATGTCATGAAGCAGGAAGCCTGTATGTCTTGAAGCAGGGAGCCTGTATGTCATGAAGCATGGACCTGTATGTCATGAAGCAGGGACCTGTATGTCTTGAAGCAGGGAGCCTGTATGTCATGAAGCAGGGAGGCTGTATGTCTTGAAGCAGGGAGCCTGTATGTCATGAAGCATGGACCTGTATGTCATAAAGCAGGGACCTGTATGTCTTGAAGCAGGGAGCCTGTATGTCATGTAGTCTGTATGTCATTAAGCAGCCTCTATGACATGAAGCAAGAAGCCTGCATGTCATGAAGCAGGGACCTGTATGACTTGAAGCAGGGAGCCTGTATGTCATGAAGCATGGACCTGTATGTCATGAAGCAGGAAGCCTGTATGTCATGAAGCAGGAAGCCTGTATGTCTTGAAGCAGGGAGCCTGTCTGTCATTAGAATGTATGTCATGAAGCAGGAAGCCTGTATGTCATGTAGCCTGCATGTCATTAGACTTTTTGTCTTGAAGCAGGGAGCCTGTATGACATTAGACTTTATGTCTTGAAGCAGGGAGCCTGTATGTCATTAAACTGTATGTCTTGAAGCAAGAAGCCTGTATGTCATGAGACTGCATGTCATGAAGCAAAAAGCCTGTATGTCATGAGACTGCATGTCATGAAGTAGGAAGCCTGTATGTCATGAAGCAGGAAACCTGTATGTCATGAGACTGCATGTCATGAAGCAGGAAACCTGTATGTCATGAGACTGCATGTCATGAAGTAGGAAGCCTGTATGTTATGAGACTGCATGTCATGAAGCAGGAAACCTGTATGTCATGAAGCAAGAAGCCTGTATGTCCTGAGACTGCATGTCATGAAGCAAGAAGCCTGTATGTCATGAGACTGCATGTCATGAAGCAGGAAGCCTGCATGTCATGAAGCAGGAAGCCTGTATGTCATGAGGCAGGAAGCCTGTATGTCAAAAATTGCTGCATACAAGAATAGGTAATGCTATATTGGTTAAAAAACATGCTTATGCTTTTCCTGGAAATGAAAGAATACTAAGGGGGATCACCAGAAGCTACTGTAAGTCACTGCCTTAGGTGTCCTTGGGACATGTTCCTTTTTATTCTGTGTGTAAATTGGAGACTTCACTCTTGTTAAAGGTTGCTGATGAATCGGTGAGGAAGGTGTTGACGGCCGGAGTGAAGGAGAGTTCCACAGAAGGGGAGACAACTGTCAATCACCTGTTTAGATTTGGAGCCTATTGTCTTGAGAGGTATGTCAAAGGGCTCAAACTGATATTCTTTGATGGAGATGTTGACCAGTGCCTGCCACCATGGTGATGTGAACTCTGATGTGTTCTGTTCCTGTAGGAGTGGACTGGAGTGGGCCTGCTCCATGGCTCGGATCCTGGGGACACTGTCCAACTCGGACCAGTGGAAGTCTGTTGTCCACCATCACATCTCATCCTGTGTCCAGAGTCTCCGACAGAAGCCAGAACTATCCTCCATCTTCGCCATGTTCGTGATGGCTGGCTTTCCTGAGGTGTGTCTCTTGACATGGTGAAGCGTCTCCTTCATGTGTTCTGAATACTGAGGTGTTTCTTGCTTAGGCTTAAAAAAATAAAAGCATAGGTTCTGAGACAATGACTTTTGAAAAAATAGTGCGGGCGGGTGCTGTTTTTTTGGTTTGTTTTGCTTGTTCACACTAGTATTTGACGAAATCAGCAGTTGTGTACCATCAACCTGGGTAAGGGCCTCCCCACATAAACAAGCATTCAAACTTCTATTGCCGCCATGACCATAACACAACATGTGCAGTAAAGCAGTGCATATGTAAAGGGAAGTAACTGTGTGCTATATTGGATTGCATTTTTGTAAAGTATTTTGATGTTTTGATTTTTTTTTAAATGGAAAATAAAACCGAAACACTATGATCCTGTGGGCGGTGCCTGAGAACCAACACTATTATATTTTTTAACCTTAGTACATGCTTGTGTTACATCATGAATTTGTCTGTGGGGTTTGTATGGTATTGGAGGCTGTATTACTTGCACATCCATAAAGCTTGTGTGATGATGTTGATTGTTTGGCAGGTGTTGACCATGGGGACGCTGGTCCACTACACACACACCACACTGGAAGCCAAGAATGGAGTGGTCATCAAACACTTCCCTGACAAGTATCGCACTCTGGTTGTTGACCTGAAGACAAGGAAACGGCATATAGTATGGATTTACTTTGTCCCATGCCAAGTGTTTAAGCTGGAAGAGATCTCACTTTAATCAAATACTTTCTCTCATAACCAGATGGTTAAATGCATGTAAAACTGTTTCAGTATCTGTCATTGATAATATGTTCCTTGCATATATGCATAGATGCATCTGTCGCAAACACTCTCACATGTAACAAGTTCCTCCCCTGATCTGATTCATCCCTTGCAACAAGTCCCTCCCCTGATCTGATGCCTCCTTTGCAACAAGTTCCTCCCCTGATCTGATGCCTCTCTTGCAACAAGTCCCTCCCCTGATCTGATGCCTCTCTTGCAACAAGTCCCTCCCCTGATCTGATTCATCCCTTGCAACAAGTCCCTCCCCTGATCTGATTCGTCCATTGCAACAAGTCCCTCCCCTGATCTGATTCATCCCTTGCAACAAGTCCCTCCCCTGATCTGATGCCTCCTTTGCAACAAGTTCCTCCCCTGATCTGATGCCTCTCTTGCAACAAGTCCCTCCCCTGATCTAATGCCTCTCTTGCAACAAGTCCCTCCCCTGATCTGATTTGTCCCTTGCAACAAGTTCCTCCCCTGATCTGATTCATCCCTTGCAACAAGTCCCTCCCCTGATCTGATTCATCCCTTGCAACAAGTTCCTCCCCTGATCTGATTCATCCCTTGCAACAAGTTTGTCCCCTGATCTGATTCATCCCTTGCAACAAGTCCTCCCTTGATCTGATGCCTCCCTTGCAACAAGTCCCTCCCCTGATCTGATGCCTCCCTTGCAACAAGTCCCTCCCCTGATCTGATTCATCCCTTGCAACAAGTCCCTCCCCTGATCTGATTCATCCCTTGCAACAAGTCCCTCCCCTGATCTGATGCCTCCCTTGCAACAAGTCCCTCCCCTGATCTGATGCCTCCCTTGCAACAAGTCCCTCCCCTGATCTGATGCCTCCCTTGCAACAAGTCCCTCCCCTGATCTGATGCCTCCCTTGCAACAAGTCCCTCCCCTGATCTGATGCCTCCCTTGCAACAAGTCCCTCCCCTGATCTGATTCATCCCTTGCAACAAGTCCTCCCTTGATCTGATGCCTCCCTTGCAACAAGTCCCTCCCCTGATCTGATGCATCTGGGGCGGTCGGGTAGCCTCATGGTTAAAGCGTTCACTCGTCACACAGAAGACCCGTGTTCAAGTCCCTACATGGGTACTATCTGTGAAGCCCATTTCTGGTTTTTCCCACATGATATTGCCTGAATATTGCAAAAAGCAGCGTAAACCCATACTCACTCACTCTGATGCATCTGTTAGTAAACACTCTTCACTTGCAACAAATCCCTCCCCTAATCCAACTGATGCCTCGTCTATGCAGGTCAAGGATCAGTATGTGATGTGTGTGAGCGAGACGGCCGAGGCCTGGGACACGGAGCACATGTCGGAGTTCACTGGAATCATCATGGACACCGTCACCAAACTCAGGGCAGGTATGGACCTCACTTCACTGACTCTGCTCATCCCAATGCAGCTTCAGGTTATAAGGCTGAAAATAAGCAATTGCTTGCAGAGTTTGCAGCAGAGATAAGTAGTGTCTTGTGGGGGTGTTTTACTGATCTGGGTTGTGCTTGTAAAACAACTGTGTTGTTAGATTTTGCTGCTCATTAATACAGTGATGGACATAATTCATCAAACAGACTTTCGAGACTAAAGTGGGTGGTTAAAACTTTCTACTCCATCAAACATTGCTAAACATTTGTTTGAACACTGGAACCTTGTTTATCAGTATTGCCTGGTTTCTAAATACTGTAAATCTTGAAATTAACACGGGCGGGCGGGTGGGCGGGTGGGCGGGTGGGCGTGTGTAAAATAGCAATAAGAAATGAAACCTTAATATGTCTGTATTTTAGGCCACGGGCCTCTATACTGAATAAAAATTATCTTGTCTTGCTTATTACCCCCTGCCTCCTGTTTGCCCATTGCCTATTATCAGTCGGTGATAATTCAAGTCCTGCTATCACCTATCAGTGCTAATTAACTGTTAAGTGTTAGCTTCCATTTGTCCATTGCTAATCACCTATCAGCACCAATTAACTGATGGCTTCCCTTGTTAAGTTTCCACCTTTGTTATCTTATTACTTTTGTTGTTCTTACATATATTTTTTCTCTGATTCATAGCATAAATTCACCTGATGAAGGAGTAAGCATATACTCCAAAACGTTGTGTCACTCTTAATAAAAACATTGGCATCCATAAATTTTCTTCCTTGTGTGGGGGGCACGGGTGGCCCAGTCGTCTAAGGCGCCGCGATTAGCTGTGCAGAGTTGCGTCCCCTGGACACGCCAGAAACCTATGATTGTGGGTTCGAATCCCGGTTCGCCCCAATTATGTTTCTAGGTTTGTCAGCACCATACCCGTGCTCGTGGGTTTCACCGAAGTGGTAAACGTCTGAGAGCTGCATCATTTCGGGCTTTCCTCCCACATTAAGCTGACACGCCGTGATATAACTGGAATAATGTTAAAAACGGCGTTAAACCCAACTCACTCACTCACTTCCTTGTGTGCATCACTTCTAAATGCCATTCAAAGACCCAAATAGTGCTTGTTCAACTTTTGAGCCAATGTCTGTGTTGTGAAGGTGAAGAGAACAGTGTGGAGAACATGTGGGTGCTGTCCTTGGCACTGAAGGTGCTCAACAACAGTCTGAAGGCCGGGGAGAAATGCCTGACTCACAACTTCTTCAAGCCTGAGTTCATCCAGTCCCTGGTGTTTGTAGCCAGCAAGGGCACCGGCTTCAGCCAGCAGTGGCTGCTCAAGGATCTGGAGGTACTCCTGCTTTGAAAATAGCTTATTTTTTAACTTATCCTGCATTACTCCGTATTGCATTTGCTGCTATGTTTGACAGAGAGACGAACTGTGTGAGATCCAGCTGCTGAAGAAAGTTGTCCCAACCAGCCCAGGAGGCAGCGCCCTCTCACAGTCGGCACGTGACCCGGAAGTCATGACGTCACACCAAAAGACATAACTGCTTTGTCACCTCCACGGACGGACGTACTTTGTATCCCTTGTGGAAATTAAAGCTTATTATTTGTTTTTTATATTTTGCGTGTTTCTACATTCATTATATGCTGCTACATTGTTACCTGTTATGGGCCGTGACCTTAGGGTCTTCCCATTCGTAAATTGTAATGTTTATCGCTCGTCTGTGGCTCACGTCACAGTAATTTACGGGCGCAATGTTGTTCCCGCCATTTTGTTTTCTTTCCCGCCATTTTGGCCATTCACCACGAGGCCACGTAATGTCGTGTTCTGCGTTTTGAATTCTCTCTTTGGCTTGGGTAATATATTACATTTATGTATGTTGTTTGGTGTGCTTAAAGCCTTGCCTTTTCGCTACCGCTCAGCGTAATTGTTTCTTCTCATAAACTTCAATATAATACGAAGTTTATGAGTTACATTATGTCTCCCGTACTCTGTGGTTTTGCCACATGGTTACGTGTTTGCTTAAGGCTTTGCCTTTTCGCTCCCTTTTAGCGTACTTGTTTATCTCATAAACTTTAATAAAATATACTGTTTTTGAGTTACTTTATGCTTCCCATACTTTGTGATTGGCCACACATTATGCTTCCCGCACTTTGTGGCTTTGCCACATAGTTATGTTTTGCTTAAATTCCAGATTTTCTGCCTCGCTGCACTTGTTTCCGCGGGAACAAATCTGGTCGGGGCCGCCCCTTTCTGCCGTGATTGTACGACGCCCTGTACTTTCACAAGGCAGTGCCGATGTTGCAGTCATTCGTCGCTGTGATCCTTCAGCTCATGCGAGTATCCAGGACACACCTCGCTCAACGTGCTCGTCGACCCCCACCTACGTTGACGGCAGCAGCGCTCAGCGGAGCTTCACGGCGGCTCCCAACGTAGAGTCTGCCTCCCATGGCACGACATACGACCGTTCACGGTCTCCTACTCCACTGGCGGCTCCAGCGCTCCCAACGTAGAGTCTGCCTCCCATGGCACGACATACGACCGTTCACGGTCTCCTACTCCACCGGCGGCTCCAGCGCTCCCAACGTAGAGTCTGCCTCCCCTGGCACGACATACGACCGGTTACGGTCTCCAACACCGTCAACGCTGATGTCTCCGGCGCCCCCGGCGCCTCCGATGACTCGGCGCCTCAGGCGCCTCTGGCACCTCTGATGACGCGGCGCCTCCGATGTCTCGGCGCTCCCGGCGCCTCTGATGACGCGGCGCCTCCGGCACCTCTGATGACGCGGCGCCTCCGATGTCTCGGCGCTCCCGGCGCCTCTGATGACGTGGCGCCTCCAGCGCCTCAGATGACTCGGCGCCGCTGATGTCTCGGCGCTCAACAAGCTTCATGACTTGTTCATGAAAAGCTGATGACTCTGCGTCGCTTATGTCTCAGCGCCTCCGGCGCCTCTGATGACGCGGCGCCTCTGATGACACGGCGCCTCTGATGACACGGCGCCTCTGATGACGCGGCGCCTCCGACGTCTCGGCGCTCCCGGCGCTCCCGGCGCCTCTGATGACGCGGCGCCTCCGGCGCCTCTGATGACTCGGCGCCGCTGATGTCTCGGCGCTCAACAAGCTTCATGACTTGTTCATGACAAGCTGATGACTCTGCGTCGCTTATGTCTCAGCGCCTCCGGCGCCTCTGATGACTCGGCGCCGCTGATGTCTCGGCGCTCAACAAGCTTCATGACTTGTTCATGACAAGCTGATGACTCGGCGCCGCTTATGTCTCGGCGCCTCCGGCGCCTCTGATGTCTCCGCGCTCCGGCGCCTCCGCATCCTCTGATGTCTTCGGCGCTCAACAAGCTTCAGATCAACAAGCTTTATCAAGCTCAGATCAACGAGCCGACCATCCGATCTTCTACTGCGGCTTAAGGGGCACCATCGGCAATCGCCTCCCCGGCGCCACTGCCCTCTTCTCTTGCTGCCGTCTCATAACTCGTCACACGGAGAAGCATGGTGAAACAACTGTCGCCGCTCCTTTCGCTACTCTCCCGTGGGTCTTCGGGATCGTGACTATCGTTCTACTTCCTGGGTGGAATCATTTCAACCAATAGACAGTTGGTCTGATTCAACTTGCCCACTGAGACGTTATCCATAATCCCGTCGTTTAAAGCGCTATGATTCCGGAGAGATGACCTGCGGGTTTCCATCGAAACAGAGCGTCATGTGAACAGCGTCTGTATCAGATTCGACGACGACATCCACTTACAAAGAGTTTACTTCGTCGACATCGCAGACATCAACGCTGTTCTACCCTACCCTAGCGCCAGCGTTCCTGAGAGAGACTCTTCCTCGGCGCTCCCCGGGTTTTCCACGACGCCCATGGGGTTCCGTGTTTCATCGCAAAACTCGGGTACACCACTTGATCGTCTCTCACACAGTTCATTGAGGATTGTCTGTGTGTGGAGTTTACACCTCAGTTCCGACTCCAAGGCGGTTTTCTCGGCTACTGCGCAGAGTGATTTACATGTCACGTGTCAAGTACTCGGACTGTCAACAACTCCGACCGGATTTAGGTCAACTTACCATGGCAAGGGGTGCCATGTATTTCTACAGATTGGTTTCCATGTCTACCTGTACGCTTGGTGATACCACTCAACCAGGCGCCTGTCGCAGTCCATCCATGCACGGATGTTGGAAACAATAGACCTCCTCTACCAACACGGCTGTCACGAGGAACCTTGTTTCATCAACCCTTCGCTATAAGAACGATAGCGCCTATAGGCGTTCAAGGGATGGAAAAGATCGCCTTCCTTCGTCCGGTTTGATCTTTTCGACTACGACACCTTCCTATCTTCCGCCTTGACTACCGGACACAGTGTCGATTTGATACTTAAAGTCCCTCGGCCGTCCCACTGACCCCTGTTGCATACCTGCCTCGTATCGTGTTGTCGTCCTCCATCGTCACCTCGATATAAGAACAGGAGTACTTATACGCCGCTTCAGGGATGAAAACGATCTCATTACTTCGTGCAATGGCCATATTGCCTCGACTTCCTACTACCCGGTTACGTCGATGCCCCGGCGGTCGATTGTGAAGCTGGTTTACTTCGTCTACTTGAGATTGGCTCGCAGGCGATCACACCTTTTTCCGAATCGTACCGACGGTACGCAATCGCAGACCCCTGTTGCTGACGACCTCCCCTGCCACCTTGTCAGTGGCTAGTGGCCCACGCCAGCCCACATTGTGACCACCTGTGATCCAGAGATCAACACCATTGGCACAGCAACAGCCTCGAGATAAATGCTTATCCAGGACGGCACTTGCTGATAGTGCATTCTCGGTCACGCCCTGTTGATCGTGTCCACTGACGACGTCACCGTAGTGTGGTGTTTGCGGACCCAGAGTTCTCGCCCCTCTCCCGGCGCCACAAACTCGACCGGCGCCCCCGAGAATCACCATCTTCGGCGTTCCAGGCGCCTCAAGCTCTCCGACGCCTCACGCTCTCCGGCGCCTCGGGCCAGACTATGTGAAACGGTCGACACCCCAACCCTAGATCTGTTTGCCTCATATCTGAATGTGGCCAGCTGTCGTCTTCCATTCCACCTGTGCCGGATACGACCGCTGTGGCAGTCGAAGCCTTCCATCGTTCCTGAGAAGGATTACGCGCGTACGCTTTTCCGACTCCGGTTCTCCCTCCCACGGTTCTTCAGAGATCCAGGCCACTCGACACCTGCCATTGACTTTGGTCTCGCCTTATTGGTCAGCCAGAAGTTGGGTTATCGACCTCCGAAACATAGCCAGAGACAACCCCTGGAACTTCCGGTGTGGTCCAACCTTCTGCTCCATCCACACGGTCTGTTGCCACACCCTCATACCCGCATGTTATCGTCTGCACGCCTGACACACATGCAGAAAGCCAAGGGTTATTCGGCTAGAGCGACCAAGGCTATTGCTTCAGCCCACCGTCCATCTACAGGGGGACTGTATGCTGATAAATGATGCTTGTTCCAGGCATTTTGTTCTGACAAACACCAGGATCCGATGACAGCATCACCGCAGATCCTGGATCAGTTCCTTCTGTACTTGTGTAGCACCCATCGGTTGAAGGGCTTACCACCCCCACATACCTGGTCGCCATCTACTCCTTTCTGGCCATCCCGGACGATCGGAGAAAGACGAAAATTCCCGACCTACGGGCCTGGCTGCGCTCGTTCAGTCTTGAAGACCTGAAGACCAAGTTCGGACCGCCTGCGTTGGATCTGAATGTGGTCTTCAATGCCCTTCGAACCACTCCCCTCGTCTTCCTTCTTCGACCTTAAGTAGAAGACGGGTGTTTCTACTGGTTTTGACTACTGCCGCTCGAGTCCATGTACAGCACGCCCTCGACGTCTCCCATGCCCGGTTCGAATGCGGTACCCAGGGCGCCGCGTTCATCCTGGACCGTACTGGGACGTCAGCGTAAAGACTCAACTCCCAGGACAGCCTGATAGATCATTCCTTGTCCCCTCCCCCCTCGTCCAGTGTGGGTGCCGAGGATGAGGATGAGCGTCATTATGCCCAGTAAGGGCACTGAAGGTTATTCTACGATCTAAAGACTGCCGCAAGTCTAGGAAACACCTTTTTCTGCCGGTCTCCCCTTCGTCGCTGTCGTTGGTCAGCCGGAATACTTTTCCCTGTGGCTCCGGGCGGTCATCCTTAAAGCGTATGAGCCGCCGGATTGGACCCTCCCCCCAAAGGCTATTACCTGAAATAAAATGAGATCAGGGCGATCGTATTTACACTGGTTCTTCACGGTATACTGTTCCATCCCGTCGTTCAGGGAAGCCTGTTCGTGGCGATCGGACACCGCCTTCACCAACCACTACTTCCGTGATGTAGCCTTGAAAGTTGTCGCCGGCGTTCACAGTTTTGGTCCCTGGTTGTAGCCCAACAGGTCATCTATCTCCGACGCCACTGATTCTCCGATACCCTGAGCGGGGCCCGTCGACCTTTCTGGTGTTTATCACCCCAGACGAGACGGCTCTCTTGCGTTCCGCATTCGCTCTTAGGTCAGTTTTAGTTTTGGGTTACCCGACTCATTCTATTGCTGTCACCTATCCGGGTTTTACTTTTTGCATCAACTCTCGTTTCCTGACGACAGGAATGGTCGTAGATGTGGACACCGGCGCCGACGCCAACGCCGCTGCTTCTCTGGTACCTGAGCGGTGCCCGTCGACCTCACCGGTGTTCCTTGCCTCCAGCCTAGAGGGCTCTCCTGCGTTTCGCATTCGCTCTTGGGATTGGTCGTAGATTTTGCCGCCGACGCCGCTGATTCTTCGATTCCCCGAGCGGGGCCCGTCGAACTCTCTGGTGTTTATCACCTCAGATTAGCTCTAGGTTCTACTGCGTTTCGCTTTCGCTCTTCGGTAAGTTATATATTTTGGCTACACGCCTCATTGTATTTCGGTTACCTATTCGGGCGTTTCGTTTTTGCATCGACTCTTGTTTCCTGAAGACAGGAATGGTCGTAGATGTTCCGGTCATCACTTGTATGCGGTGCGGATTCATCGGCCCCTGGCGAGGGTTTAATATGGTTCACATCTGCAAGTATGCCCACCGGCCAAGCCGTCTGATAAAGATGCAATACGGAGTAATGCAGGATAAGTTAAAAAATTTAGTAAAATCTAAATATTTTTTACATTTGTATACTTATCCTGCATTACGAAGTCTAAGTGCCCTCCCTTTCGCTACGCTACCTCCCCACGAAGTTTCAGATGTTATGTTTAAAGCAGTTATGTCTTTTTGTGTGACGTCATGACTTCCGGGTCACGTGCCGACTGTGAGAGGGCGCTGCCTCCTGGGCTGGTTGGGACAACTTTCTTCAGCAGCTGGATCTCACACAGTTCGTCTCTCTGTCAAACATAGCAGTAAATGCAATACGGAGTAATGCAGGATAAGTATACAAATGTAAAAAATATTTAGATTTTACTAATTTTAGATTTGACTACTGTCCAGATTAACTTGGGAATATGAAGGTACAATATGTGAGGCCTTCAAATACCCTACCTCTATTATATCATAGCAAATAATACCTGTACTTTGGCTGTAATCACACTTAAAAATCCTTAGGTTTTCAACAGGTGTCCTCTTCACTGACAGCCATCCCAACCAGTTGTACGGCAAACCATACCTTGTGCAAGAGCCTTTGCACACAGCAGGAAACATTACTTCTTTCCTGTATTTGCAAGCAACAATACATGAAATGTTTTTCTCACTCAAAAAGGTTGATTGCATGTCTTTCTTTTCGTAATTGCATCGAGTGACTTGATTATTTACAGATCACTGCCATATACAGTCAACTATGGTTATAACAAACTCAAAGGGACCACTAATTTTAGTTCATTATGACTTTAATTCGTTATAAGCATATATACAACACATATACAGCAAAGACCCGGGTATATAAAAATAAACATATTCGTCAGTTCGTTATAATCGTGTTCGTTATAAGTGAAGTTTACTGCAGCTGGAATAGTGCTGAGTGAGGCGTTAAGCAACAAGCATGCATGCATGTACACACACATATATCTATATTGCCCTGATGTGACCTGACATGACCTGACATGAGTTCCATTGCTGCCTCCAGGTCCTGTCACTCATGCTCTACACCCATGACGGGTCAGCAAATCCTGTAAAGAAAACGAAACTACCCGGGTGCAAGGACGATCCCAGCAGGAAGAAAGACCCAGTGAAAGATGACAACTCCAGTAAATGCAGTGACGACGAGAACCGCAATGAAGACGATGACCTTGACGAGGAGCTGAACTTGTCTTCCTCCTCTTCCTCCTCCTCGTCTTCCTCTGACTCAGACACATCCTGGGAGGGAAACGACAAGGAGGTGTTTGGCGTCATGGACGAAAAGACCAAGTCATTGTTTGAGGTCAGTGCCTGTGTATATCATGAAAATATTCCATATGTTCTCAGTGATGTTGACTCTATATTAGGTCGTATATTTAGAATTTAACAATTTAGGATCATGGTTCTACATGTGAGTTCCAGACTGAATCAAATGAAAGTCTCAAAGAGTTTTGTGGGGGAAAATACAGGTGAAACTTGTTATTGAATTTTTGTATTAATTGGTAACAGCAGTTGGCGGGGGATATTGAAATGGGTTCCGTCCGTCCGTGTGTGTGTGTGCATGCGTCCCGAACTCGTTTCCGGAGCATAACTCAGAAACTGTTAAATATTTCGCTACGTAACTTTGCATGTCTATCAGACTCATGCTGAACTGATGCCTTTTGCTATTTAGGAGTTTTAGAAATTTTTAATTTTTTCGTTTCCATGGCAACAAGTTGGACTTACGTTCTTTAAGGGTGGTGTTCATTTCCGGAGCGTAACTCAAAAACTATTAAATACTTTCTTACAAAACTTTGCATGTCTACCAGGCACATACTGAACTGGTGCCTTTTGCTATTTAGGAATTTTATAATTTTTTATTTTTTATGTTTCCATGGCAACAAGTTGGACTTAGGTTCTTTTGGGTAGAGTTCGTTTCCAGAGCATAACTCAAAACCCATTCAATACTTTCTAACAAAACTTTGCATGTCTATCAGACTCATGCTGAACTGGTGCTTTTTGCTATTTAGGAATTTTAGACATTTTTATTTTTTATGTTTCCATGGCAACAAGTTTGACTTAGGTTTTATAAGGGTGGTGTTCGTTTCCAGAGCGTAACTCAAAAAACGTTTCTTACTAAACTTTGCATGTCTACCAGGCACATACTGAACTGGTGCATTTTGATATTTTGCACTTTTAGAATTTTTTATTTTTTACGTTTCCATGGCAACAAGTTGGATTTAAGTTTTAATATAGGGTGGGTTCACTTATGGAGTATAACAAATAAACTGTTAAATATTTCCTTGCCAAACATTGCATGTCTGTATATAAAGCACATACTGAACTGGTGCCATTTGATATTAAGGAGTTTTAGAAATGTATATTTTAGAATTTCCATTGCAGCTATTTTGACATGGGCTAAGAAAAAAGTTGGGTCAGTTACCTGGTTTGGGACCATAATGTGTTAATATGGGCGGGGGATATAGAGGACTTCGTGGACTATACGCTTGTTTCCAATGTTTCTGTATACGCGGTGACTTCTTTCAGGCTCTGCACCATGAGTTGAAAGTGCCTTTGTCCGTGCTGCGGGTGATGTTTGATATGAATGACGGGAACCTGGAGGCGGTAATGAAAGCCATTGTAGAGAAGTATGTGCCATACCATTATTGCTTCTTCATATTCACCTCAAGGCCTCATCATCTGGCTGTTGCTGACAGTATTCTAAGATGGTATCTTCATCAGCATTTTATGCTGTTGTACATTTTGCTACTTTTCTGATTTAGGGAAGTTTGAGTTTTTCATATTAATTTGATGCAGCTAATGAATTCATCACTCCTACCCTGATAACTCTGCTATTGCTTTCTTCCGTACAATGTACGGATATCTCACAGTACTATTTGAACTTACCCTCATCTTTATGATAATGATTATTTAACATGTTACTCATGTATATGCCTTATTAGACAACAAGCTGATAAGTATTTTCTTAAAACTCAGTATGTAATGCAATATAGTTCGAAAATGTTGGTATTATTTTGTGCTTATGAAGTGTGAAGCTTGTGGTGAAGCTTATGTTTCATGTGTTACAATGATATCAAAGTTTGACCTATGTCACTGAAGTTATCAATATTGATTTTAAGAATTCTGTCATTTTAATATCATCATTTTGATGACCATTCTTTTCCTCCTTCTCTGTTACTTACCATCACATACAACTCCCCGCCCAATACTTGATATAAGCATCACAGCGTTTCCACGCCCCAGCCTTAACACAACACTGAGCATGGTGCCTGCCCAGCATAGTGACAGCACTGAAGTCCCTGGCCCACCTTCACCAGTCTTTGTGCCCGCAGCATTTCCGTATCGTTGTTCCGATCCATAACCGCTCATCCCTGCCCCTCCCTGTCTTATGAAACACTCAATTCCTTCTCACTTTTAGACCAATCATTCCAAGGACTGGAGGCAGTTTTTGTTAATTTCCATGGCCCAGTTTAAGATTGGCCAATCATTCAATATACATGTCCCTTTTGGACAAGTCATTTACCGTCCATTTGGTCAGCATCCCAACCATTTGACCAATCATACCCTGTCCATGTTGGACCAATCATTCCCTGTCCTGTGTGGACCAATCAATCCCTGTCCCAGTTTGACCAATCATTCCCTGTTCCAGTTTGACCAATCATTCCCTGTCCTGTGTGGACCAATCATTCCCTGTCCTGTGTGGACCAATCATTCCCTGTCCCAGTTTGACCAATCATTCCCTGTCCTGTGTGGACCAATCATTCCCTATCCCAGTTTGACCAATCATTCCCTGTTCCAGTTTGACCAATCATTCCCTGTCCTGTGTGGACCAATCATTCCCTGTTCCAGTTTGACCAATCATTCCCTGTCCTGTGTGGACCAGTCATTCCCTATCCCAGTTTGACCAATCATTCCCTGTTCCAGTTTGACCAATCATTCCATGTCCCAGTTTGACCAATCATTCCCTGTTCCAGTTGGACAATCATTCCCTGTCATGAGTGGACAAATCATTCAGTGTCCGGTATAGACCAATCATTCCCTGTCCCAGTGTGACCAATCATTCCCTGTTCCATTTGGATAATCATTCCCTGTCCTGTGTGGACCAATCATTCCATGTTCCAGTTTCACCAATCATTCCCTGTCCTGTGTGGACCAATCATTCAGTGTCCTGTATGGACCAGTCATTCCATGTTCCAGTTTCACCAATCATTCCATGTTCCAGTCAGACAATCATTCCCTGTCCTGTGTGGACCAATCATTCCCTGTCCTGTGTGGCCCAATCATTCCCTGTCCTGTGTGGACCAATCATTCCCTGTCCTAGTTGGACCAATACATGTTCATCCCTCTATTTGTTTGACCACCAACTTGTTTGTACATCATCTCTTGCTGCGTCTGCTTGGTCAACTGTAGACTGATGTCGCAATTACAACTGTTTCAGTTTTGAGGGGTCGGAAGAGGTAAAGGCTTTCATGGAAAAATGGTAAGCCTTAGTGTGGGGGTACTTCCTGTTACTTGTGGCATGCTGGTGGTCCAAAAATTGAAGAAACTGAACACTTTGTATTGTCTAATCAGTTTACAATGTTTCACCGGTACTTTCATCAAAATCATCTTCATTGTGTGTCCTTTTTTAGATAATCCATTTCATGTGTGGCTTATGTAACAAATGGGATATTCTCCATATTTGTGGGGGTCTCCATTATACTAAAAAGCACTGCTGAGAATGCACTTGATATAAACTACTGCAGCAACCATACCCTGCTTTGTGCTTGTTTGATTTGCATGCAAAGAACATTTTGTACATGGCTTGGCAAGATGGAGCAAGTTGTCAATCTGATAAATGTTTTTGAGAAGACATTTAACATGATGTTTTAGGTGATTCGTACTGAGGAAGAGTTGTTGTTTATCAAGTATAAGTGTCACTAATCTGCCCTTTTGTTCACCTACCCTCGTTTTCATGTGTTAGATGTAAACCAGGAGTGACACCAGATGGATGGTAGAGTTGACCCAGAACACCCACAGACAGGGCACTAGTAAACCAGCTGGTCAATTAGGATGTATGTCGTTTCAATTATGTTGGCATACCTAGAAACACTAATATGGTAAAACAGTTCATTTTGCAAGCTTCTTTGTTTCAAAATATCCTGATGTGGGCTGGGACCCAACAGTGTTCCCGTTTACCGGTAAGATAAGGGTTGGACTGGTAATTCATGTGGCTGCAAGTCCCTGTGGACTGGTAAATAACATACCTTATAAATTTTTGTTGTTGAAAAAAGCATTGACAATATTCATATAAGTACATTTTTCGAACGAAGTCAGCTTGTCTGTTACCATCAGGGTTTAACCTTGTCTATATTTGGTGCAAGGATATAACATTTCGCTTTGCTTCAAGATTAATATACAATTATAGCGACTTCTTCTCATATTATTTGAAAAGAAAAGAGAAAATTATGACTGAACTTTGTGTGAATGACATGTAGATCTAACTCAGTTTCTTTAGATATTACATCATTGCATTGAACATGATGTTGAAAGAATTAAAACCAGGTAATTTTCATACGTTTTTTTTTATTTGTTGAAAGTTGGGACTGACAAGCAGGGAGAACTTTTTAGAATTTTTAGAGTTTCAAAAGCCAGCTGGAACACTGACACAAGTTGTCCTCTCTGCTCTGTTGGGGGATTGTTTTTATCATTGGGAGTGATTTTCCTCCGTCAGCTCCACAGTGAAGAGTGATTGGCCATCTAGGAACCTGCTTAAGAACATCTTTCCCCATGTTTGGTTTATGTATTGAAGGAAGATGTCCTGGTTAAGAGCTGGAAGCAAATCCTTGCTTGTGCAGTGGTTAAGATCAGGTTTATGATTGGAATAGTTAGCTGCAGAATACAGTGTTTTGACTGAGGTTTCTGAGGTGGCAAAGTCCATGTTGGTTTACACTATAGTTAATGCTTGGTTGTTGGTCCTTGATTACTTGGGTGAGCTTATTGATCCGTGGGTTTAGGTTTTTGACAGTATATTCAGGAGCTGGTCCCTTCAGAGTTGGAGGTTTTGCTCTTCAGTCAATGCAAAGAGGGTCGCCGAGGGGTTTCTGAGTACAGTAGTTGAGGGGAGAGGTGTCAGCTCTGTAAGCCAGTGCCTGTCTCTGTGTGTTCCAGGGAAGGAAATGCGGACGTGAAGGCATCGGTGAAAGCCCTGCACCTCAGTGTAGGAGCTGAGAGAGTCATCGACACAGGCATCCACTTCCACCCAGCACTGAAAGGCACACCCAGGTAGGAATGGTAGACACTAGATGTAGGTGAGACTGCGAGAGACTAGATGGAGGTGAGACTGTGAGAGACTAGATGGAGGTGAGACTGCAAGAGACTAGATGGAGGTGAGGCTGCAAGAGACTAGATGTAGGTGAGACTGCAAGAGACTTGATTTAAGTGAGACTGCAAGAGACTAGATGGAGGTGAAACTGCGAGAGACTAGAGGTAGGTGAAACTGAGAGAGACTTGATTTAAGTGAGACTGCAAGAGACTAGATGGAGGTGAAACTGCGAGAGACTAGAGGTAGGTGAAACTGAGAGAGACTAGATGGAGGTGAGACTGCAAGAGATTTGATGTAGGTGAAACTGCAAGAGACTAGATGTAGGTGAGACTGTGAGAGACTAGATGTAGGTGAAACTGCAAGAGACTAGATGGAGGGGAGACTGCAAGAGACTAAATGTAAGTGAGACTGTGAGAGACTAGATGTAAGTGAAACTGTGAGAGACTAGATGTAGGTGGGGCTGCAAGAGACTAGATGTAGGTGGGACTGCAGGAGACTAGATGTAAGTGAGACTGTGAGAGACTAGATGTAAGTGAGACTGTGAGAGACTAGATGTAGGTGGGGCTGCAAGAGACTAGATGTAGGTGGGACTGCAAGAGACTAGATGTAAGTGAAACTGCAAGAGACAAGATGTAAGTGAGACTGCAAGAGACTAGATGTAAGTGAGACTGCAAGAGACTAGATGTAAGTGAGACTGCAAGAGACTAGATGTAAGTGAGACTGTGAGAGACTAGATGTAGGTGGGGCTGCAAGAGACTAGATGTAGGTGGGACTGCAAGAGACTAGATGTAAGTGAAACTGCAAGAGACTAGATGTAGGTGAGACTGCAAGAGACTAGATGTAAGTGAGACTGCAAGAGACTAGATGTAGGTGGGACTGCAAGAGATTTGATGTAGGTGAGACTGCAAGAGACTAGATGTAGGTGGGACTGCAAGAGACTAGATGTAGGTGAGACTGCAAGAGACTAGATGTAAGTGAGACTGCAAGAGACTAGATGTAGGTGGGACTGCAAGAGACTAGATGTAGGTGAAACTGTGAGAGACTAGATGTAAGTGAGACTGCAAGAGACTAGATGTAAGTGAGACTGTGAGAGACTAGATGTAGGTGGGGCTGCAAGAGACTAGATGTAGGTGGGACTGCAAGAGACTAGATGTAAGTGAAACTGCAAGAGACTAGATGTAGGTGAGACTGCAAGAGACTAGATGTAAGTGAGACTGCAAGAGACTAGATGTAAGTGAGACTGCAAGAGACTAGATGTAAGTGAGACTGCAAGAGACTAGATGTAAGTGAGACTGCCAGAGACTAGATGTAAGTGAGACTGCAAGAGACTAGATGTAAGTGAGACTGCAAGAGACTAGATGGAGGTGAGACTGCAAGAGACTAGATGTAAGTGAGACTGCAAGAGACTAGATGTAAGTGAGACTGCAAGAGACTAGATGTAAGTGAGACTGCAAGAGACTAGATGTAAGTGAGACTGTGAGAGACTAGATGTAGGTGGGGCTGCAAGAGACTAGATGTAAGTGGTACTGCAAGAGACTAGATGTAAGTGAAACTGCAAGAGACTAGATGTAGGTGAGACTGCAAGAGACTAGATGTAAGTGAGACTGCAAGAGACTAGATGTAGGTGGGACTGCAAGAGACTAGATGTAGGTGAGACTGCAAGAGACTAGATGTAAGTGAGACTGTGAGAGACTAGATGTAGGTGGGACTGCAAGAGACTAGATGTAAGTGAGACTGCAAGAGACTAGGTGGAGGTGAGACTGTGAGAGACTAGATGGAGGTGAGACTGTGAGAGACTAGATGTAGGTGGGACTGCAAGAGACTAGATGTAAGTGAGACTGTGAGAGACTAGATGTAGGTGGGACTGCAAGAGACTAGATGTAACTGAGACTGCAAGAGACTAGGTGGAGCTGAGACTGTGAGAGACTAGATGTAGGGTGGACTGCAAGAGATTTGATGTAGGTGAGACTGCAAGAGACTAGGTGGAGGTGAGATCTGTAGATGCTAGGTGACAGGGGTATGTTTGAGATTTCGTGAAGGTTAGCATGTTATTGGCTAGATGAAGATTGGGTGTATTTTGGCATTAAGAATTTTCTGACAAAAGATTAATTGGATCATATTCATAATCTGATCTGTTTCTTTATAGCTAACTATATCTTTGCAAGGATACATTTTCTTTGTTTGTTTGCTGTTTAACGCCGCACTCAGCAATATTCCAGCTATATGACTGTGGTCTGTAAATAATCGAGTCTGGGCCTAACAATCCAGTGATTGACATCATGGGCATCGATCCACGCAACTGGGATACGATGACATGCATCAATCAAGTCAGTGAGCCTGACCACCTGATCCCGCTAGTCACTTCTCACGACAAGTATATAAGCATGATGGGGACCTTGGAGTCATTAGGGGTGGTCGGGTAGCCTAGTGATTAAAGCGTTCGCTCATCACGCCAAAGACCCTGGTTCGATACCATGGATACATTGTGTGAAGCCCATTTCTGGTGACCCCGCCATGATATTGCTGGAATATTGCTAAAAGCAGCGTAAAACCATACTCACTCACTCACTTGGAGTCATTGCAACATATTAAGATCATCCCCTCAATGAGTTGATGCTTATTCACACATATTTGCAAAACATCATAACTATGAGGATGTAGAGCCCCCTTATAACCTGAGAGCCATAGTGATTATGAGTTTAAGCACCCTGTATGTGTGTATTTACAACAGGACGATAGACAAGGCAGTGGAAGAGTCCGGCCAGAGCAGTGAGAACTTGATACAACAGTCAGACTCCCTCCAGGGAGACATCAGTGAAAAGTCTCGCAGCAAAAGTGCAGAGCTGCTCAAGAAAGAACTTGAAAAACATGGACGTGTGGGATCACGGGAATACTTGGCCAAAGTGAACATGGCTATGGGTATATTGTATGCCCGACACTTGCTGACTGGACTGCTTGCCTATTGGCCAGAATATGGTCATGTGATCAATGCTTCACTTCTGGGATGTAAGGAGGTGCAACAGATTCCGTGTGTGCTGGATCTGTTGTACAAGACAGACAATCGCAACTGTTTCAAGAAAGTGAGTGTCATCAGTACTTACATGTCAGCAAATCCGGCTATTGTGAATGAGCCTAAGTACTTTGACTGAAAGTTTGCTCATTGCAATCCCTTGCTTGTTAAGTCTTTATATATGTATAGGGGGGGAGGAGAGTCTTCTAAATTTATCACAACTATATGGGGGTAGTAGCATGAATAAATATCACGGTTCTAGTGTGATACCTGCCAGATGTACTGCTAGTGTGACACCTGCCAGGTGTACTGCTAGTGTGATACCTACCAGGTGTACTAATAGTGTGGTACCTGCCAGGTGTACTGCTAGTGTGATACCTGCCAGGTGTACTAATAGTGTGATACCTGCCAGGTGTACTGTTAGTCTGGTACCTGCCAGATGTACTGCTAGTGTGATACCTGCCAGGTGTATTGCTAGTGTGATACCTGCCAGGTGTACTGCTAGTGTGATACCTGCCAGGTGAACTGCTAGTGTGGCACCTGCCAGGTGTACTGCTAGTGTGATACCTGCCAGATGTACTGCTAGTGTGACACCTGCCAGGTGTACTGCTAGTGTGGTACCTGCCAGGTGTACTGCTAGTGTGACACCTGCCAGGTGTACTGCTAGTGTGATACCTGCCAGGTGAACTGCTAGTGTGACACCTGCCACGTGTACTGCTAGTGTGATACCTGCCAGGTGTACTGCTAGTGTGACATCTGCCAGGTGTACTGCTAGTGTGATACCTGCCAGGTGTACTGCTAGTGTGATACCTGCCAGGTGTACTGCTAGTGTGACATCTGCCAGGTGTACTGCTAGTGTGATACCTGCCAGGTGTACTGCTAGTGTGACATCTGCCAGGTGTACTGCTAGTGTGATACCTGCCAGGTGTACTGCTAGTGTGATACCTGCCAGGTGTACTGCTAGTGTGATACCTGCCAGGTGTACTGCTAGTGTGACATCTGCCAGGTGTACTGCTAGTGTGACATCTGCCAGGTGTACTGCTAGTGTGATACATGCCAGGTGTACTGCTAGTGTGACATCTGTCAGGTGTATTGCTAGTGTGATACCTGCCAGGTGTACTGCTAGTGTGATACCTGTCATGTGTACTGCTAGTGTAACCTGACTGATGTAGTGTGACCTGACTGATTTTCAGTGTGACCTGACTGATGTACAGTGTGACCTGACTGTTGTAGTGTGACCTGAGTGATTTTCAGCATGACCTGACTGATGTACAGTGTGACCTGACTGATGTAGTATGACCTGACTGATGTACAGTGTGACCTGACTGATGTACAGTGTGACCTGACTGATGTACAGTGTGACCTGACTGTTGTAGAGTGACCAGACTGTTGTAGTATGACCTGACTGATGTACAGTGTGACCTGACTGTTGTACAGTGTGACCTGACTGATGTACAGTGTGACCTGACTGATGTACAGTGTGACCTGTCTGATGTACAGTGTGACCTAGTGCCATACTGCCATAGTGGTGACATAGTGTCGTACGTTTTAGGTGTTTTAGTACATGAATACTGCTAGTGTAACCTGACTGATGTAGTGTGACCTGACTGATTTTCAGTGTGAACTGACTGATGTGCAGTGTGACCTGACTGTTGTAGTGTGACCTGAGTGATTTTCAGCATGACCTGACTGATGTACAGTGTGACCTGACTGATGTACAGTGTGACCTGACTGATGTACAGTGTGACCTGACTGATGTAGTGTGGCCTGACTGATGTAGTGTGACCTGACTGATGTACAGTGTGGCCTGACTGTTGTAGTGTGACCTGACTGTTGTAGTGTGACCTGACTGATGTACAGTGTGACCTGACTGTTGTACAGTGTGACCTGACTGATGTACAGTGTGACTTGACTGATGTAGTGTGGCCTGACTGATGTAGTGTGACCTGACGGATGTACAGTGTGGCCTGACTGTTGTAGTGTGACCTGACTGTTGTAGTGTGACCTGACTGATGTACAGTGTGACCTGACTGTTGTACAGTGTGACCTGACTGATGTACAGTGTGGCCTGACTGTTGTAGTGTGACCTGACTGTTGTAGTGTGACCTGACTGATGTACAGTGTGGCCTGACTGATGTACAGTGTGACCTGTCTGATGTACAGTGTGACCTGACTGATGTACAGTGTGGCCTGACTGATGTACAGTGTGACCTGTCTGATGTACAGTGTGACCTGACTGATGTACAGTGTGGCCTGACTGATGTAGTATGACCTGACTGATGTACAGTGTGACCTGTCTGATGTACAGTGTGACCTGTCTGATGTACAGTGTGACCTGACTGATGTACAGTGTGACCTGACTGATGTACAGTGTGACCTGACTGATGTAGTGTGACCTGACTGTTGTAGTGTGACCTGACTGTTGTAGTGTGACCTGACTGTTGTAGTGTGACCTGACTGATGTAGTGTGACCTGACTGATGTAGTATGACCTGACTGATGTACAGTGTGACCTGACTGTTGTAGTGTGACCTGACTGATGTAGTATGACCTGACTGATGTACAGTGTGACCTGACTGTTGTACAGTGTGACCTGACTGATGTACAGTGTGGCCTGACTGATGTAGTATGACCTGACTGATGTACAGTGTGACCTGACTGTTGTACAGTGTGACCTGACTGATATACAGTGTGACCTGACTGATGTACAGTGTGACCTGTCTGATGTACAGTGTGACCTAGTGCCATACTGCCATAGTGGTGACATAGTGTCGTACATGTTTTAGGTGGTACAGAAGGTGATACAACACTGTGATAAGTCCAGCTTGGTGCCCATAGCATACACAGCATGTCAGTTCATGGAAGAGGTGACGTTGTCGGCGGTGGCGAGAGAGTCGGACCACAACTACAAACTGGAGAACAAGGAGGAGATGATCCCCCTGCCTGGAGCTTCCTTCCTCACCATCACATTCGACAGCAAGTGAGTCCGACACATGGCGTCATCATATATTTGAAATAATTCAATTTAATCCAGTTTTTGTTATGAGGGTCTTAAGAGAGGGATATATACTGGTAGGTAAAGTAATCCCTCTTTCACCTGCAGATGTGCAACCAAAGAAGACTACAGTGAGCTGACATTCAGCACCAATGAGTCATTGACCAAAGACGTTCATTCCTTCTCCGGGACATCCAAGTCCAAGTGGAGCAGCTTCCAAGTGCCAGGTTGGTTCTGTCTCCGCACCATATTCCACAGAATAATACGAGAAGGCATAATACTTTGCCTCCTCAAAGTTGTTACCAACTAATGAGCAAGACTTTTCAGTGAATACCCACAGCTAGAGCTTGGATGATACAGGCTCCAGCTCTTTAAGCTTGGATCTGGGATCTGATACGATCCCTCTCTTCGTGAAGATCAGGTGACCTTATTGATCAGCCAATCAGCATTGATGCTGGCATGACTGAGCTCATATCTAATTTATTTATCTTGAAAACGAATATAATTTGGAAGTTCTGAACGCAAATTGATACATTTTGTCGTTTCTGAGCACCATTGCATCTATACTCAAAGGGTGTACTATCAAGGTTATATGTGTGTTCTATGTTAATTTTCTTTGGCTAAGATTGAAATTTCCAAATAAAAGTGGTAAAGAAATATACCTGACATGTGATTGGCTCAAGAACACACACTTCCTTCATTTTGATTGGGTGGTCAAAATTTGCTCAGTGTTCTCCAGACACAACCTGCCAGGGAGGTGTCATCACATCTTCACACATAGAGCTTTCATATCAAAATTAAAAGTCTGATTTTAAGAACATTCATGCAGGTTACGAAACTTGTCCTGTGTCTGGAAGTAGAATAGAAATAGCTGCATTTTCGTCCTGTCTGTGCAGATATTTGTCTAGACCTGCTCATCGGCCGATATTCGGCCCCTAGTGTACAGCACGTGGTAACTGATGCAAGAGTGAGTAGACAATCCTTGAACAACTTCTCAGAATGCTAACAAGAAGCTGTTATGAGACTGTGTGTATGCTACAGGTGACACAGTGTACTACAAGTTCACCTGCAGTAGTGACGATGGTCCTCCGGAACTGTGGGGGTACAAGTTCACCATCACCGCAGGGACCAGGGACAGCTTCGAGACGGGACACACCATCCTGGAGTCTGTTCTCTCTTCCGATGTCGCCTTGTGAGTTGTCTGCCCCTGATGCATCCAACATACACATATTTTGCTGCATATTGACTTAACAGATAATAATAATAGTAATGATAATTCATTTCTATAGCACCTAGTCTCAGCTGCTCAAAAGATTCTTCTGAATATTGTGTTCCTTGAAATAAAGGTTGAGAATCAAGTATTTCTAAGTTTACTGATACAGACAATTTGACCTTACTGACATGATTGTCAACAGTTCTTTATGATAAATATCACTGATATATGTGTTGAAAAAAGTGACTCTTCTTGTTAACACAGCTTCCATGTATCTTATTGCAGTATCTATTTTGAGACATTAACCTCACTTTGAGAAGTCAGTAGATGAACATTGTATGACCCTCCAGATGTCACAAGTACTGGGTCCTGTCTTTGTCATTAGAAGCAGAGGAAGCAGAAACAGTAGTCAAATAATTATCTATTGCCGTGGAACAATTTCAAAACATGCCATTAGATCACCTTTTGAACAAAAAGAAATGTGTTTAAGAAAAATTTAAGAAAAATTTAAATGGCTATTTTTCACAGAAGTATACTACTCAAAAGAAGTTAAGGAACACTCAATTCTTAACAAAAACAAATGTGTTTAAGAAAATAAGAACATTTAAATAGCTTTTTTACACAGAAATATACTTCTCAAAAGAATTAAGAAACACTCAACTCTGAACAAAAAGAAATGTTTTAGAAAAATAAAAACATTTAAATATTTTTTTACAAAGAAGTATACTTCTCAAAAGAAGTTAAGGAACACTCAAATCTGAACAAAAAGAAATGTGTTTAAGAAAAAAAAGCTTTTAAATGGCTATTTTACACATAAGTATACTACTCAAAAGAGGTTAAGGAACACTCAATTCATTTTCATTACTTTGGTGAATCTGTCATGGCATGATAAGTTAACTACAGTAATATGAAACAATCGGGTGGTCGTTAGCTTCTTTTGGGTAGTATGCACAGGAAGTAGTGCTTAGCATTTTGCAGTTGTATATAAATAGGGTGCGAAGATTGAAAGTGAAGTGTCCTTGTGTAGGTGTCTGCCGCTGTGTGACCTGTGGTCAAGTCTGGTATACGTGGCCTGCAAGCAGACCGGCACACAGAGACTCAAGGCCATACAGCTGCTCCTGAAGATTACACAGACACAGTTCAGGTAGGTGGAGGAGGTGGAGTCATATGTTGTGTCAGCTTAATGTCGGGGGATAGTCCAAAGGTCACAACACTGTCAGACTAAGAATCAGTATCAGAGGAATCTGGGATTTGAACCTACAGTCAAGTCCCGTTAATCCGACATCGATGGTTGCACATGATTGTGTCGGATTAACGAGTATGTCGGATAAACGAAATTTAGTAGTATCAACGTTCGTGATCGAAAATCGGACAACTACACGATAGATAAGGATTCAAACACGTTATAAAAAATATAAAATATATATTCATAGTGTTATGTTAAATTATTGGCGGAATATGTTTTCTAATCATTCAACCTCTAAAGTTTAACACAAAACAACTGTTACGGACTGTTTGACAGATTCAAAATACTTTAAAAAGCATAGTCTGGAATGGAAGTCGCAACTTTGAAACTGGAACCCAAAGCTTAAGAAAGCTGCTTTCTAAGTGGCTAACGTCGACTTCCTGTTGGTCATTTCATTGGTAGGTCATAGTTCGCGAAAGGTTGTTCTGACGTGACTTGTAATGGGATGTCCTCGTCGATAGCAAGAACTTGTATCTGATTTTAATAAGATTGAGGTAATCTAAGCATGTGAATTATCCTGTTTTCTTTATTTAAAGCATTAATTGTTTATTGTTAAGCAAGTTTATCGCTGCAGCTTTGTAATATGCAGCTACCAGCTGACTCGCCTCGCATCAAAACTCTGGCTGTGTACTCGCGGGCAGATGACCACGGAGTACGCTGATCACTGTGTCGGATTAACGAGACTGATTAATGAGTGATTTCGGCAATTCGTTGCAAATTAGGTGTGTCGGAGTCGGAGTGCGAGACTGTCGGATTAACGGGTCTAAATAGCACTGATTTAATCGGTTCCCATCATTAGTGTCGGATAAAGCCGATTGTCGGATTAACGAGTGTCGGATTAACGAGACTTGACTGTATTTGATTTTAAGGGAGACGACTGTCCGCAAAGGGAGACAACTATGCACAGCTAGATGCAAGGACTTAGACCACTGTGACCCAGCTGATACACTTGATTTCAGGGTTAGAACTTAACATTAGCCTGCTAGCCCAGCAGATATGATATGTCCGTTTAGTTGTGAGTGGGGCAGGGATGATTATCTAGCAATTACTTTATTTATGGCCTTATGGATCATACTGACCTATTCTCTCTGTGTATGTTCAGGTGTAGACTGGGGACAGACCAGAAGCCCTCTGTTGATCCAGGGCTTCTCAAGCCACTATGGTTCCTCTACACCAGTCTCACCAAAGATGACGCAGATCCAGGGAATGTCCTGCCGCCGGTTGTCCGTGCTCTGTCCGAGCTGTTCTTGCAAGTGGAAAACCTTGTCATGGTATGTTCGAAGACCATTGTATTAAAATGGGAAACTGGTATTATCATGTTGAATAGAGATCTTTTTACTCAAATGCATCATTAAGTTTACAAGATTTCATTATATATTATGAGTTTCTGCATCAAAAGATGTGCCCCAAAGTATGCATGACTGCGTCATGTGTTTTTTCTTGTGTGAAGTCAGACTGTTATATATGACTTGAAATGCTGGTGTTATCATAATTCTTGTGTTCAGGAGTGGGACATGCATGTAGACTACTTGGTGGCAGTGCAGGATATTGAGGACATTCGCAAGGTGGTCGGACAGGTGAGTACACAGCTACAACATCTGTGCCTGTCAGATCTTACACTGTATGCTGCGATTGCAAAGACAGAGATAAAGTCACAACAGTTGTAACACTCAATGCAGTGATTGCAAACATGGAGATAAACTCGCAACAGTTGTCACGCTCAATGCAGTGATTGCAAACACGGAGATAAACTCGCAACAGTTGTAACACTCAATGCAGTGATTGCAAACATGGAGATAAACTCGCAACAGTTGTAACACTTAATGCAGTGATTGCAAACACGGAGATAAACTCGCAACAGTTGTAACAGTTCTCGCACATTTCTGGCTGAAATAATGTTGATGTGTAAAGTTGTCACACTGTTCTTAAGCTTACCTCAAGATGATGTATGAAATGTGCAGTATGGATGCAAAGTCTACTCTCTAATAAATGGATAGTAACAGGATTGATTCTCTTTACCACAGGGCCTCATCAACATTGCTGCCATTGGCCATATGATCGGGTACAAGAACTCTGCTACGGAGCTGGCACTAGCTGTCAAGAAACGAAGCACAGCAGTTTAAAGTTCTCAAGAAAAATAACTCTGCCAGCTTTTAGGATATGTACAGTAATGATATGTTTCATGTACAAATGCGTTCATTATGTACAATATGTATTTTAATTTGTAATATAATTTGTACATTTCTAATAGTTGTTTTATGTTTTGAGCTTTGCACCAATGTTTTTGTCAACAGTCAACTCTTCTGTGATTCTTGCCATAATTAAATACTGACTGCCTAAATAGCATGAACCAGTTCAAGAGAATCTTTCTTTCGAAGAGTTAGTTTTTCGTCCTGCAGCTACAGGTCATCAGGTTGTCCTTTCTTCACTATACATTTTCTTTATATATAAATCCACTGATGCTTGAGAGGAGGGGGGTGTCGCACTCATAATGAGTCGCGATTTTGGCAAGGGACAGTGGTCGCATTTCTTTTGGAGACACATTAATTTCACGATTTACAGTAACCAATTGTCTGCCTGCACTGTTCATGTTAGCCAGTAACATGTTGCCTGGACCAGTCACCACTAACATGTTCTCATAGAAGGATAAGGGACAGCTGTAATTATGGAGATATATCAGGTGTTCCCACGTTAACCAATCCAAGACGAAACTGATCACAATATTGATGGGACAATTGTTACTTAGGGTGTCTGTCAGTGTTAAGACAATTTTTCACATGTATAGTGCTGTTTGTAGGCAGGATAACGATAGGGTTTTGGCTGACCCAAGAATATTCTCAAGTATGGGTGACTAGTTACGAGCTTAGGATCTCTCATCAGACTGTTTATAGGCAGTTATCCATTTATGTTCACATGAGTCTCTTTGCATGGAAGTGACTGTTACCCAATCATGAAGTATTGTACTTGAAGATTATGTCTGTCTCTTGATCTCGGCAGTTTAGCATGTATTATTTGATTGAAGCCAAATTTGTTGATGATGCTAATTAACTACATGTGTAAGTATTTGCTCAGTAGCACCACTTTAATTCATCATAAATTAAAGCTATCATCAGTTTGTGGTGCTTTTGCAGCAAATGCCTGTTCTGTGTATTGCATGTTAAAGTAACACATCAGAGTATTTTATATGTGTGTATAAATCACCAACATATCTGCACTAGTGATAAGTAATTAAGTTATATATGGATAAACAGATGTTTTGTGGTGTCAATATTTTTTTTCAGTTATTGTTTTCTTTAGGAATGTGGCCTCCATTTGTTATATGTGAAATGTTATGTATAATTTATCCTGTCAATTTCCTAACGGTGAGTCTATAAATATGTTACTGGTTAGGCCGTCAGTGTTTTCCTAAGCATGTTGTTTCCATGTGAATATTACAAATTGTCAAATGATGTGTTCATAATTTACAGTCATTTTCTCTATGTATGTTTAACTATATGATAAAGTGGTATATATTTAGCCTGTTTAGGATCTCCACGATATATCTTTGCTTTGAATTATATTCTCCTGACAGTCTAAAGTAATTTAATTACTCAACAAGTCAGACTTTTGAAAATATTTTCAATATTATATCAATAAAATATTACTTTAAAAAGAATTATTTTAAGATCTGACACATTATTTCCTATTTATGTGAAATGTCTTAATATATATCAACTGTATAATGACCTCAAATAATGGCACAAGTCACTTATCACTATTTGTGACAAGACCTTGGTGAGGACAGATCAAGCAATTACCGGTAATGTCAAGTGACAAAGTTTTGATGTGTTTGAAAAGCCAAATATCAAGAATAGGTATGAAAGAATGAAACCATACCCTCTGGCCCCACTCTATGGAACATATACTACTCAGTAAAGTTAAGGATCACTCAATTCTTTCACATTACTATAGTTAAGCTGTCATGACATGACAATGACAAGAATGACCTGGTCATTTTTACTTGTTTTGAGTAGTACCGTATTCAATGTAATTAGCGCCCCGCTCTAATAAACGCCCACGGCGATATTTGCTAAGATATTGGCTAGTGAACAATCCCAATTAGCACCCCTTCCGATTGATCAATGTACACAAGACCTATTTATTCGTGTATAATACGAACTCGTGTGTAATATGCACCCTCAATTATGGGCAATTCAATTCTGGAAAAATATATCTCTCGTATATAAACATTTCAGGCTGTCAGCATAAACCACGGAATTTATCTTTCAACTGTTTTTTTCACCAAAATAATATTCTAATAAGAGCCCCCTATTTCTAATTTTGAGAGCGCCCTGGGCGCTTATTACGTAGAATACGGTATACATGATAGGTCAATGGAGTTATAGAAAAAATCAAACTATAAAATGACAGATATTTTTTTGTACCTTTTTTATTTGACAAACATGATAGGTCAACATTTCAATACATGATCTGTGTGTGCACTGTTCCATTAAGATGGAAGATTGTAATACAAAGATTATTTAAGAGTTTTGCATCACTTATGAGATGTCTATATCACCAATATTTACAATGCTGTTAAATTCAAGTGAATCTTTTCCTGTATTGGAATTTTGTGAAGATATATAGCAGCGGCAGTTTGTCCCCCTGATATGCTGGTAACACTCGTGCCCTGTGATACTCCGCGGATGTACATACTGTACAGACACTAGGACTGTGGCCACAGTATTTATCTGTCATGTATATAAGTCAAGTCAGTTGTACATTCTGTGCATATCTGTTGACACTGATCGTTTTAAGTGCTATTGAATATAGTGGAAAATAGTAATATAATTTTCAGTTGATTATGTGAGTATTTATTTGTTTGCATATCCCTGGTTGTTGAATTTTGGATATTTCTTACATGTTTTCCTAACTACTTTATTTTGTGAGTTTATCGATCATTTAGAATCGTAGAATCTTCCTAGATCAGTTAATGCGTAGCGCTTCTGTTTGATGGCACAGCATGGAAATCATGATTTGTAAGAACTGAAAATGTCAGCTGGAGAACTGGCAGTAGTAAGGTAGGTTCTATAAAACACAAACAGATGAAACATCACGGAAAAAAGTAGCTGTAAATCCATGGTTGTGGATTGTTTTTTTGTGAATGAACAGACCTGACTAAGTAATGGCTGTGTATGGCTGAAACATGTTCACTCATCTGTTATATGTATTTAGCTTGCAATTGTTGATGTAAGATCATGTTATACATCACTGATAAAGAATAAGAATAATGCCCTGTTTGTTTCCTAGATGTACAGACAGGTACACATAAATGCATGCGCTCTCTTTCGCTCTCTCTCTCTCTCTCTCTCTCACACACACACACACACACACACACACACACACACACACAGAGGCTAAGGCACACTCAGACAATACGCACAGATGGAGGCACACAGAAAGTGGAAGGGAGACACACACAGGGCAATGTACACACAGAGACACACATATAGGTACACACACAGATAAAGGTACACACTAACAGATGAAGGTACCGGTACACACACACAGATGAAGGTTCACACACTGAGACACAAAGGGGTTCACACACATATAGGTACACACACAGATAAAGGTACACACTAACAGATGAAGGTACCGGTACACACACACAGATGAAGGTTCACACATAGAGACACACAGGGGTTCACACACATATAGGTACACACACAGATAAAGGTACACACTAACAGATGAAGGTTCACACACACAGATGAAGGTTCACACACAGACACACAGGGGTTCACACACATATAGGTATACACACAGATAAAGTACACACTAACAGATGAAGGTACACACACATAGATGAAGGTTCACACACAGAGACATACAGGGGTTCACACACAGGTACACACACAGGTACACACACACCCAGAGACACAGATAATGGTACACACACATACACAGATAAAGGTAGAGACACACAGATGAAGGTACACACACACATACATACACACACAGAGATGAAGAGATACACACAGAGAGACACACAGATGAAGGTACACACACACACAGATGAATCTACACACACAGAGACACACACACGCAGATGAAGGTACTCTCACACAAAGATGTATGAGCGTGACACCAAAGCGTTAATGTTTTAAATTAAAGAACAGAAACATCCGCATAACTAAGACAACAGTTGACATAATATGTTACATAGTTATATATGTTGCGGAGGTCTGTGAAGCAGTTGAACATCTATTTTGATAAGATTCAGCATTTCCATTTAAAAAATGGAGTATCAATCAAACTGTTTGCATATGTTATGTGCATTTGACCAGTGTCAGTGTACCTTATCAGAGTGATGTGGCATTGAGTTGCTCTGTATGCTTGATTTCTTGATAGCTGAAACAAAGTCTGAGGTACATTTTGAGCTGTCATTTCTCACAATCAAACAGTTAAAACCAAATATTTAAAACCTGTGACAGTATATTGGAGCTTGATTGTGATGTAAGCTGCCAACAATCAAGTTATGCATGAACGTCAAAAGTATTGAATAATTGTTCTTTTCAGTAAGATAGTGTTCATCAAGTATGTCAGCTGTAAATGTTATGTTTTGTTATTTGATGCGCTCAAACTCTGAGATTGTGTTCTATTGTCCTCATTTCGTAATCTGATATGATATTATGCCCATGCAGACCGAGTTATTCTGTGCCTTCTGTTTGAGTGGTGTATCTGTTGACTGTGAAGCTAGGTTGTCCTGTACGCTCTCTGTGCACTGTACACTGTACATATTGCTCAACTGTGTCTTTTGTAAAAGATTATGACATCCACTCATTGTTTTCTTGTTTCTTCACACCAAGGGATTTTATATTCAACCCAGTTTAGAACACAAACATGGGATACACTTCGTGGAGCATTGATGACAGCACCAACCTACTCTTGTCCATGAGAGATGACGAAGGAAAATCAACCTGCTTGGAGAGAAGACAGCTCACTGATCACTGAAAAGATGACTTGATGGTTGTCACATCATGCATATGTGCACCAGAGATAGGCTATTTTAGGGCAACATAACATTGTGGAAGTAGACCATGAGTGACTGGGTTTCATCTTGTTTGTTTGTTTTTAACGCTGCACTCAGCAATAATCCAGCTATATGATGGCGGTCTGTAAATAATAAATAAGTCTGGACCAGACAATCCAGTGATTGACATCATGAGCATCAATCCATGCAATTGTGATCGATGACATGCATCAACTAAATCAGCGAGCCTGACCACCCAATCCCGTCGCCTCTTACGACAAGCATTGTCGCCTTCTTACGGCAACCATGGGTTCTCTTCATTAGAAATACACATTCTTTGTATTAAAACAAGAAACATAGGTTTGTAAGCAGAGAGACCCGTGAAGATTCCGGGGTAGAATAGGTATTCAGCAACCCATACTTGCCGTAAAAGGCGACTATGCTTGTAAACGGCGACTAACGGGATCGGGTGGTCAGTCTTGCTGACTTGGTTGATACATGTCATCGATCCCAATTGCGTGGATCGATGCTCATGATGTCAATCACTGGATTGTCTGGTCCGGACTCGATTATTTTACAGACTGCCATCATATAGCTTGAATATTCCTGAGTGAGGCGTTAAACAACAAATAAACAAAATGTAAGCAGAGAATCTCTCCAGTCCATCATCCTTTCAACAGTCAATTTTAGTCCAGAAGGTCTCATCTTGCTTCCCTGGACGCCTGGGATACATCCATGTCTACCCCAACATTTTATCAGGGTTTTTCATCATCTACTGTACATTCAACGTTCATCAGTTTTAAATATTTATGGGTCGGTAACTGAGCAATCTGTGAGAGATCGGACCTGAAATATCCCGTATTCAGGTAGAATTAAAAGAACAACATATCGAAACACATGGAAAATACAACCGATCCCAATTCAAAATACATCAACAATTAATTAGAACAAGGATAATTATTTCGCATTTCATTTACTTCTTTAGATGTCATTACTTTTTCTGTCCTTCATAATTACATCTTTATCGTTGTGCCTTGTAGAAGTGTCAAAGATGTCGAAGAGGGATATTATAGAGGACAGTGAAGTGATCCGGAGTCGGATCGCCGTAATCCAGCATCTGCCTCCCAGGAGATACACGGAGATAAAGAGAATGGCAAAACGTGTAATACGGAATGCGCAGTTGTAGAGTGTAGGGAAGAGAAACTCTACTGTCGCTATTTACATTTAGCGACTGGTCATAAATTAGAAGGTGTTGGGTTGGGTTGAGGTGTCGAAGGTGAAGGAGGTGAGATTAAGGGTACTTGCATGGGAAACTATTTGGTTTATTTTATTTATTTTTATTTTGTTTGAAGGTGTTACATAAAAAATCAGGGGTCAGCAATATTTGATACATTTCTAAGATATATTTAGGATAACGCAAACTGATAAAAACGGTTTCCGCGGGGTCATGTATGGATAAGATGCAAATGTGAAATATCAGGCAGATGCTACTTTTTTTAAAATACCGAAAATTACTCCTTAACTGGAACGTAGCTGAGGCCTTTTCTAAGTTTGGAGATATATTGCGAAACAATTTATAGCAGGGATACTAGAGCTTTAAAGCGGGATCATCTGTGCTTGTAGACCTCTGCGTTTTGGGGCCTTTTCCGGAAATTAAAACAGTTGGATTTGGCCAAAATCTGTCCGAATTGTTACCTTGTTCTATTTTGTCGCTGAGGATACATCAGACTGCACTTCGCAACGTAATGACTGGACATCCACGCTCTAAAGAAATGTGGTGTCTCATAGACTAGGGTTAGAATATCTTCCTTTGATAAAGGGCAGTTACTCTAGCGGACAGACCGATGGATTGCCTCGAAAGGCAACTTGAAGCAATTTGTGTAAGCTATTGCTATTTCGTTTCTATGTGGTTACGTCACTGTCCAAGAAAAAGGTTTCAGTTGGAACTATATCGACTCTTGTCACTGACATTCTGACGTAATATATATCAATGCGCACATTCCAGGAAAGCTTGCAATGGTTAGGTATATTTGTGAGAGATGAGAACAGAGGTTTCGACGACAGAATTTAAGAATGACATTACATACCCCTATCAGTTAAGCTCCCTCTGACAATTAGAGAACAGTGATATACCGTATTCGACGTAATAAGCGCCCACGGCGATATTTGCTAATATATTGGCTAGTGAACAATCTCAGTTAGCATCCCTTCCAATTGATTAATGTACACAAGACTTATTTATTTGTGTATAATACGCACTCGTATGTCATATGCACCCTTAATTATGGGCAATTAAATCCTGGAAAAATATATCTGTCGTATATAAACATTTCAGGCTGTCAGCATAAACCACGAAATTTACGATCTTTCAACTCAAAATAATATCCTAATAAGAGCTCCCTATTTCTAATTTTGAGAGCGCCCTGGGCGGTTATTACGTCGAATGCGGTAGGCCTAAACGTTTATAAACATTCAAAGTTTCATGATACTCATTCATAGGACGCATGGCTAACTTCCTGTGCCGCCCAAACACACAGACATATTAACATAAAGCATGACACCCTCGAGTTTCAGAAAAAGCATTTCGATATTGATGCAAGTAAGGGTATATAAAGTGGAAATTAACCGATTGTTTAGTCAGCTCATGTATACTTAACATGCAGAAGGCTATCAGGGGCACTCGGTTGGCAAACTAGTGTTATGCATGACACAGATATGTCATACAGAACCATTGGACGTCAACTTGGTTGTGACCATACTGTCATCAGCAGACTCGATAGAAAACACCGACAGACACGTGAAGTGAAGAACCGTCCACGACCAGGGCGATCCCGAAAGACAACTGTACGGGAAGACAGGGCCCCTGTACGTCTTGTGAGGCGACATCCCATTGCTACAGGTAATGCTCTGAAGAACAATAGCTTCCCAACATTTGCATCTGTCCACCAGAATTGTCCGAACCCCGCTAAAATCATTTGACTTAAAGTCACGAAGGGTCATCAGACGTCCCTTGTTAACTGCCCATCATCAAAGGGGGCGGTCGGGTAGCCTAGTGGTTAAAGCGTTCGCCCGTCACGCCGAAGACCCGGGTTCGATTCCCGACATGGGTACAATATGTGAAGCCTATTTCTGGAGTCTCCCGCCGTGATATTGCTGGAATATTGCTAAAAGCGGCGTAAAACCATACTCACTCATCATCAAAGACTTCGAATGGCTTGGTTTATTTCTCGACGTTACTGGAATCCGAGGACGTGGAAAAAGAGGATCCATTGGTCTGATGAAAGCAGATTCTTGCTGCACGTCACAGATGGGCGAATGCGGGCTGGAGACACAGAAACACTGCTATACCCCTTGGAACATTGTACCAGCAGTCCGTGTGGTGGAGGCTCCATAGTGGTGTGCGAGCAATATCTCATGACTGTAAACTTGACATGGTAACTATACGAGGCTGATGTGCGTTTTAATCATAAAAGAGAGCTGAGATTTTTCCAGTCGCAATTCAAATTATACATATGGACGGAATGTTCAAATTTTCTCACTATCTACTTACAGTACTTAACAGTACAGGCATATGTGCTTTTATAACAATCCACGTTTTTCTGCGTAAAAAAGAAATTGATTGATTTATGGCCCTATTTAGCTATTTGATCCCCCGCCCCCGGGCCAAATTATCAAAACAAATACCAAATAACACCGCTCAATAGCGCTGAGTGGTACGTACTTCCTAAAAAACAATAGTGTTTTCTTAAAAACAACGCTTATGTCAATGCTTATTCTGTTTGCGGAGTCGATGTCATCAAAGTGGAAGTTCTCACCCAAGCAATGGTAATACTACCGGATGTCCATTATGTAATTTCTATTTTTTGGATGACATATTGTTCTCAGTAACCATAATGTGGAAATAGATAGTTGATTGGTTTTATATTCAAGTTGGTATTTCCGCTATTCAAAGTGTTCAGTGAGGCCGTCTTATCAACAGTCATTTCTGAGACATAAATGCAAAGTATAATTACCGTATTCGACGTAATAAGCGCCCCGCTCTAATAAACGCCCACGGCAATATTTCCTAATATATTGGCTAGTGAACAATCCCAATTAGCACCCCTTCCGATTGATTAATGTACACAAGACTTATTTATTCGCGTATAATAAGCACTCGTTATATGCACACTTAATTATGGGCAATTAAATTCGGGGAAAATATATCTGTCGTACATAAACATTTCAGGCTGTCAGCATAAACCAAGAAATTCATCTTTCAACTCAACTTTTTTTCACCAAAATGATATTCTGATTTTGAGAGCGCTGGGCGCTTATTACGTCGAATACGGCAATTAAGTCTACGCTAATTTGTTTGCATTTATAATTAACTCTAACGTTAATTTCAAGATTTACAGTACATACTATTCAAACGAAGTTTAAAAACACCCGATTCCTTCATGGTTAGACTATGGTTAGTCATTAGAGTGAGTGAGTGAGTTGGGTTTAACGCCGCTTTTAACAGTATTCCAGTTATATCACGGCGTGTCAGCTTGATGTGGGAGGAAAGCCCGAAGTGATGCAGGTCTCAGACGTTTACCACTTCGGTGAAACCCACGAGCACGGGTATGGTGCTGACAAACCTAGAAACATAATTGGGGCGAACCGGGATTCGAACCCACAATCATAGGTTTCTGGCGTGCCCAAGGGACACAACTCTGCACAGCGAATCGCGGCGCCTTAGACGACTGGGCCACCCGTGCCCCCGGTTAGTCATTAGAGGAAGCGATAGAGCGAGAAAGCGATAGAGCGAGAAAGCGATAAAGC